GGGTTCATGGGTTCATGGGTTCATGGGTTCATGGGTTTGGGGTTTGTTTGTTTTTGTGTCGGAGGTTTTGGGTTCGGGTGTTGGAGGTTTTGGGTTTGGGTGTTGGAGGTTGAGGTTTCCGAAGGGATGTGTTTGCAAAGTTTTATTGCTCTTAATATTCTTTTACGATCCGGATTCGTTCCCGGAGGATGACCTTACAGAGCTTCTACGTATAGGTAGTATGAATATGCGTCAAATATTATGGTGCTTCTGTCTTCAGCGCCAGCGCCTCATCTTCATAGAATGTCTTCATACGTTATGTATCCCTTGTTCGAATCGAAGTCCTTCGAAATACGAATGATCAAGTTGTTGATTTGGACTAGTAAGGACCCTCGGCAACCCAGGGGCAGCTGTCGTTATTCTTCATGCGTCCCAATACCGATGCGTATGCGTTGTACTTACATCGATAAGAAAGAGCTAAACACCAAAAATAATGAAAAGATGGTAGAGCAGAGAACGCAGTTATAATTAAAGAATTTGGAACACAACTCGGGTTGCTCCACTGCTGACCTAATGATAAACTCATCAGGTCGAATCATGTTGAAAAAGAGAAGTGGAAGAAGATTTTCCGAAGAACACCGCGAAACAGAATGTGGAAGTTTCTCTTTCTTGTGAAGATTTTCATCATGTTGGGGACGTCCCCGTCTGGTGTGCCAGTAGCGCTTCAGAAGCAGAAAAATCCGCTGAGAAATAGAGTTAGAAGAGAGATGAAAGAGTGAGAGACACCACGAAGACAAGAAGATCTGTCGGCGTTCGTTCTCGTTGTATCTGTTGGCCGCCCGCTTTCATGCTAGAAATGAGATCGAGATTCTCTTGTAGTTGAGGAAGATCAACATCTGTCCGAACAAGTTTCACAAAGTCTGTCCATGCTTAATAAGCACTTTGAGAATCAATTGTGACAATGTTGTAGATCACGACCTGGTCGCATGACTATATCTTCAGGAGTAAGAGTATATATCTCGACTCCTGTCACCTTGATGACCTTCTTGAAAAATGTTAAGCGTTGTGAGAGGCGCTCTAGGTCTGTCAGTCGCGGTTCAGTCTGTCACTCACATTTCCGGAAGCTCTACGAGTTCCTTACCGTGAGATACTCATCAGTTTCTCGAGCTGTGCGCTCAATGATCTTACTTGTCCCATGAACTACTACCTTCATCTTCAGGTTCTCTATGACCATCCATACTCCACTTCCTTACAATAACCTTCCTTACTATAATAGTTCCTCCTTCATCCTTGATATTCCGAGAAGACTAATTTCCTTGTGAGCATAGAACATCCATCCTTATTTGTAGATTTACTCAATGTATCTTACCAAGACCAACTTTTCTTAGCACAAGAATATCGATGAACGCTTACTCAGTCTTTTCCGTTAAAATCAATCCAGTTTTTAGGGAGGGCTTTGGTTTGTAATTGTATCCGCATACGAAGATACGACACAAGCCTTTGATATTGTTGCCACTCGTGGTCACACAGAACAGGTTAGAATCCTGTTTTGATATATTTGCGCGAGCGTGTAGTTTTTCGTATTTCTGTTTGTGGATCTTCCAAAAAGATGTCTTTCTCCGTGCCTCATTCGATGCCGCATGCTCATCTGAGCCATGGAATCAGCGACCCGATTCCTAAAGGCGCCGAGGTCCACACGCATGTGATAGAGTCGGCCGCACCGGATGATCCGAATGCCGCGCGGTTCGAGGATATCGCTGCGCAGAATTTTCCCGTCAACTTCCCGCCTTCAAGCTCTCTGAGGTCATACGCCACTCCTAGCACTAGTTTCGAGGTCATCGCGCAAGATGGAATTATGGCCATAGCGGAGACCAATCAGGTCTTGGCCCGTTTCTACGGTGAGCGTGCAAAAAAGAAGAACCTCGTGCTGCAGACGCCCGTCATCTACGTGCGGCAGCTGCCACCGAGCATCGACGGCGCGGAGCCGGCTGTGTCACCAGCACAGCTGGTCGTGAACAACATCGGCTCGTTCGTCACTGTCGAAGTTGGTATTCCGCATCTGAAGGCGCAGATGCAGATCGGAAAAACATCGAGTGGCGACAACACATTAGTGGTCTCTTTCGATGGCTTTGACGACTTGTCGAAGGGAGACCTGCTTTCTATCAAGCACCGAGGCTATATCTGCATCCCGGTCATTTTTGACTATATCGAGAGCACAAAGACGCCTTCAACTACAGCTGCAGCTGCCCCGGCAGACGCTGGAAGAAAATCAGCCTCCGACGACGTGGACGAGTTAGCGGACGAGGGCTGGGAGGTCGTGAAAAAGCTGAAGAAAGTGCAAGTAGAGGTGTTCCTTCACCTGGACGGACGTCAGGCAGAAACTCAAGAGGAGGACAAGGACGTAGCCTGGTTCAAATCCGAGCTCGACAGGCAAGTGCCGAGGCTAAAAGCCAAGCACGGAGAACTAGTAAAAGTCTATAACGAGCAACAAGCACGCTTTCGCAAGCAGAAAGCAGAAGCGGATAAGCTCGCTCAAGAGCAGGAAGCGATCAAGCAACAAGAACTCCAGAAGAGTCAGGAGAGGTAATCATGATTTTCATTGACATTGCCCAATTAAATTTAAATTAATATATATCGCAATCGAACTGGAACATTTACTTTTTTTTTCATGAAGATCAGCATTCATTTTCTTGGCGTTTCATGATTGTGCACTACAGCTAGGTACTTAATACCATCGTGAGGTCATCATTTTTATTCCAAAATCCAAATGTAACGAACGTCCTCTTGACAATGATTTTTGCGTCCCGATCCCCGTGATAGAGATACTTTTACTTACTTTACGAGCAAAACAAATTCAAGAGAAACTATCTGTCTCCCTCCACCAGGCTCATGCAGGAGTACCAGAAGCATCAGGAGCATTTGGCGCGTGTGCATGCGGAGCGACAGTACGCGGAGCAAAATGGACTTCAGCCTCCACCTAGAACCTCCACTTCTGGTTTAACACCGAGAGGCTTAGCCCTGCACCGTAATGTTACTGTTAGCGGAGTGGTGACACCTCGAAAACTGAGCACGGCTGACGTTTCAATAAATCTGACGCCGCGTGGGATGTCCGGATCTGGTTCAGCCTCGTCAATAGTCACGGCCGCACCAGGCACACCGCGGTTATACAAAGCTAGCATTGAGCCCCTGAAAATAGCAGATATTCCAAGTTTGGACGACCGCAAGCCAGGACCAGTCGTAGCGGCAGGTAAAATTAGCAGATGTCTTGGGTTTCTAGGACTTTGAATTGTGTAGATTGAAATTGCTAGATGATCAAAATCCACTTACTTTACTGTACCTGTTCATGTGCTGCTGCCTCTCTGTCTATGTTGTCTTCGCCTGAAAAATAAAACTTGACTGTCAACACTGTGAACACATTCTGACTGGTCATGAGTCATTCTTTGAGTATGGTGAGATCTTTGACTTTTTACCTCGTGGTGATCCTACCCGCAACTTGCTCACACAGCGCACACGCCATTAGCGAACGAGATTCCGCCAATTCTGGATACACCAAGAATCGCACCGGAAGAATGGCACTTGAAGAAGGATATAGTGGAGCACCAGCTAAAAACAATGACGGCTCAGAGTGACATAGAGGAGGAGATCCACATCTTGAAGCTTAGAATACTTCGGCAGATCATTTTCAAGGAAGCACATCGCATCATCGGAGAAACGCACACAGAAGAAGAGGTAAACCGCCATTGTGCTTTTTACACTTTTGTATTGTACATGCTCGTCGATGTCCTTGTCTATGTCTACTACCTAGAAGACATAGAAGAAGACATGGAATAAAATAACGATCGTCATCTGATCACGTTTGTCGAGTAAGTAGTAAGTTGAAGTTCAAGTTGGTAGTGGTACGACTACTAGAAGATGAAGATGAAGAACTACTACAATCAGTGAGTAGTTCTACAAGAGCATTTTCATTATGTGAAAAATACAAATTAATATCTTCTTGTCCTACCTTGCAACGAACTTTCTTTCAGATCCATACTTTCTGTGGATTATTTCCTCGACTTTGGGAGAGACTCAGGGAGGCGCGCTTCGATGAGCGTCCTGTGAAGAAACGACGAGGCATGTTGATTGCGATGCAAATGAACCTCATGGCTCGAGGCATGTCATCAGGTCCAGCTGGCCAAGCAGAGTTGATGTACGAACCGAAGAAACCAAAGGTATAAGAACTGGCGCTTCTTGTTAATTGTTCTCTTTATCGTCCTGCGCAGTACTGCAACTTCCACTTTGTTTCTTCTAGTTTGCTTGAGTTCATTCTGCGTCTCAAAAAAAGTCCTCGCACGAACACAATAGTGTCGTCAGCAGGGGAAAATATTACTGCTTCAAAACAAAACTTTTCAGGTTCTCCATGTCATTAAGGGTAGTCCGAAGATTCGCACGCGTCACGCCAAGAGCAAAGTCTCAAGTCCTCGCATGATTCATGAGGAGCAAGATGCGACTCCAGCAGTGTCGAAGTCAACCGGCGGGGGTTTGAACCTTAACCGCGTGATGTCTTCTGGTGCACCGAAGCATGCACATCCGCACATCCATGGGGCTAGCGTGGTCGAGTTCGAGAACATGCGGGAAGGCGTGAACCAAGTGTTTTTGCCAACGTGGATGAAACAGCCAAAGATGCTTGGCATCCCTCACGAAGCTCTCTCGCCAGTCGAGCAGGCAGATCGCGTGCAGGAGCAGCGCAAGGCCATTATTGAGTCGGTCCAGGAGAGGCTGAAGAAACAGGGCAACCTTCATTTGTTGGAGCACTTGAAGCTCTTTGAGACGCCGCACGGCATCGCCGCACACCTACAACCGCCGCCAAGCTCAGCCCCTCCCGCGGGTGCTGACCGCACGGCAGGCTTGGACGTTCCCAACTTTTCGGCACTTGGGCCCGCCCACATGGAGCCTGTGCACCTGCAGCCGCACGAGATGCAGCACCTGATGGCGCACGCAGAGTTGCCCGACCACATGGCGGAAAAATTGATGTCCATGGGAATCAAGCACCCGAGCGCGCCACCACCGCCACCGAAGTACGAGGCTCCGAGCCACTTGCAGATCGGTTCAGGTGTCCAGAAGCAGAGGATCTCGCTGAACCACGAAGACGTGTTGCCGCAGCCCATGGGGAAGAACAAGCCCACACTGCGGGGCAGCATTCATCTGCAGAGTCACGCGCCGAAGCTGGTGATTGACCAAAGGATGTTGCACATTCAGGACCTGAAGTTGGCAGAAGCACCCAACCTTCGCGACCTGAGAGCAGTGCGAAGTTTTATACCAAACACGAGCATGGGCGTGGCGGCAGCTGCTGCTGCTAGCGCGGCGCCAGCTAGTGGCGCTACCCCGGCAGGCACAAAAGCGACAGGAGTAGCATCCAAGCAAGCACAGTACATGCAGGCTCCAACAAGCTTTGACCAGACTCCGCGTGGGGCGCCTCAATCTGACCGCGGGGAGAATGGAGAGAGTGTGAGCGGCGGATCGGCGGTAATCCCGATGCCGCAGCTCACCGTGGGCGGAAAGCTTCCAGGCTTCGGCAGCGCGCCGCGATTCAGCACCTCGGTGAACCCGCTTCCACCTGCAGGCCCGTGGCCCGGACTGAATACAGGAAGGCAATCACAGGGTGGTGGCGCGCCGGCACCACAGTGGACGAAGCTGGCTGCTGCACCCGCACCGCAAATTCGCGACTTGACTCCTGGTGCCACCCCGCGAATGCCTTTTGCGTTCTTTCGGGAAGGCTCGCATCGTACGTCACAGGCGACACCGTGTTCGGAGGAGGAGCCGGTGACTTTTGAAGACATTGCACTTCTCCACGCGGCGCGTGAACACGCTCATATGCTGGCTGCCTCACGCGGCAGTGGAGCACAAGAGCAGGGCGCCGAGGTCGAGGAAGTGGACGAGTTAGCACCAGTAGGCATCATTTCTTCAGAAGAAGATCAAGAGGAGAAGGGCGGACTTGAAATTCCGTTGGCCGGCGCAGCTAGCTGCTCATCTGCATCAGAGCCTCTTCCAGCAGGCCTATTAGTAACAAGTACCAGCCCCGAGGGAAGCGATTCCTCCGTTCGTACGATGGAGCAGGCTGTCAGCGAGATTCTCGCAGAAGCACAGGAGAGGGCGGTTGCGGTTGGAGATATGGAAGAGTCCGCTCCGCCGCCGGCTGGGGTACACGAAGGTTGCCACCAAGCAGTGCAGGAAGGCGCGACATCGTCTGAGGAGATCATCGGTGTGTCTGCAGACGCGGTTGAGGTCGCAGAGACGGTGATTCAAACGGAGTCAGAAGCGGCTCCAGAAACGAACGCTTCTGGGTCAGAAGCCGAGCCAACCAATAGCCGCGTGCTCGACGTGTCCTTCAACAACGCCGCCACAACGACTTTTGTCATTGAGAATGCAAGCGAAGCAGTAGTTCAAGAGACGGTCTCCGCTTCGGAACAAGTGGCAGAAAAGCCAATAGAGTTGCCAACTACGGAATTAAAAACTCTTTCTGCCTTCATTGGCGATGAAGATAAGGGCGAAGTGTTTGGCGCCGTCCTAGATGACGCAGATGACTTGACTCCATCTGAGCCTGAAGGAGCTCCCGCAGCGGTCGACTCGAGAACGGTGCGCGTTGACCTTGAAACTGCCAGTTCTAGCTCAGCAACAGGCGACGCCGTTTCCGAGAGACAGGAAAACAAGAGCGAGCTCGATCAGCCGAATATGCGGTTCTACGACGATTTTGATGACGACGATGGCGCGGGGCCGCATTCGGCCACCACCGCTGCAGTCACGTTTAACAGCGCGGCGCACTTGCGTATCGCGCGTGTGAGCCCATGGGGTGACAAAGAGAAGAAGCACACTATTCCTCACACGATTCACAAGTTGAAGAACACGCACTCCTTGCTTGTGCACGCGCCACACGAGCTTGCTCTGCCGACCGACACCCCCTTTGAGCCGCCAGGACCACAGGAGGAAATGGTGAGGATCAATACCATTCGGTCGCGCGCGGGTGTCCAGCAGGGTCCGTACGCGCACAAGAAGGAGTGCAGTACTCCATTCGAGCACAGTAATCTGACCGTTCTCGGGCGCAACAACTACGGCGGCGTGAACCTGAACAACCTGAGCCACATGCAGCAGGAGGCACCGCAAACAGATAGCAAGGAGAAGGATGTCAAACCGCACTGGCTGGTAAAGGACAATGCGACATCGGCAATCTTTGACTGGGACTTGCGAAAGCTGAAGCTCATCGAAGAAATCTTGCGAACCGACCCAGATGTGCTGACCGTGCAGGAGTGCGATCAATACGCGGACTTTTTCCGACCGTTCTTGGCGCAGCTCGGCTACCAGTCGATGTTCTGCCCGAAGTCGAACGCGCCGGGTCTGGCCCGCGGCTTCTACGCGGATGGCGTCGCCTTGTTCTGGAAGCATCGTGAATTTGTACTGAAGGAGCGATATCGTGGCATTCTTCCACCTGGCAACGCCTGCGTGATGGTCATCCTCGAGTACTACGAGGGCGATGCCGTGGATGCAGCGATGCGCCGGGAGAGCGAGGAACAGCACCACGCGGGTGATGCCATGGACCATGTGCACCAACATAGCCATACTACGATGACCATCACTGTTAAGGGCCAAGATGGTTCCGAGCGCATAGAGAAAGTTTCAGTAGCGGACGACAACGATCAGCCTCATCGTTCGCACGGATCTCTCCGAGCGGCCTCTGAAGATGTCAGGAATGACGAGGACCTGCAAGTCATGCCTAGCGGTAGTCCGCTCGCCGCCACACCGCGGGTCCAGGTGAGCTGGCAGAACAGCTTCTCCGGCGCCGAGTCACCCTTCCGCAAGAGCGGGTCTCGCACTGGTCTCGCGGATTCCGGTAGCTACTACCACGACCAGAGTAGCAGCACCGTCGCCGGCGGAAACTCATCATCTGCTGTAAGAAACACTAGCTCATCCGATGGCTTCGTCGATGACGAAGAGCGCGCGATGGTTGTTAGCGACATGAAGCAAGGAAACAGGCGTGTCACGCAGTTTGCCAGCGGCTACTTGCCGCCGCGCAGAACGCACCCGAAGAATCCAAGCAAGTTGGCGGAGAACAAACGACAACACCTTCTCCACGGCCACTACGGCCTCGTTGACGTCGTCGGCAAGGTGTTTGCTGGCGCGGTTAATGGCAACAGCAGTGACGCAGGTTCAAGCGCAAACGGCGCCAGCACACCGCGTCTCGGTCTTCAGTTCGGGAACTACACTCCGAACCTTCCCTCTGCCGCATCTTTGTTCTCGGTCACCGCTGACCAGCAGGGCCATTTGCGACACCGCATCAGCCGTGTGTCAACGATGCTCCCCGGTGGGTGCTGGATCAAGGACCCGGATGAGGTGATGAACAGCACACGCAACAATGACTTCCGTGCGCCGTTGCAGGTCAACACGCCAAGAGATCTGTCGCTTCCGGACTTCCAGGAAGTGTTCCGCCAATCCTTACCACCATCCCATAGCAAGAACGCCCAGCCTATGGACACTGGGTTAGCCGAGAAGCTGCACCAGAGCCGATTGATGAACACTCCCGCTACAACTGGAGTTGTCATCAACAAAGGCGGCCGCTCAGCGAAGAGCAGCAAGAACCCGCAAGGCCATCAGGACTTGGAACAATTCCACAAAAAGAAGTACCTCTTGCTTGCGACAACGCATCTGAAAGAGGGTGAATCAGCCTCAGACGTAGCTGCCCGAAGGGAACAGACGGCGTTCTTCCTGGACCAAATCGAGGCAATGAAATATTCTTTCAGTCTCGAGTACGGCCGTAAAATTGACGCCGTCATCGTGAGCGGTGATTTAGCGACCAATCCTTACAACAACGAGGTCTTGCCACAAATGTTAGCGCCCGTAAAGGAGAAGAGCACTGTCTTCCAGTCGGCCTACAAACTGCCATCCAGCGAGAACGAAGTCGGCGTTTTTGGCGGCATATCACGGGTGCAGCAGGAGCGCGAACGCAACGCAAAGTGCCCGCCAACAACGGTAATAAAGTTCTATCAGAGGCGGGAGAATTATATTACTTCATCTATAAAATTTCATGTCATCATCTTCTTGTTTTAGCGCGACTGTTCTACGTCTGTCTTCGTCCGTAGTACTAGTGTACATTACCATAATGAAGATAAGTAAGCAAGTTGAGTGTTGAGCCTTAAAACTACACTTACTCTTACTCTTACACTTACTTCAAGTTCCAAGTTCCTCTAAACACCAGGTCTCCGCCTCTGGCAAGCGTTCAATATCGGACTATATTCTTAGTTCGGGTCTGCAGCTCGAGAGCCGACTGTGGATGCCATTCATGAACGAGACTGGCGAAGAGACGACGCAGCTGCCATCGAAGGGATATCCTTCGGACCACTTCTCTCTCGCAGCTCAGTATTCCTTTGCAACGGTTACCGTGATGAAGCCGGTTTCAAAGACGAGCTCGTGAATAATTATGGGTGTAAATACTCCGCGTTGAAGGAGGTTGTACTTATGATTAGAAGGACGGCGCCGGTGCTCGTCTAGGCTTAGCAGGCCTAGTTTGCTGTTCCTGTTGTGGATCGATCCGATTCTTCTTGAGGAGTTTTACTTTTGCTTCCTCTACTATTGACTTTGCATCTGGTATGATTATTTTTCAACGTATTTTCATCTTGCCCGTACTGGTGGTTTACAGGTAGTATGATCAAACTCCGGAAGACGTGATGGTAAGCAAGCACCTAGCTACAAAAAAAACGAATGATGTAAACAACGGAACGTACAACATGATACGGTACTGTTCAGAATTGGTAAGTACATAGATAACAATAACTCAATGTCAATCTCAAGGTTGAACAATTGAGTAGTATGAACTGGATGCTTTGCATAGAAAATACAAAATTTAGCTTACTAGATTGAGATTGACACCATTATATTTATAACAGGTATCTGTAATTCTGCACAGTTCGAATACTTAACATGCATTTGAAGCACATCAACACATTGATATTGAGTTTACGCCGGACGAAAAGCTGCTGTAGATGAGCATGAGGATGACCAGCACAACGTACATCTAACTGAGATTCATAATGATGAAATTGAAAATTTCAAAAAAGACTTCTAGAAGAAGGCACAACAAATACTCGTTCGACATCAAAAGAAAAAAAGCCGCGCTGGAATCGATGCGAAGCAGGCGATGTCGTAGCACAAACGCGCTGGATGATTGACGAAAATGCGCGAAACACAGAATAACTACAAATTCTAAGAAATTCACAAAAATTATACATAGCAATTTGAATTTGTGCAAGATTGGCACAACATCGATCATGATTTATCAGTATTGTTGATAGTAAAGCATTGAAGATTGTGACCGTGACAATTATATCTCTTCTAAGTTTACGCGGACACATGCACATATTTATTGATTAGGGATTCATCAAATTATCCATGGGAGTGCAAAAAATCTAGATCTGCAAATGATATGAAGATGCAAAGCATTACCACTACAACATTTTCAGTTTGTCTTTGTACCTATCACTTTCGATTTGTAGCGCTTCAAAAAACATGCAATATTTGATGGAACAACTATAGACAAGATAAATATGGGAATTTAGAAAGACAAAAATGTGGACTACTGACACATTCACATTGGGGAACAAAGATATATATAGAATGTAACCGCGACCGCAGCATGGAGGAATGCTCGAGGTGATGATACCAATGACACGATTGCGTTTTGTTCGATAGGTCGCAACATGATTCTTTGGAAGAGAGGTGCTGGAGTCCAAGTAGTAGCATTATGGAAATCGCTCAGCGATTTCTATGGGAACGAATAGAAAGAGGAAGTTTTGAGGAACTAGTGTAGAATTATGTGTAGGAGGCATGCAAACAAGAACAGTTCACTCTTCTAGGGTCAACAGAGAGACGATGTGCTGGAGAGGATACTAGCATGATGAGCATGAAGATGACAGGAGACGAAGTGCAACAGGAACGCTTCACATGATCTGCCTTTTTCATGTGTTGATATGACAAACAGCTTTCGGTATCCTCATTCTTCACATCAGCTGGAGACAACGAACGCTTGATCTCGGTAGTACAGAAACAGAAAGTATTCAGTTGGCAACGTCGGTCCTGTCGAGAAGGACTAAAGAAGAAGAGGCTACCCAAACATCTTTCGTTTTTTCTATTGTGTTGTGGTGAATCTTTTTCTTGTACTTTGTCGTCGGATTGGTCACTTCATTCAGAGAGTAGACCAGGTTATTCATCAAACTTTCCGATTCCTCATCACATGGTTGGTGGATAGTATTAGTACCGAAATAGTAATTCTTTCATCTTCATGGCATGTAAGTAGTTGGACGATGTATTTCGTTGCGCCTCGTATGTCTCGGTTTGTTGTATTCGCTCGGTGAATGGCGCAAGTTCTACTTGCTGTTAAGGACGATCAAGAAGATGTCGGCGTCTTATGAAAAGGCGCCCGCCAGCTCGGAGGAAGACCCTGGTGACCCAACAAAAGATGCGGAGGCGGAAAATCATCCTTCTGCGCTCGCAGAGGCGGCAACTATCATAGAAGATGCTCCACCGCCGCCCAGCCTGTCGCTGCCTCCGATGAGTTTACTATCGATCCGTGGACGCCGAAAGTCCCACATTTCGAGTAGCGCAACGTGTTTCTCTTTGTCTCCGGCAGCCAATATCGCAGGAACAGCAGATGAAGGAGGTGTGGATGAGGGTACGACTCGGGCCACTGCAGACGGGGGGGAGGCGAAGCCGTCCGGTCGCACGAGTGATTTTCTAGATCTAACCGCATCACTTTCTACGAGTCGTCCTGGCAGCATTACGTCTTCGCTTTCGACAAGCAATATCTTCCGGCAGCCACGGCGTAGCGTAAGCGTCTTCGGTGGAGGAGGGAGTCTTTTCGGAGGGAATCATGCAGCAGTAGGTTTTGCCGGTAATTTTTCTCCGCGACACAGCATTATTGTCGGTAATAGCACTTCGTTTCCCGCACCAGGTGCAGGGGCTGCTGGAGCGACTAGCGCCTTGGTTCGAGCTTCGCTGGCAGCCTCGCCGGGCGCCGTAGGCTATTTCCAAGATGGATCTTCGACTGCACACAATATAGGCGCAAATTCAGCACTGCAGCATTTTCTGGCTCGGAAAAGCATGGTTGCGGCTACCGGTGGCACAGGTGCGCTATTTGGCGGCATGGGAATCGTTCCTGGTGCCACCGCGGCTGTTTCTGGCACATCATCAGGCAGAGCAGGCGCGCAGCCGCGATTGAGCATGAGTGTTTTACCTAGTGCGCTGAGCGGGCGGGATCGTGTCGCAGAATCTTCAAATAGTTTTGACGGTGCAACATCTGGGGCACCATGCGGGCAGCCACTAGAACCCGATCAACAAAATCAGTCTTCACTCTCTGTGGCTGCAGCAGGCGTTGTGAATCGACGTGTTTCAACTTCGGTGCTTTGTGATGCCTCTGGGACTTTCACTGGCGGAGCAGGTATGACCGCTGCAGCTTCAGCGTCGATGCGCAAGACAACGACTTCGATGGGGCTCGCGGCCAATGGGCACACTGAGTTTCTCATTGCCGCTGCGCACCAACGGATGACGATCGAAGAGGATGGACCGGGACTCGAAGCATATACAAATGTAGATGCACAATTTGCAACAACAACTGTACATTTTAGTGGAACTAATGGTCTTCACGTCTTGGACGGTTCGAATTCCTTTCCTGATCAGCTTCGTGGCGCCAATGGTAATGCAGTCGCAGGAGCCAGCGGCTCGAGTAGCGCAGCAGCTTCGATACAACTGCCGTCAGGAGGAGCTCTGGGCGTGACTGGGTGTGGAGACGGTGCACCCCCCAGGAGCAGTCCGAGCCAGATTCCAACGTTACCTTTTGATTCAAAGAGTAATCCTGTTGTGGTGCCGACTATATCCATAGTTCCAGGCAGCACAGCACATCAACATCTTCTTCTAGGTTCTGCGAGTGCTAGTGCTTCGCAAAACTCGGCTGCGCGCCTCTCGTCTGTTGCGGCTCCAGGCTTCATTCAGCACGGTGGCCATCACCTGTTCAACTCGCGAGCAACCGAGGTTAGGCGCGAGGAATTTCTTGCCGCAGTGCTGATTCAAAAACGTGTGCGGGCTTTCCTAGCACTGCGCAGGGCCAAGCATGTTCATGATGAGTGGCAGATGCTTTTTGGACAGCTACAGAGCATGGCGCGACGCTGCAGTGATCCGTACTCGAAATACCGAACTGCGACTACAACTAGGAAACCAGGTCCTTCTAGAGCCCGGACTCGCGCCTCGTCATCCAGAAGTAGAGCTCAGACATCGATATTCGCTGGAGACAGAACCTCGCCATCGAACGATAACGGCGGTGCTCAAGTCGACTTGACAAACGCACTGCGTAATCGAAGTTGGGACAGTCGATGGAACAAGTTTGAGTCATCTTCTGCTAGTTGTCGGGGTGGCGAAGCTGAAAGAAGAGCAGACACGAGTATTGCTGAAGCGCGTCACAGGGATAGCACGGTTAGCAAGTATCACCAGCAGAAGGCACGCCCAAGAAAGATGTTGCAGCTGTCCGCTTCAAACTCCTTCGCTTCAGGCTCACCGACAAACAGCGTGCCTGGCACACCGACGAGCGCCTTCGGCGTCGAAAGTCAGCGATCCAGCTGTCCTACTTCACCACGAGGTGGGGATGTACTACAAAAGAATAAAAAGTCACGCAACTCAGGTGGTGTGTACAACAATGGAGGCACTTCGTCGTCTTCGACGGGACCAGCTCGGCCGTCTACAACTGTGAAGAAGTCGATATCTTTCACACCCACAACTTTCGGCACTGCTCCGCGAGATCGTTCGCAGCAAAGGTCTACGACTAGAAACAAAAACAAGCGCGGCGGGAAGGACCAAGCTGCTCCTGGTGCAGTCGAGATCTTCGTCAAGTCTCCAAGGAGGGACACCATCTTTCGACCTCTGAAACCGGATATATCCGGCTCTTGGTCCTTAAGCCCGGCGCTAATGAACGGTTCGCATGGTGCGTATCAGGGAGGAAGTGCTAGTAGCCCGTCCACAGCTTCGGCTTTCAATGGTAGGGCCTCAATAATCAGCAATAAGCTCAACAACGGAGAAATATACGGAGGTCGGCGGAATCCGCAAACGTCGTCGTTTGCGCCTGGATCTCCTGTCGGTCGGCGTGTGGGAGGAAAAGCTGGAACACAGACCAAGTCAGCTACTTCGCCAACAAGTTCTTCACCACAACATAGTCCGCGCAACGACCATAATACTGGTAACAAGAGTAGTAGGAAAGCTGGCGTTTCAGGTTATCGCAGCCGTGGGTCTCCACGTTCTCCGGTGTCTGAACAAAGCCCTTGTGGCAGCGCTTGTTCGCTGTCACCTGCACTCAGCCCGACACGCAGTCCTGTGTTGACACCACGACAGCGGAGCCCGCGCGGCAGCTTTAGCGGTCCAAGCGGACGAGGACCCGGCGTGCTTACGCTCGAAGACGCTTTAAAAAGTCGCAAAGAGGTACCTATTTTGCAGAACGGAGGTACGCTGTTGTTTCCGAAGAAGGAAGTGCGCGCTGCCAACAGCCGTCGCTCGTCCGTGGCTGCATCGGAGGTCTCTGACGGAAGCATCGAGGACGACCCGATCATCATGGACGAAATGCTTGGGTTTGAAACGCTTGTGAACAAAGAAAAAGCAGAAAAAGAGCAAAAAGCTGCGTCGTCGAAGCGAAAGAAGGAGAAAGGTGGAGATCAAAACGACGACAAAGAGCAAGAAGTACAAAAAGACAAAGCAGAGGTCGTAGTTGAGAAACACGCGAATGGCACCCCTGACGGTATTTATCCTGAGAGAAACGGAGGAGAGGACCCGGCGATTGGAAATGGAAGTGGACAGCAAGGCAAAGACCCGACATCATCCACTACTTCTTCGAAAGAGGCACCAGCAAACTCAATTACTTCAGGAGGTGGTCTCGCTGTGGACCCCGCAAGGCAACCGCGAAAGAAGTCGCTGCTTTCGTTTGACGGGGTTCGCCGCCGCGCTAGCATCAGCAAGGAGAAGAACGATTCAAAAAAGTCCTCAAAAGAGAAAGCGACCTCAGGAGATACCGCTGATCAAGACGACAGTTCCAAAATTGCCACTGATCTCAAGACTGCCGGATATCGCCTCGCTGTCTTGGCAGAATTGGCCACACAGGCAAAGCGCAGCAATCAGAATGGGCCACATTCCAGTAACAGCAGCTCTCCTCGTGGCCGTAGTGGTAACTCTAGTCCTACTGCCAGTCGATCTCAATTACGAAGAAGAAACCTTAGTTCGAGACGTGGAGGAACGTCTCCGAGTTCGACGAGCTCGAGAAACAAGAATGACAAGACCCATCGTTCAGCTTCTGCATCGCGCTGCGGTCGTTATGTTGATGGTCACCGTGGTTCAGATAATCAGGCATTGACAGTATCGTCACCTGGCTGCTCACCTGTTAGACGGCTTGCGCAATTGTCTTCGCTGTTTCCTTTTGCAAGACGCAGTCTGATTCCAATTGTTCTTCAGAAAGCGTCGCAGACACCATCGACGATCCTAAATGCGAAGTCGTGGCGTCATCAAGGAGCAAGTGTGCGACACGTAGTAGAGAAGCAGCAAACAGCATCAAGATCGCAATCAAGAAATAGAGACAGTTTTAAGACGAGACCGGACGGATATGGAAAATCATGGAAAAATAGAAGAAGAAGTGCTACAAGTACAAGTGGTGCAACGGATGACAAGGACAATAGCGACGGAGATGAATCAAAAATGTGTGGGAAATACGAACTACTATCGCGAATCGGAGACAAGCGTGCTGTAGCCTCGGCTTTAGCGAGGGCTGCTCACGATCCTGACGAACTGGAGACGTTGTTGAAAATGCAAGAGACGGAAGAAAAACTAAGATTACGAAACATCGTAGGCGCAAGCGGAATAGTTGGAGGAGAATATCGTGAAATAGAAACAGAAAGAACTACGAACAATGCATTTGCGCCAGAAAGAAATGCGACTCGAACTACCTCCTTCGCATCCGCCGAACACCAAGATCAGTACAAGAAGAACGTACGAGATGCTGGGACAACAGCCTCTGGAAATAAAGCGGTCTTTTCCGTCAGCGATTTCAAGCAGCATTGGCACCGGTTGCAGGAGCAACGACGGCCACTTACTTGGCGAGGTCCGGCGAGAGAGCTGCGCACGACAATTGAGAATCCACTTTTGTTGAAAGATCGGTCGTCGGATGCGGATGAGAGATGGAAGAAGTCGTCGTCAAGGGCGACCACGTCAACACGCATATCAGGCATCGACGGTTTCGTTTTCTGTCATGAGCGCATTCTCGACTCTAATGCGATCTCGAGACCCGACAAAAAGGCATGCTTTCAGCACTATTACACAACGATCAATCCGTCAAAAACCGCCACGGTAAAACTGCTTTTGCAACCGGTGCGGGGCGGCAATGCCTGCATCAATTCAGGCGATCATAAAATCACATAGTAATAACGTTGAAGTAGATCATGATGCCATGGAACAGAGATGAGCACCATACCATAAAAAGACATGGCCTCAATCAAATGGTGAAATTTGATGGGCAATATTAAATATGTAGTTATTTTCATTACACTGTCACAGACACAGTCACTAGCTGGGCCAACCCTAGCGGTGGATGCTGCATCGGCGTAGAAAGGATGTTTAACTGCATTGCTTGGTGAATTTGTACTTCGTTCTTGATGTTTTTATCGCATCATTGGATTGGTCATACGAGTACATGTAGTACATGATTCTATCTCTGTTGAAGTTCGAGATCGTCTAAAAACCTTTGTAGAGATTCTCTTGGACAGTTCAAGTATAGTACAGATGAAGATTTCAATATGGGAATGAAAAGTAGATGTAGTTGACGACTGGGCTTGTACTAACTAAGGTTTTACTTCATTCTATTTTTTCATCGATTATGAATTGCAATTGGATTCTATCTGTCTCATCAAAATGAAAATCCACTTTGAACCCAAAAGTAAAAGAATACCAAAACATGTTAATTTTTATAGATGTTTATTAATATTGTCATACTTGCGATAGCGATCTAATATACTCCTCATGTGGCAATAAACGAAAGCGTTATCGTCAAAACATGTATGCCAGTGGTTCTAAGTCGTTTTCATTTGCCTGAATGAATCGTTGTCAAAAAGTGTGGTATTGTCGTGCATTTTCTGGCTACTTTGTGCTGAAGACTAATCCAGATTTTGCTGGCAAACTACGTGGTTCAACGGGAAAAGCAGATAATAGAACCGGTGTTTATCCCGCATATCATCGTGAAAAGCTTCGCTGAATAAAATGAAAAGTTATCTCCTCAGCCAAAGGAGCACCTGCACCGTGGATGCCACGGCGGTCAAAAATTTATCATTCGCAGCATTGAACTAGAACTTTATTAATAGAAGAAGTGCAAGCGTACGTGGGAACAAAAGTGTCAAGGGTTGTGCCCATGGGCGGCGATCATCATCTCACGCTGGGGCTAGCATTGTTTAGTTTCATCTTCGCTCTACCGGTATGGGTACGTGCGCGCATTTGTTTGCTCGCAACAAGACGAGATGATATTAAGATACCCTACAGTGACAATGCCTATGTCATCCAGCTCCACTCGTCGAGATAATGGTCCTCCCGTCTGCTCTTCGACACCACGATGTGCTCTCTCTGCCTCGCTCGTTTTTGCTACCTGGGTTTTGCATGAGTTGTGTGGTGCTACTGCACAGCAAGGATCATCTTTCGGGTATATGGAGCATCCGAGCTTGCGTCTGGAAGATAGGCGTTGCATAGTAGACCCCTATGAGTCCGTAGATTGCGGCTGCTGTGTTTCCAATCTCGCGCATTTCGTCGAAACCGATAGCTATTACCGTGGCCAAGCGATGACATGCCGAGACTACATACGAGCTTTCGATGAGGTGAGCTGTCTCTAACTCTATCTGTTTGAATGTCAGGAGACTATGACAGTTAACTAGAAACTTCTTCATCACTTTTACATTAGGATACAGGAAGGGGAAAGCTCTATGGCGTCTATTATGATCATCTATATCCCTAGTTCTGCTACTCCTAAGCATCTCTTACAATTCAAGAACTTTACCATCTTGACTATCATCATAAATCTGATCTATGTATACGAGGTTCCCGACGAATGTGGGCTGCATACTCACGGTGGGCGTATACCAGAAGACCAAAAGATTTGGCTCTTACAGAAGCTCGCTGCAAAAAAGTCGCAGGGTGCGACTCATCCAACAACTGATGTTCAACAAGTTCAACAAGCCGAACATGATCAGGAGCTCCAGCAGCACCGCGACCATGAATTTGAAGCGGCTTTAAACCACACGGTTGTTGATCTCGTGAGTTTTGGGCCTTCAGCAGAGAAGGATTTCGGAGAGCATATTTGGCCACGTGTGAAATGCGAGAATAACCGACTGTGGTGCGAATGTCCTCGTACTCTCACTATTTTTTTGCTAGAGTAGTACTTGGTATAATTACTATTTTTACAGAAGAAGTTGCTACAGGTAGGAGCAACAAGATGGGTTGTCATTGTTTTACTGATGATGAGGCACTTACTTTAGTTTCTTCGACGCTATGCGTACTAGCTTGGAGCGTCCGATAACATCCCTCCCACTAGGATCCCCCTCCTCCCCAAAATAAGAAACTAAGCAAGGCAACGACGTAAGCGATACGCGTTTTCAAATTTCGAAAATTTTCCACGTTTTGCCACCGTTTGGGGATTGGGTCTCGTGCGTTTGAAGTCAAGGGCTAAGATCCCAAAGCTTTTTGACTTTCAGCCCTTTCGCTGAAATTTAATGCCTTGGCTTCGCGTTTTTCAAATTTCGAAAATTCTCCGCGTTGTGTTGTCGTTTTGGGATCGAATTTTGTGCGTTTGAAGCGCTAAAGTCCCTAAATTTTTGATTTTAAGCCCTTTCACTGGGATTCAGTTTCTTGGGTTCGCGTTTTTCAAATTTCGAAAATTTTCCACCTTTTTCGTCATTTTGGGACTGAATCCGTTGACTTTGAAAGGCTAAGATCCCAAAATTTTTGATTTTAAGCCCTTGCCCTGAAATTTCATTCCTTGGATTCGCGTTTTTCCAATTTCTAAAATTTTCCACGTTTTTCGTCGTTTCGGGAGTGAATCCCCTGAGTTTGAAGCGCTAAGACGCCAAGACTTTTGACTTTAAGCCCTTTCCCCCGAAATTCAATGCCTTGGCTTCGCGTTTTTCAAATTTCGAAAATTTTCCACATTTTGCCGCCGTTTTGAGATTGAGTCACGTGAGTTTGAAGCGTTAAGATCCCAAAATTTTTGATTTTAAGCCCTTTCCCTGAGATTCAATCTCTTGGCGTCGCGTTTTTCAAATTTCGAAAGTTTTCCACCTTTTTCGTCATTTTGAGAGTGAGTCAGTTGATTTTGAAGGGCTAAGATCCTAAAATTTTTGATTTTAAGCCCTTTCTCTGAAATTTAATCCCTTGGATTCGCGTTTTTCAAATTTCGAAAATTTTCCACGTTTTGTCGTCGTTTTGGGATTGAGTCTCGTAAGTTTGAAGCGTTAAGATCCTAAAGTCGTGGCTTCTTGGTTTCATGGTTTCGTGGTTTCCTGGTTTCGTGGTTTCATGGTTTCTTTTCATGGTTTCGTGGTTTCGTGGTTTCCTGGTTTCCCGGTTTCTTGGTTTCCTGGTTTCCTGGTTTCCTGGTTTCCTGGTTTCCTGGTTTCCTGGTTTCTTGGTTTCCTGGTTTCCTGGTTTCCTGGTTTCCTGGTTTCCTGGTCTCCTGGTTTCCTGGTTTCCTGGTTTCCTGGTTTCCTGGTTTCCTGGTTTCGTGGTTTCATGGTTTCATGGGTTCATGGGTTCATGGGTTCATGGGTTCATGGGTTCATGGGTTTGGGGTTTGTTTTTGTGTCGGAGGTTTTGGGTTCGGGTGTTGGAGGTTTTGGGTTTGGGTGTTGGAGGTTGAGGTTTCCGAAGGGATGTGTTTGCAAAGTTTTATTGCTCTTAATACTAGCCTAGAGCGACGTGTAGCTCATTTCCGCACTAGAATCACCGCGCACCATCACAAACCAAAAAAAAAACTTGCCGGCGCACGTGCAGGCACCGACCTAAAACTTGCTCTATGCACCCACAGAAAGGAAACCCTTCCACATCCTGAAGGACAGCCAAAAAGGCGCCCGGAAGGGGGAGAGGCGTTCTGGGATCTAGTAACGTCCGAGAAAAGTAGCCGAGGCCGCTGCCCTCTCTCCTTCTATTAATGTCCGAGAAAATTGGCCGGGGCCGCTCCCTCCCTCTTCTTCTATATTAATTTGCCTGAGAAAATACCGAGACCGATGGACAGGGGGAACCGCTGCCCCCCTCTTCTTCTATTAATGTCTGAGAAAAGCCGAGGCCGGCCCGATGGATAGGGCGGCGGCTGTCTCTCTTCCTCTCCTTTTATTAATGTCCGAGAAAACCCGAGACCGATGGACAGGGCGGCTGGCTGCCCTCTCTCCTTCTATTAATGTCCGAGAAAATTGGCCGGGACTGCTGTCCCCCTCTGCTTCTATTGAAATTAATGTCCGAGAAAAGCCGAGACCGATGGACAAGACGGCGGGCGGGTCTTCTATTAATGTCTGAGAAAAGGCGAGGCCGATGGGTTGGGTGGTGGCTGCCCTGGTCTTCTCCTATTAATGTCCGAGAAAAGTAGCCGGGGGGGGCTGCTGCCCTCTTGTTCTTCTATTAATGTCCGAGGAGAGCCGAGACCGATGGACGGGACGGCGGGCGCCCTCCCCTCTTTCTATTAATGTCCGAGAAAAGTAGCCGAGGCGGCTGCTCTCCTCTTCTTCTATTAATGTCCGAGAAGAGCCGAGACCGATGGACAGGACGGCGGGCGCCCTCTTGTTCTTCTATTAATGTCAGAGAAAAGCCGAGGCCGATGGGATGGGTGGTGGTTGCCCTGGTCCTCTTCTATTAATGTCCGAGAAAAGTAGCCGAGGCCACTGCCCTCCTTCTGTTCTTCTATTAATGTCCGAGAAAAGTAGCCGAGGCTGCTGCCCTCCTCCTCTCTATTAATGTCTGAGAAATGTCGAGACCGATGGAGAGGGCAAGACACGGCCTACCCTTCTTTCAGCGCTTGGCCTTCAATTTTGGCCAAATTGCTAAATTTTTGATTTTAAGCCATTCGAGTGAAATTTATTAGAAACCTGACCGACCCGGGCGCGGTGTGTCCCTCTCTTTCTGATCCAGCGCGGGCGCTTCTCTATCTGGGCTGGAAGGTCTACAAATTTTAGCCAAGGCGCCAGCTTTTTGACTTTGATCAATTACAATTTGGGCGAAGTTGGAAACTCATCGCGCGCACGGTTTCCCCTTTTTTCGGCGTTTGTTAGTTTTTAAATTTTGGCCAAAGTGCTAAGCTTTTGACTTTAAACCATTTGGAAGGAAATTAGAAACCAACCGCGTGCACTGCCTCCCTTTTTTCTCGGCGTTTGTTTTTTAATTTTCTTTGGCCAAAGTGCTAAATTTTTGATTTTAAACCATTTTGAGTGAAGTTAGGCACCTGGCTGGGATGGGATGGCACGGCTTCCCCTTTTTTCGGCGTTTGTTAGTTTTTAAATTTTGGCCAAAGTGCTAAGCTTTTGACTTTAAACCATTTGGAGCGATATTAGAAACCAACCGCGCGCACTGCCTCCTTTTTTTTTCGGCGTTTGTTTTTTAATTTTGGCCAAAGTGCTAAATTTTTGATTTTAAACCATTTGGAGTGAAATTAGGCATCTGGCTGGGATGGGATAACATTAGAAACCAACCGCGCGCACTGCTTCCCTTTTTTCTCGGCGTTTGTTTTTTAATTTTGGCCAAAGTGCTAAGCTTTTGACTTTAAACCATTTTGAGTGAAATTAGGCACCTGGCTGGGATGGGATAGCGCCGCTTCCTTTTTTTTCGGCGTTTGTTAGTTTTTAAATTTTGGCCAAAGTGCTAAATTTTTGATTTTAAACCATTTGGAGCGAAATTAGAAACCAACCGCGCGCACTGCCTCCCTTTTTTTTCGGCGTTTGTTTTATTTTAAATTTTTTCCAAAGTGCTAAACTTTTGATCTCAAACCATTTTGAGTGAAATTAGGCACCTGGCTGGGATGGGATAGCCATCGGGGTCTAAACCGTCGGGATCTAAACCATCGGCCGGGATCTAAACCATCGGGACCTAAACCATCGGGACCTAAACCATCGGGATCAAAACCATCGGGATCAAAACCGTCGGGATCTAAACCATCGGGATCTAAACCATCGGGATCTAAACCATCGGGATCTAAACCATCGGGGTCTAAACCATCGGGATCCAAACCATCGGGATCTAAGCCATCGGGATCTAAACCATCGGGACCTAAACCATCGGGATCTAAACCATCGGGATCTAAACCGTCGGGATCTAAGCCGTCGGGATCTAAACCATCGGGATCTAAACCATCGGCGGATGTGTGTGGCGGTGTGTTTTTTTTTGAGCGTTTTGGAAATTGGTTGTTTATTGTTCATTTTGTTTTTGTATTAACATTTATTGACCCATTCTCGAGATGAGAGTGGCTGTGGCACATCGTTAGAGATTGGTTGTAAAAAATTAGCAGCATTTTATCAAGATCAGTATCCGCATCATTATCCTAGCGCAGCGGAGTTCACCCCGGGGGCGGATTTTAGTGAGGACGGGTCACCTACAGCAGATGCGGAACGCGTATGCGCCGAAGAGCAACGACCTTGCGCTCTGTTCTCAAAAGAAGAGGTTTTGGATCCGAAGTCGACCGCACGTCGCGATGCCCAAATTTTGGAGGCGTACGCAGAGCTTCATCATTCGCGTGCTGCGGCGCTGAATCCACTGCGCAAAGAGGACATCGAAGCTCTACCGCAGTGCAAAGCTGCGACTACTGGGAAAGGTAATGGCGAACATTTACCTACAGCAGAGAATCAAATCGGAAATCAGAAAGTAAAGCTGTACTCGACACTTTCAGGAGACAACCCAACTGCGAATTCACAACTGCAGTCAGAAGAACTGGCGAAGGAGGAGAGCCAAGCGGGCACCGGTGACGAAGTAGGTAGAAAAGAGGAAAATACCGGGTCAACTACAGAAGCGGAAGCAGTCCAAGCAGAAACTCCTTCAGGAACAGCAGGCATAGACGCTGGCACAACAGGAACTACTGGAGAAAGTGAGCAGGAAGAAGCGTCAGGGGCAGGCTCAGCAGTTGCAAGAACGGGTCTCGGCTTTTATCGATGTCGATACCTGTCTCCGAAAGCCTGTGAGAATCACTTTATTCGCTATCCTGTCACACCTGGAAAAAACGGGAATGTGTTAGCGGATCTCAGAGGCACACAGAAGATAGATAAGCCCGACACTTTCGCATCGGCCACAAGCGAGAACTTTAAGACGAACCCAGTTTGTCGTTTGAAAATTGTCTGTATTTGTATCGGATTTATTGAACGTGTCCACGACGTAGTAGTGTGAGTTTTCCCACGACAAAACTAAAGCCCGCATTTATCGATGATATAGCGACTGACTCTTTTCTAAACTCTTCGAAAACAACGGCTTCTACCGGTGTCAGCTTGTCCGCAGTATTAAGAATCAAGTTTGTCCAGGAACCGTTCTCCCGCGGACCTTGCAAACACAGCGAAACCTTGAACTACAATACAGTGCCATGCGCAATGCGTTTCACCCTGAGATGATTATGCATGTCCAACCTCAGCCCCATACGCATGCATCCGGCAGTGAGCAGGGGAATCAACAAGAAGCAGGACGGGAAGAAAATCTGAAACATCCTGACCTCTAGTCACTTAGTTGGAAGAGGCAATTCATGGAACAACATGTGATAAGTGTGATTGTTGTTGTTCTGTATCATGCATGGTAAGAAACAAAAACATAATCATGATTATCAAGAGACTAGATGGCGATGGTGAGGATGAGAGGTGCGCCCTTTTCTTTGTTTTGTTTTCTCTTGCTACTTATCCCGTTCGTTGTCGTGTCCTTGGCTGGGCAACACATGGTTATGGACTGCAGGCGCAAGGCAGCTGTTGCGCTTGCGATGAGTCTCCTCGCCGATATTTTCTGGAGTGGGAGACAGTGGGAGCTAGCCTCGTTTCAAATAGGAAGTAGTAGTCGGTGCGTCGTTGTTGTGCTTTCGGTTTTTAGCTTTACCTCGTTTGAATGCGATTCATCGTCTGTGACTGTCTTGGAAATGGAATCAGAAAGTTTCGGACGCCTTGCACTTGAGCAAAAGTATCTATCATGATGTCGGTGTCTGCTGCGCTGCGCTGCGGCATGCTCAAGATCAATGTCGGTTGCTACTGAGTCTGAGAGGGGAGCTCGAGCTGGAAAATACTGTTCAAAAATAATCATGACATAAGTAGTCCTAGTCGGTTTCTAGCTTCGTCGAAAGAGAATCCTCGTTCGGTGTGAACCTTTCGGTCGAGTGAATGTGATGAATCCAGATGCATATTTGAAGAATGAGAGGGTTGCCTTTGACATGATGATCACATCACATCACATCACATGAAGATGAAGAGAAGATGAAGCTTGTCGCCTTTTTTTTGATGTTCGTTGTATACAAGAACCCGAACCAAGAATTAATAAGACGCTGGCATTGATGTTGGTTGCTCAATGATTGATGATGAAGAAGGAGTGTTTCCAAACGAATACAACTAGAAGACGATCTGGATGAACTAGATAGAACACGACAGTAGTTTGTTTTCCGATATTTACGTCCTCTAATAAGAAGTGAAAATGCCAGCGACCACTCGGTATCTTGAGTTGCACCCGAATGGAATGCTCGACATCGTCATCATGTCGAGTCTGTCCACAGCCGTGGCGCTTGGCTACATCCCCATGTGCAGCCCGTACGTACGGTTTGTACAGATTGGGTGCGCGGTTGCGAGTGGGCATCTTACGGGCCAGTATGTCGATTACAATATGCGCATGCGACGGCGGAATATCTTCCAGCAGATTACGCGACGACCATTGATAAAAATCAAGGGTTCGGTTCGACTCCGCGACGCTGTGGCCTACCTCTACGGAACGCTTGCTTTCGTGTTGCAGAAGCTGTCGGTTACTGCGAAAAAGATAGACCAAGAACAGATGGCGGGTACCCGCGGAGAATCACCGGCAGGCGGTGCTGATGCAGCTGGGAGAGGAGGCGCAGGTGCGGCTGCAGGTGTATCGGCCCGGCTACCTCCGTCCTCGTCCGCAAGCAATCAGGTGCTATTGAGTACGCGCGATATCCAGAAGCAAGCGCGGTTTCTGGAAGGTTTGTGCGATTCGATTGACCCCGAAGTGTGGAAATTCGATCCGTTCCCCCGTGAGCTAAGCACGCCGCAGCATGCGGTAGCAGCTTGCGTGTTCATTTTCGAGCAATGGCAGCTTCACGTGAAGAACTACGCGCGAAGGGTGCTCCACAGTCCTGCAGGAATGGGCCTGTTCTTCGAGTCTTGGATGGACAAAGAGGAGCGTCGCTGCCTCGCGGAGTCCATCCGCGCTTTAGCCGCGCACACGATCTGGCGTCGAGAAGACCTTTGGAAACGCAGCATGTTGCTGTCTCGTTTGTGTTTGCTCTTTCTGGCGGTACTCGACGTCTTACTCCAACGACAACATGTCTTCGACGCGTTCCTACTGAAAACAAGTCCATTTGTGGACGGCCGTGGACTTAACTTGTTGCACTGCACGTTCGAAGAGAAGGTGAAAAGATGCTTGGCGGTGCTAAAACACTTGCTGGCTTTGAATCGAGAACAACTGTGGCGAGAAGAAGCCGTCAAAAACCATGCTGCCCACGACAGGTACTTACTTATTTGTATTGTCTAAAATCCAAAATAATGAAGTCCTTTTTGAATGTACTTTTGATGCGAGGCTTAGGCTTCTAAGGACGTGATTGTAGGACGAGGTGGTGGAGCTATGGTATCACGGCCTCCTCTTATGTAAGTGCTCATATGGCGTAACTGACAGCATATGCAGATGTACAACCTCTTCGCGTTGATTCCACTAAGTGTATGTGCTTTTCATTTCAGGCAGCACGAATCTGATGCGACGCGACCGGACGATCCTCATCGAGAAGAGCACGACGATCTTCTTGATCTCCTCCTGTTCAGCCGGCAGGTTTTCGCCGGGAACAGTTCAACATCAGAGGACACTACAAGTCGCGAAGCCACGAGTCAGCAGGCCCAAAACGAGGAGCGCTCCGAAGTGCGGCTAGAGTTCAACCCAGTGCTGCGCAAGGACGAGCAGTTTTTGGCTCGGTATTTTGGCGCTCTACAGGATGCTCACCTGGCGCAGAAACAGTTTCGTCCAACTTTGCACCAGCTATTTTACAACGATGAAATGGGCCGCCGTCTGCGAGAAGGAGGAGCCGCAGGCAGCAGCTATTTGCAACAGAGTTTGCTGCGACAGAAACGTAACGATCGAACGAAGCCGATGGATATTTTGCTGAAAAAGGTGTGGAGCACACCACTGCCCGATGCGCCGATGGTCATCCGGAATTGGTCACCTTGCGTTGTAGGAGCGCGCATCTACCGTTTAGGCGAGTCGCCGTTGGATCGGGACCCCGCGCACTCTGGGTCTGGTCGCATGTCGTATTTTTTTGCCGGGTTGCCGGCGTGGATGCGCATGCTGATGGATCCAGTACCCCTTACGCAGACCCGGATCAAGCCAAACAGCGAATGGATAATCCGACCACCGTCACGAAAAGATGTAATCCAGGCAGGGGGGAAAAGAGGAAGAACCACGACTGGTGATTCCGCTGCAGAAAATAGGGCCTCTGCATCGTCAGCAATTGCATATTCAAATCAAAGTAAACACCAAACGAGGAAGAAAGGCGGAAAAAACAGGGGTGATTTGTTTGAAGAAAGTAATTGGGATCCTCTGGCAATCAGTCCGACGGATTACGAATTCGAATTGATCATTTTCAGCATGGATGGGATCGTTTTAGACGAGTACGTCTTGTCGAGAGGAGAGACGTACGACTTCGACGTCGAGCGGCCTCCGAGACCGCCGGCAACCATCTCGCAGTATCGGCCACCACAAGCAGCTTTGAAAAATATAATTGCTACAAGTCAGGCCGACGCGAGAAGCGGAGAAGATCATGCTGCGAGTCACGATGGAGATCTTTATCAAGCGAGTCAACTTCGGCGGCGGTTGCACGATGAGCTCGTCGAGCTCGGCGAAGTTGAGTCCAACAACGTCCATCCTCGCTACCCTTCGAAAACATCCAGTAGTAGCTACGGTAACTACGATGACGCGGCAACTGCAGTGGTCTTTACCGGATCCTCGAAAGCGTCCTCCTCGACGAGCAAAGTTACAAGTAGCGATGGACAACACACAGCGCTGTTAGGAGGGGTGTCGAGTCGCGGCACGACGAAAGCAGGCGCACATTCGACCACAGGTAGACTGACTCCACGAACAACTGCAACTGGACAGCGACAAGGGTTCTTCTATTATCCAGAGGAGGTTGCTGCGTCTGCTGCCATCGCGCCTAGTACTAGTGCACCGGCACCAGAGCATGAGAGGAAAAAGATCAAGAAGGAGCGGCTACTGCCACATTCTTCAGACGAAGAAGATGAGATTCACATTCAGGAGACGAATAATTATGGCAGAGACCATCAAAAAGATCACGTTCTTGATGATGACAGTGCGCAGCCACCAGGAGATTACACCTTGAGAGCTTCCGTGGTAAAGATACCCCCATCTGCGCCGACCGTTGCCCGTCGTTGGCGACGTCTTCCACCACGCGTACTTCTCGAGTCGTTTCCGAACTGGCCAGAGTATACTTTGTGCCCGAAGTGCTTTCGGCAGATGGATGCCACTTTTGGATGCCGCAGTTTACCTCGAGAGCTTTACTTTCAAGGTGTAGACTGCAATTGCTGTGCTGCTAAGCGGCTAGACGTTAACCCAGAGTATCTAGACCAGAATGGAAGTTTCTGTCGCTACGAGGAAATTCCACCTACCATGGCAGAAAAAGTCGGGGCGGCTGTGGCAAACGTCGGTCACGCAGTTGCCGCTGCTGTGGGGAGCCTGCTTTCGTGGAACAAGCAAAATGACCCAGCACGACGCGGAGGAGCTCTTGCAGAAGATGTGGGCGAGCAGTTGCGACTGAAAAAAGAGCCTGGCAGCTCTGCTCAAGCGACACACGAAATCAAACTTGGTGAAACAGGTCGTGAAGACGAGGAAACAGATGACGAAGACGATTCGTGGAGCGAATACGATACAAAAGAATACAGCTTTTCTCACATCGAAGATAGGGAAAAACAAGGCGACTCGAGTAGTTGTATGACAACTTCCGATGTGCAACAATCTGTCTTTCATCTACGGTCTGATATCCTCACTTCCACGATGAGCCATGACAACCTTAACCTCTCGAGCCTCGTTGTGGCTGCAGCTGGTAAGCGAACCGGTGGCGACTCGAAGAAGGACCGGAACAAAGCCCAAGACGAAAATAATGCGGCGAAAAGAGGGAAAGCTTGGCAGATGACACGAAAAAGACGCAGAAACATGACGTCAAGCAGCATGCTAAAAGAAAAGACTTCTCCACTCTTTTATGAAGACGACGGCGCGCATGTTGAGGTTGACGAGGAAGATGATGACGAGCTCCGATTTGATAAGACACGGAAGCTCCTGTCACGTCTGGTCAGGCCGGTCGTCCGAAGACTGATTCCAGACGAACGGTCACTAGAAAAAAATGCTCTGCTCCCCCGTCCGGACTCCGAGCAAGAGAACCAGCAGCCATTTTTCCACTGTCCACGCTGCAATTTCGACCTCTGTAAGCCATGTGCGGTCCAGCAACTTCGCGAGCATTGGTGGAAAGAGTAGCTCGAGAAGAACGGGGTCGCGCCGAGACGAAAATTTGGTGCTAATAAGTTGCGAATCTTGATTTCCTAGAAACAAGAACGTGAAGGAGTAAAGAGGGGAGTTCTCCTTGTTCAATGACATGATTCACCCGGAAACTTCTACTTCTTACTTAGGCAATACTTAAGGCTGCTCATCACGTTCAACTTCAACATGACTCCTTGAATGACCGCTTTTCTGATTACTGATGCGATGCGAAGCATCAGTACAAAAAAAGTCAGAACCCCTCGATTTTGACGCGTAAGCCCGAGGGCCACATGATATCTGCCCTCACGTGAGTAGAATATTTGGAGAACGTCGAAACGATTTTATTCGACCGAATAGGGAACCGTTTCGGGTTCGGATGCGTTATCAAGTGATAGCAAAAGAACAAGAACGCGTTGAACCGTGAATCGTTGTCGCTAGTAGGACAAGCATGATGCAGAGAGAAATTGAAGATATCGCCACTTCGTCGTTCGCCCAGTCAAATGCAGGAAAACCCTTTTCTCGATAATCATGATGCACATTTCCAAATTAATTAAATGTATGGATAATTATAGTTTTACAGACCGAAACCGAAGAACAGACACCCAATTATAGATAGAAGACGATAACCATATTCATAACATCAATTACCCCGACGTCTCCGTTAGATCCATCGTTTATACCATCTATGACGCCCTTAAGGCAGTCTGCGCTGAACTTTGTGCGAGATTAGTTGTATTGTATTGTATTGTATTGTCAGAAAAACCTACAATATTGAGGTTAATATCGACTTACTCTTACATCTTCCACAAAAGCACCACGACTATTATCCCGAGAATCCCCAAGAACAGGGACAAGAAACTTCCCTACAAGTACTCGAGTAAAGAAGCAGCATGCCAGAGGCTGAAGAGCCGCCGATGTCGGTGTCCCCACCGGGGTCACCATTAGCCGGCGTGGTTGATAAGCGACCGCATCTAGGGCATTCAGGAATAATGGGAAGAGTCGGAACTTTCTCACCGAAATCCGTCAATGGAGTCCCAACAAAAGATGACTCACCAAAGAGACCAAAAACATCAGGTAACAGCGTAAAAATGATGTTGCTTCTTTCGTGACTGGACATTATCAAGCAGATGCAGATCTTTGTATAACAAACTATAACTTGATCTCTCATGATGATCTTTCAGCACTAGTTTGTTATTCATCGTGGTTCCATTCAATATCACAGATCCATCCATTATTTTCGATTCAGGCTCGGCACACGGCTCAGAAGGCAGCCAGAGAAGAGGGATGACGGAGAAGAGGTTACAAAAACTCTTGTATCTGAAACAAAGGGAGGAGATGAAGGATGCGCTGATACACCAGGTGCAGTATTTCAGCTTTTTTGCTAGAAGTATTTCTTTGCATGTAAGTATTTCTATCGTCGGCTATCCGATTGACAGTTCATCTTGATCAAGCATGTTATTTACAGTTCGTTGAGGACAAGTGATTTTTTTACGATAAAGTGATCTCTTGTTTTGAGTTTGATGTCGAAGTCTCCTTACCAGACATCAAAATCGTGACCCACAACACGTCGAACACACACGACAGGTGAAAATGAAGTACTTCGAGACACATCCAGAGGCGCGAGCCAAAGTCAAGAGAAAGAACATCGACGGCATCATAACAGGAAAGGTGGAGGAGTTCCAAGCTCAAAACGCAAAGCTGAGTAAAGAGAATCTAGAGAGGCTACTAAAGCGAGTAGACAACGAGACGAAGACAGAAGATGACAAAAAGAGCCACATGTCTGAGTACTCCTCTTATCTTGGTTGCTTGGAACAGTAGCGTACGATAGGATAATATCACATCAACAAGTTGAAGAATTCGACAAGAACAAGATGTAGATCATTGAGGTTGAAAACCGAGGAAAGTTTTTTTCCTATTCTTCGTGTCTTTCTTGTCAAACAACATCGTCATTATTTGTTTCGCTTTCGTGACACCTTCACACTCACTAATTACATTATTTTCCGTGATTATCAATTCCAGGTACTCAAATTTGTCGCAACTATCGCACGCGTCGCAGGCGGAATCAGTGCGAGCGCATGTGGAGAGACTGAATGCCGCGCGAGGTGGCGCAGAAACTAGTTCTCCTCCTGAGGATAGCTATGAAGCTGAGGCCACCGGTGAGGGCATTCCACTGACTATAGAGGACCTGATGGGCTTCAACTGGGTCAGGCTAGAAGAATACAAAGATAGAATAGCAAAAGACGAAGACGCGGTGAAGGCTGTCGCAAAGGAGGAGACAAAAGTATTTTCGTATTGACTACAAGAAGAAGAACAAAATGACGATTATATTCTCGTAAAATTAAAAATGGAAATATTTTCGTTGCTGTACGTAGTTCTAGTTGTAGTTTACTTTATCGAGCTCTTTTCGTTGCGGTAGCAGCTAGAAGTTGGAAACAAAATCTCGCCTGACCCTGATGTTGAACTCCAACATCACCACAATTATTCTACCACGACAACCTCAGCGCAACTACACGAAATATTTGGATACGCAAGTGAAAGTGCGAACAGAACGTAAAGCAGCCGAGAAGGACGAAGACGAGATGTGGAGATATGTCATCGAGGAAGACAACGAACGCGTTGCGAAGGAAGATGCGGAGAAACTGAAGAAGCTAGTAGCAATGGGCGAACGACAAAAGAGAGAGCGAGACGAGGCCGTGGCTTTGAAGCATGCTCGCATCGAAGTAGAGCAAGAGCAAGTGAGGCAAGAGGATGTCAGGCTACTCGCGAAAGTTCAACGAGAAATCGAGGCAGCAATCAAGAAGGAAGAAAAAGAGAAAGTCGAGAAGAAAGCAGTTTTCTTGAAGGTCTGACTATTGCTTAGATATACTTTTTCCAGGCCTAGGGCTTTCCATTCAGACATTGCTAGTACCCCCTTTTCTCACATGAAGCAACACATATTATAGTTTTTTCATCTAAAACAAAAACTAGTAAATGTTGGCCGCCGTTGAAATTTCTTTCAGGTAAAAAATGATATAGATGCAGCGAAAAGGCATAAAGAAGCAGAGGAGGCCGCAGCAAAAGCGGAAGAAATGCGACGGGCGCGCGCGTACACGAAATTACTGCAGCAGCAAGAGGAGGAGAAAAAGCAGTTGCTCGCAGCAAGAAACGCTAGACAAAAGGTTGATACTTTCATACATTGATAGATACCGACATTGCTGTTGTTCTGTACCACTTGGAGTATGTTCAGCGTGGTATGTATGATCTTGTTCTCTTTCATTTCTATGTATTTCCTAATTTTGGGAAACCTGGAACTGCGCGTGCGCACCTCGCTCGCCCAGTACCCTCATTTTTTGACGACAGTCAAGTGGACTTCGTTTTTTCGATCAAAAGTGGTACCGTCTTAATTTCTTCAGGAATTGATGGAGAAAATGAAGCAGACAGTGGCAAAAGCGGCCGCTGATCGTGGCGCGGAGGACGAGCGAAGGGCGAATGCGCAACGGAAAGAGAAGGAGGACTTGATGACTGAACTAGAGGCGAACAAGGTTGAAAAACTCAAGAAAATGCGAGAGGATACGAGGGATTACGTCCTGCTGCAGATGGCCGAAAAGAACGCGAAAAAAATTAAGCATCTTGAGGTATAATCAACTTCAACACGACATAATCTACTTCATAAAAAGCTGCAGCAGCTGTAGTTTCTGTTTCAACAATATACGAAGTTGATGAGCAAAATCTTTCCTGCTTCGGGTGAAACGACTACGACACGTGCAACATCATCCTTTAGTAGAGGACACTGATGCTCTTTCATCTACAACAATTCTTGATCCGTTCTAAGTACATTTTGTTCCCTGAAAAAGTCGTTGGCATGTTCAACATAATATTTTCTTCTGTCTTTCATTTTCTTTAGGTAAAAGCTGCCCAGGGTGGTATTCTGCTTGAGGATGCAGAGGCATTTTACGCGGATAAAGAAGCGGAGAAAGAGAAAAAGGTTCAAAAGGGGCAGGCCTATGTGAAGGAGTTGCGCAATCAAATTCAGCAACGCGCAGCGCGCAAAGTCACGAATATGACAATGGAGGAAGTCAAGCTGAATAAGTCGCTCATCGACCAGGTGATCGACGATGAGCTGAAGCGCGGCATTCTCAAACTGTCGTAAAGAACGCTTCGTCAGGATCATGAGGCATTATAAGGCATCATTTGTTCGACTTTCTTACCTCGTCTTTTGCTTCTAAAAACAAGATACTGATTCTGATAGATATGTATGAACTTGCTTCGCGTGCAGTAGAGGTAGAGCTATTTTTCAATCTTTTTCGCGTTCGCTGGAATATTAAAAGACATCTCAAAAATGTTGGATCAACGCTATAATGTAAGTTGTCTATGTGCTTTTTCTCAGAAAAAACTTGCCTGTGAATAGTTATCGCTATTAAAGAAAAATACGAATTATTGCTCTCTGGGAGGTGATAGAAGTTTAGTTGAAGAGAAAGATATAGTTGCATCATCCTTCATTCGATAAAATAGATATCGTACGCTTTCATGGTCGTGAATCGCAACCACACCACACCTAAAGAATTTACCTATAGAATTCTGCTGTCTCTACAAGAAATAGCGAAAATGATTACACTTTTCAACATGGTAAAAGAAAATGCATTTTGCATGCCGACAACTGAATGTGAATGCTTGTTTCGGCGCCTGACTTTCCAGAGGCAGAGCACCGAGTAGTCAGGAGCATACAATGAACTTGAACTGAAATGCACGATGTAAGCGATGTGGCAGGATGACTCGCACAAGTAGGATTATGCCACTTCTTGCTCGTACAACTGGATGGAATAGCAGAGCGAATATTGTAGCATACTAGTTAGTAGTCCCCCCGTCCATGACCACATCCACAGCTCACGGCGACGTGCGCCTCGCCGCAGGCCCTTGTGGACACCCTACAGGAGTATGATCGGGAGGCACACTCAACCTCATGGACAACTGTTGCATGCTTATGAAGAGAGGCGACAGGCAGGACTACTTTCTGAAATTCGCATTTTGTTGTGTTTACCTCTTCATCATAATCTGCAATTATCCTTGTCCTTTTACACGAGTAAATGCATCAAATCTAATAATTTAAATAAATAATAATAGTTGTAACATTATTAACTAGGTAGAAAACAAGATTACGCTTATGCTTATGATATGGGAGAAAACAACATGAGAACCCAGAGACTTATCAATAGCACCGAGAACTAGAAGACCGTAACAGAGCCTGGATATTTCAATTTCTGGACAGAACAAAATTAAAATGAATCTGAAACCTGAACAGAAAGAGAGAACAAGAATAAGTGTAATCAGAACTACAACGCCGATGGCTAGTCAAACAAAATAAGAAATGAATCAGCGACCACAGGGCTGCCATTGCTCCTCGTGTTCTCCTGATCGAGACGTCTGAGGAATAAAACCCCTTTGTTCATCATCTACTTACGTTGTGGGACGAGCAGGATTGGAAAAGGCTGTTCTTATTCTTTCTTTTCTACAGAGTAGAGAGGAAGTCTTCGTAAAAATCCAAATAAATTTGAGTTCTAGCTCTCGATGGGTCAAGGTCGTGAAAGAGGAACTAATCTGGTGAGGTGAAGTACAACTCTCCTCTCTCTACCCTTTTTTGAAGTCGAACGATATTCACTCATATGCGGTTAGCGGATTGCGATACTCTCTGGCAGGGCGGTACTTCGTACTTGTCTCTGAAGAAAAGGCACTTGAGAGAATAAAGTAAGCCGTCGCCGTGAAATGAAGACCAACGAAGTATGGCAAAAGTACGTACATAAAAGCCAGTTCACGCTTCGTTGTAGCTTGTTTGCCCTACCCGTGCTAGCCCATGTTGATCATCCCAGTTTGCGCCGCTGTGTTCTGCGAACTTGTCTTGACTCTACTTACCTATAAATTTGTTCCATTTCAGGAAATATGTGTTGTGTGTGACGTCTCTGGTCGACGTTAGGTGTACTGCTTGTTCATCAAGAAAATCGATTTCCATGATGTAGAAGTAAGCTGCTACACTGTCCTGCTGACTTCTCAGTCCACGGGCATCACTGTAGTAGTTGTGCGGTCCCTACGCTTACTGGCGAAAATTTTCAACTATTTCAAACTTATTTGGTAGCACTGTGATTTTCTTCTTTCTTTCTACTGAGTGTCTCACAACCCTCTGCCCACTGTTTTTTTCGATGCGTAGCTAGAGTAAGGCCAGTAACGGGCTTCGAGTTGCCGAAGCGAAGCGTTCTACGTCTGGAACGAGTTGCCACGAGTTCCCAGAAGAAGCTACCTGCGTCGAAATCGTGGCGAAGCAGGGCGGGCCGGGCGCTAGAGTCCTCCGCGGAAAGCGGGGCGCCCTCTTTGGGAGCTGCTTCGCAGCAGAAGGCGGGAGTGGCGCCGCTTCTTTGCGTTTGGGGTCGATAGTGGCGCGCTCCTCCCCACGCGGTCGCGGTGATCGGGAACAAGTGCCTCGCCGCCCTGTGCTTGTTGGTTGGTTCGTTGGGAAGTGTCAAGCTGAGCTTGCCTTGGGCTTTCGTTCCTCGACGTTGCGGCGGGAGGGGTCCCCACCAAGGTGGGCGCGTAGCTGGCTTGAGGTCGAAGGGTGCCCTTGTGAAACTGAGAAACATGCGGCGGGGGCCGTTTGGGCGGGTCGCGGTGAGTGCGGTTTTTCTTTGGTCGGCAGGTGGGTGGGCTGGTGTGGTACATGCTACACCCCCAGGGCCCCCGCGCTGGACCCGTTGCGGATCTTTTGCTGCCCCTCCTTGGCTGTCTTCCTCCTCCACTGGCAAACTCCCTTTCTTCCGGCCCGGAGTATTCTTGTTTTGTTGTAGTACAACGTCTCGCCAATTCATTGCATGGAGCAGAGACACGATTCGCAGCGTCGTGCGCTCCTTTTAAGGTCTCCCGTAGTCTCATGAAGGTGCGCCCGCAGGGCGCTCCGCAGAAAATTAGGGTGGGCAACTCGAGCAACCCGAGAAACTCGGCCCGATGCGGGTCCAAAAGAGTCCAGCGCTAGGGTGGTACTTTGATGGGATGCGCTGCGGTGCAGGTTACTTACCTCCAGATGTGGACTCTCCTCATTTCAAGCACTGTTCTCTCCGCTTCAAAGCGTATAACTTTGTGCCACTTTTTGTCTGGTGGTGCTCGCCGACGTATTCATTGTTTGTCGTTTTTATGTTCTTGTCGGTTGTCGTGGTTGTAGCTAGTGCTCATCGCAGAGGACGAGGTAGTACTAGCGTAGTCTTATCTCCCTGTTCAACTTCAGTTTGTAATTGTCTTTTTACCTCCTCCCTGGGTCATTTCCTTTTCATCTTGATCCTTTTAACAAGCGTAAAATATATCAAAAATGGAGCGTGGTTTCCGAAGTGCTGATTCTCGGACGCGTGGTCGAAACGCTCCAGGTCGGGAAGACTACGCCGACCGGGATCGTGGGGCACGGCCGCGTTCACGATCACCACCACGTCGCACTCGCAACTCAAGTAGTGAAGAGAAGCAGAGAGATCGTCCTCGTGGAGGAACACGACAGGACGGCCGCAAAGCAGCCGACTTTTCACGAAGAGGCGACTCGCAGGGACCGTTTAGCTCAGGCAGAGGATCTGTTAGTTCAAATGATGACCATAATACGAAGAAAGCAAACCAAAGTAGGATTAGGAACGGCGGAGCACGAGACGCTTCATACTCGAGGAGGCCGGCGGTTCGGTCGGCAGGTGATAGAAATGTTGATCGCGAGGGGCGCAGCAACGAACTATCCAATATTGGACCAGCTGGTGGAGATAGTAAAAATAGTCGTAACTCGCACCTTCCACCCAGTGGGGCTTCAGTGCATATTCCGTTGAAGACAAAGTCCAAGAAGGACAGGAAGAACAAGCGACCGCAGAGTCTCAGCCCAGCCCGCCAGCAAGAGGACAGAGCGAGGAATGACGGACGCACGGAAGGCAGCAGAGAGGACTCTCACAATCCGGAAGAGAGGAGAGAGCCAAAACAGCGTAAAACCCTTAACAAGGAGACCGGTGACCGCGATACAAGGCAATTGTCTCCAGTTTCGGTTGGGGAGGCTTCCGAATTAGAGGAGGTCACTAGAAAAGCGTCGAAGAAAGCCCGCAAAGGCGACAAAAAAGACAGAGGCGAGAAGAAAGCCAAGAGAGAAAAGAAGACACCTCGGAACGCGCCTGACCATGAAAACGCCAGTGAGGGGAAACCCGCCAGGAAGCAAGCACGAGCTGATGAAGATGGCATGGATGATTCTGGTAAGAAGCCGCACCGTTCTGCGCCCAGCGAATATCTAAGGAAAAGTGAAAGCTCGAAGGAGCCGGCGACGGGCACAGAAGAAGGCCGCTCATCAAAGGAGAGAGTCGCAGATACGAATAGAGGAAGAAACACGTCAGATTCTATCTCCAATCTGACAAGAAACTCGCCGTCTAAGCGTGAGGAGCGCCCTCGCCACCACAACAACGTTCGCAGGACGAAGGAAGCGAGTCGATCCTCCGCATCTGACGACGATCGAGATGCGAGAAATGCTAAGCAGCAGAAGCAGTCTTCGAGAGGAGGGGAGCGCCACAGACGTGCTGGATATCGAGACGAGGAAGGGCCACGGGCTGTTAGTAAAACACTGGCGGAGCAGAGTGAGGACAATGATGACAGTGAAAATCGGAAACAGAATTCATCTAGTAAGAAAGTAGATGTGAAGCTGAATCCGGAGGCCGTGCGTCCTCTGGAGGAAGCTGGAGGGGATCCTCCTGATAAGAAGAAGAAGTCAACATCTACAACATCTACCTTTGGGGTTGCCGCTACACCAACGAAGCCCCCAGCATCCTCAGCCTCGGCTACATCGTCTACCACTAGCGCCTCTGGACCTCCAGAGAGGAGCCGGCCGCCTGACGGATTCTTAGGACCTGAGAGAAAGCCATCAGTGGACGTAGACAAGCGAGAGCAACGTGTCAATCTCGCGCCTGTTCCTCGTACCATTATCAGAACAAAAGGAGATGAGAATGTTGACACAAAGGCAAAGAATAAAAGTCCGGACAAGTCTGGTATCACGCTGAAGCCGCGTCCCGGCTTCGACCCAGATAAGAGAAACAAGGTGGACCACAATTCTTCTTCTAATATGAAGCAAGGAAAACCAACAGGAGAACCCCCATCCAGAGGACGAGCAGGAAGTACAAGTACAACCCTCGAAAAACAACAAGGCAGCCAGAAAGGCGAGACCGTTCGAAATGCGTCCACACCCGATGCTTCAGCGAAAGTACGTCCTCCGCAGCCAAGTAATCCGCCGCCGCCTTCGGCTTCAGGAAAAAAAGAAGGTGCAGGAGCAGCGAGTGTACAAGTCGTGGCTGCAGCGTCTTCAGCTGCCAAGACAAACAAAATTGAAGAACAAAACGTACCCTCGAAAGATGGTGGATTCACACAAGCACAAGGCCCAAAGCAGAACAAAATGGAAATAGAGATTCACAGCAGGCCTCCTTCCTCAACGTCAGTAGTTACTCCTTCTTCTAGCCCACAGTTGACTAGTAGAACCACAAGCGGTCCCGCCGACCAGATGAAGACAACAACTGAGGCCCCGGTTGTAGTCATGGCTAGAGGTAGCGCGGATGCAGCAGACCGATCCTCCAAAACAGTATCTGCTTCCCAGAAAGAACAAGCCGTCATAGGACCTCAGCTACACTCGACGGTTGGAGCAGCGACGAAGACTGGCATTCCTCCACCACTAAGTGAAAAAGCTGGCACAGCGCACAGGAAAGGAGCTCCACTCTCCGCTCAGGGAGCTTGTACGGGTCCCTGGAATATCAAAGTAAACAGCGAACAAGAGGACGATGATGTCGACGGAGTGCCATTGGATGTAGGTGAAAAGACCGCCGCACGAAAAAAGTTCGAAACGCAGCCTTTTGGCCCGCTAATTCACAAGCCTCCAGGGTCTCTATCATCGTCACACGCTGCTCACCACAGTAGTAGTTCAATGCGTGGCTTTGCATCACAACAAGCCAATAGTGGAGGAAGTACAAGTAGAACTTATAATAGTTTTGACAACAACAAGTATAACAATAATTCTGGGCTAGCACCTTCTGGCTCGCGGACCACAAGCGCGAGGTTCCAACCAGCCGCTGAGCGTCCCCGTGCACCTGGGGATTATTCTTCGAGCAATTTGCCGAGCCCCGGCATCGGCCCTGCCGCTTCTCCCACTGCAGTCCTTCCTCCACCTAGTGCTAGTAACCAACAACAGCATGACGCAAATGCAACGAAGCGATCGATTGGTGCGCTGCAAGCGAAATCGTCCGCCCCACCGCCGGCTTCGGCATCGCAATCTATTGGAGCGACCGGCAAACCGACAGGAGCCGGGGGCAAGGAGGCAAAAAATTCGCAGCCACACATGCAGCCAAGTACTGGAGCGCCAGCGGCGGCGACATCAAATACTGCCGTACCACTGAACAGTAGCAACTACAAAGGCGCACAAGCATCGTCGCAGCAAGCAGCAGGAAGAGGGAAAGCGAACACTTGTGGGCAGCAACATGGCAAAGGCCCAGCTGCGACAGTAGTCAATGCAGCTGCAGGCGGAGGGATGGCTCCGGCCGGATTTCAATCTGGCAACAATGTAATGTCGAATACGATGGCAATGCAGCAGGCTGCTGTCGCAGGAGCAATGACCGCTGCTAATATGTGGCCTGCGCAATACGCACAAGTGGCTATGACTCCCGTCAACATGGTATTGCTCTTTTTGCGAACTTCTAAGCCCTCACTCTCACTCTTGTTCCTTTTCATTTCGTGAAAGAAAGTACAACAACTCATCTTCATTTATGCGATTATAATTTGTTTCATTCTGTGGATCGACTGGTGCCCATGATCAAGTTATTTTGTTATGTGTCTGTGTGGATGTGCTTTCTATCTCCCTGATTTTCTCTCCTGAAGATGTCAATGTCTTGTCAAATAACACTATGTATCATGTTTTTTCAGATGGGTGTGGGTCAGCCAGGATTTTCGATGATGGTTGTGCCGAGTCCCAATCTCATTGCGGCCCCTGCTGGTGCGCAGACAATGCCCCAACAGTCTCCGCGTCCGGCGCAGAACGTGGTCGGGAAAGGGAAAGACGGGGCGTCGACAACACTACCCGGTGGCGCACCGAAATCTTCGGCTGGCGCAGCACCGGGGGGCGTCACCGAGGCCGACTTGAGAGAGCAGCACTTGCCCTCGGACGATGACGCTGATATGAAGGAAGTAGAGAAGGATCTTAGACGAGGACCACGAGACCGCGAGAGTTCGTCCAGCGGAGGAGGCCACTCATCCTCGTCCGATGAAATGAATGAAGAAAATATGCTGCTTGCTCATGGATTGACGAAGGAGCAGGTGCGAGAAAAAGAAAAACTGAAATCAAAAAGACGCAGTCGTGCAGAGCTGGATTTACGGCAGGCACCTGGGCGGGATCGAAGTGATGCTACGTCAAGGCACGGGGAAGGCAACAGAAATGGAGACTTCCACAGTTTTTCAAAAATGAATAGCACAAGTGGCTTTAACCAACAACTACAACCTGGCAGTCAGAGGACACACGTCGACCTTCAAATGAATATTAGAGCAGGAGGTGGAGGCCGCGGACAACATCGCGGTGACTCAAGGCACCGTCGGTCACGGAGTCCTCGGGGCCGCAGACAGCGCAGCAGCAGTCGCCAATGTGGTAGGGCCGATGCTCCTCAACAGAGGCAGTCTTTCGTGACTGGCGCAAATAACATCGGACCGATGCCCTTACCAGATACAAAGGCTACAACTGAGGCTCTGATTGACAAACGCGCCAACGAACTCTTTCAAGAAAAGCTAAGGGCTATGAAGAACACACGGCGAGAGGACCCCATCATCTACGATTCTTCAGATGAAGACGATGAAGAAAACCACTTCTCAACATGGGTGGGAGAGAATATGCACCCAGTGGACATGCTTGCCCACAAGGTAAAGCAGAATGTTTGTTCATCTATGTAGAGTATGTCTTGATCATCGACCTAGATCTAGAGTATGTGTTGATCATTGTTGTGTGTTTTTGTTCTGTATCTGTAAAAAAATATTTGTCCGTCCTCTGGCATTCTTGATGTGGTACTGCGCTGAACACAACACGGAGAATCAGCTACTGTGCAACAGTTTCTTTAGAACTCCGAGATAGTTCCTGTAGTACTATCTCAATGCATAGCGATCCAGACTAGTCTGCTCCTATCTTTTATCTTCAGGTGAAGTATCACAAGCCACAGACGGTCTTTCAGAGCGATGATTTTCCTGGCTGCCTTGCTGCTCTCTACCAGCCAAAATATACTGGAGAAAATTTGGAATATTATGCGCAGCGTTTGTTTGAGTTTCTGCGAAGGAACATACAGTGGACGACGCGCAAGAAGCACCACCAGGTCGCGTGGTACACACAGTTAAGAGACAAAAGCTTGACGACCTTTTTCGACGTAAAGAAAAAGAAATCGTGAATGAGCATATTTTTACTTAGTTCGAGGATGCTCAATTCATTTTTGTCCAAGAGTAGAAGTACTAGGAGCATGCTTACTACTTAGCTCAGTTGGATAGATTGATAAGATTATCATGTTGATTGCAGAAACAGAATGCGTCTAAGATCCAAGGACAAGAAGGTCCCTTACGGCTACGATAGAAATGGCGCGTACGATCCGATAGAGTTTCCAAAATGGATGCTCGCGATGCGTAGGCACATGCTAACAGTCCTCAATCTTCCCCAGGATAATCCGCCACACGGGTATTAGTATTTTTTAACTAAAGATAAATCTTCGCGGAAGCTCGTTGCATGATCTATTTTTCACTGTGTATTTACTCTGACGATACTTGGGCCTTCTTGATCTGGTAAGATACCGAATATTCTAGAAGCAGCAAACCAGTATAATATGATTCAGAGCTATTCCTCATGCAGGTGCAACATTAACCTCTACGAAAACGGGAGCGCAAGCTTAGGAGCCCATTCCGATAATGAGGGGATTTTCGACGGGATAAGAAGTGCCATCAAGATTGTGTCATTCTCACTTGGGCAGCAACGCACCTTCCAAATCGTCGAATGGAACAAGACTTGGGACGAGAGTAGGCAGGGGATGTACAATAAAGTGCTTAAGGTTTTATTGGATGTTAGTCTTATCGTCGAGTAGATGAATTAGAGCCACTTCGTAGAAAAATCGATAACGCCTAAACAAGAAGTACGTTCATCTCCGAGTACCTGCTCAAAATTTTCGGAGCAACCTGACTTTTTTATATTGTTAATGAATTTACAATTATGTTATTTATGATGAACCAACTGGGAATCCAAATTATATGTGGTCTCTCTGGCTCTAGGTCTAGTCCAAAGCGACGTCAATCTTCACAGAACTACTAAGTGAATAGCAGTAATTATATTGCAACTTGGATATGTTGGTTCCATTCACGGCCCCGTCTTCTTTGTCTAATCTTTTTAAAGAAAAGGAGCTGCCCCAGCTGAGTTTTATGACGATGGAGGGAAACTTTCAGCGAGACCTGAAGCATCAACTTCCATCGGAGCCTGATCGGACTTCTCCGCGAATCAACATGACGTGGCGCTGGATTCTAAAGCCAGAAGCGGCTGGTGATGCGCCGGAACAGAGTGGCAAGTGTGCCCGCGGTGGTTGGAAAGGAGGCAAGAATTTGAATAATCGCAATCGACCAGACAACCAGCAAGGGTCATTCCACAACAATTACGGCCAGGGTAAGATGAACAACATGAACATGAACAACAGGGCTGCGGCAGGCGGAATCGCTGGAACGCAGCAACATCACCATAAAGGATACTACAATAACTTTTACAGGGGGAACAATAACAATTTTCCATACGCTGTTGGTGCTGGCACCAACACAGGCGGCGAAGCTGCTGGTGAGGCAGACCAAGTCGGAGGTCAGAATTATGACGAGCAGCAGAGTGGAGAGGCAACTTCGACTGCCGCTGGCAGTGGCGCCAAAGTCAAGAAAACACTACAAGAAGTAAACAACGAATATAATCGATATGCGGACGAGAACATGGACGTGGGTGAAGGCGGACAGGATGAACAATGGAATGAAGAAGGACAGCAGGATGAGGAGAAAGCGTATGGAGGAAATGATCTTGAGGAAGGCGCGGCAGAAGGCCAGCACTGGCAGGAAGATGAGGACAGCGCTGATGATGAAGAAGAAGAAGAAGAACAAGAAGAAGGTGGTGGACCCGCTTCGTCGTCGACGCAGCATGTTCAAATCAGTGCCTCTGGAGCCGCGAGCAGTTACAACAATGATTTTGCTCGTCCGGCCATGAATATCATCAATAGACAAAATTGGCAAACGCAGAGAACGAATAACTACACAAACGCTGCGACTTTTAGTTGCGGCAAGGGACGTGGGAAAAATAACAACCGTGTTGCAGGAGGAGGTGGCGGACATCATTTTCATAATACTACCGGAGCCTGAGCACGAATACGAGCACAATGAAGAGAGCCAATAAGCCGTTTTTAATTTTAAAGTTCGACATGTAATTGTTGGTGACATATTATACTTAGAACTCCGAGGTTGCAGAAAAAAATAATAAGCACCAGGGGACGCAAAAGACATAGACAAGCATCGTAGATGTGCGACAAACATAGAGATGGCGCATCGATGGTCCATTCGTCTTGCCAAATTTGATAGAGATAGTAACGAAGAAGGGAACATACCCTGGCTGCGATTACAAGATTTATCCACTAGATTTCGAGGAAACATCAGCTTGCTTTTCGGTGTTTGACGAGCATATTAGCACTGGATGCTTACCGATCCATGATTGGAAAGAGAACGAACATGCGGGTGATCCGTTCTGTCTTGTATTCTCAAGAAGCATGGTTGTACAAGAATGATTATGATTGGCGGGGAGTAGTTGTAGTGGTAGATGGATGATCGCCCGAACAATTACTTAGCTTCTACTTCCTTGTACGTAATCAGATATCTCGATCCTCCTGTACAAATTTTAGATTTAGATGCTTCATCTTTATAAATGAATATGCTCCTCGATGATGTATGAAAAGTAGACAATTCGCTCGTGTACGGGCATTATACTTTGGCTATTGACTGCTTACTTGTTTTTAGCTGCTCGTTGAACGCAATACAGCGCTTTACCCCTTTTGACAATCAAAGAAGAAATCACGCCCGACCCTACTTGATTCCCTTTCCCACCCCTACAAATATCTAACATAGCACAAGGTGACCAACATTTGTACATCTCTCTTTAGTAGTACGACTACACCTCACTCTCAGATCTGCTTTGCAGTCGTAAATGCAACTGCTCCAGGGAACATCCGAACTTGTTCCATAACATTGTTTGAAGGCAAAAGGTTAAGCTGCCTGGATGAGTGAACAGTTTTGAGAACAATATTGTAGAATAATTTATATGACGGATGTAGGATGGACTTGGATGGATCGGATGGCATGGACCTACCGAAATTCTTGGGTCCTACTTGAAACGCTTAGCGAAGCGGGGAAGTCCATCCGAGCCATCCGATCCATCCCATCCTGGACCGGGCACCTCTATAAATTATTCTAATAAATATTGATATTTGGCAGTAGACAAAGGACGCCTGCATGGATGGGCGGAAAGAAGATAGTGTCACTTTCCCAAATTGGTTGAACAACCAGAGCGGTTTTGAGTGAGAGAGAAAGCGTAAAGTAAGAAGAACCAGAGACTTCATTTTATCTGTTTGCCACCGGCATCGCATCTTGAATTTTTTCGCATGAGAAAATAAATAGATGAATTATTCTGCGACAAAGCAGTATCAGTATCTATATACTTACGGTTATCTACCTTCGAAATTCGCGAAGTGGTGGCGGAAGACTCTGTTCGGTATTCGGTGGATGCTCGTGAGTCCGTCGAGTGACGCTGTAACTCGTGAAGATGTAAAAAAAGGTAAGTGAGTAGAACTAGAATGATGAAGCTAGCATCAACAAAATGCTGAACATATCATCGAGGAGGCTCGGCATGATCCTGCTTGGGTATTGTCTTTTGCCGTTCTTTGTGCATGCGACTACGACTACTTCAGGGAGCTCCTGTAGCGCTGACGCGGGCAGCGCGACGCAATGTGCCAACTTGATGCGATCCTTCGATTGCTACGATGATTTAGGTTCGCAATGCAGGCGACTGAATGGTCCGACACACCCTTCGTGTACTCAACTCGAAGGTGTGACACTACGAGACAGCCTGTGCTGCAAAAGCTGTGCGACATGTGGCGACTTTCATTGGCAATGCGAAACACAGTATGTCAATTATGGAACTACAAATCACATGCAGATTACTTTTTAAGTACTCACGTGTCGTCTGTGCATCAAGTAAGTAGATGCCAAGAGAAGATTGGTAGTAGAGTCAAGTCGAAAATCAATTCTTCAAAACCAGAACTTTTTCGCTTCAATCCACCTTCATATTCCATACTACGGCTGCAACGAGGATTTGCGTGTGATTTGCGCGGATCTTCTAGGACCCACGGAAGGCAGTTGCACGCAATTGCAGAATCGCCTTGTGAAGCTGGACTGCTGCCGGAGTTGTCGCGACGTAGAGTCTGCGGATGTGGCGACGTTAGTAGCATGGGAGTGCAATGCGCATCGCGAACTACGAAGGACCAACTCTGCTGAGTACAACTCATGATGATAGGTTTCTCAAAACTTGTGCATTTTAATTCTTATCGTGCTGGTGCCCTCATGATTACAATTAGCTCTACTCTTAAGGTAATACAACTCCGTCAAGAACAAGATGAACTTCTCCTTCTGGTGAATAATCAGCTACCAGTCCGGTGTGGCGGAGTTGCAAGCGACGGGATGCGACATGCAGTCGCTCTTGCGGCCCTTCGATTACTGGCGTGTTTCCCCCGTCGTGTGTCGAAAAGCTATGTGCAAAGCGTGGTTTGCACTTTACACACCAGCCTGTAGCTGCTTTTCCGACGAGCGCGACCTAGCCCGTGAATTTCGAGATGATTACTGTGGCGCTCAGATCTGGGGTTCTCAGTACTTGGAGATCGACCTTGGCGGCAGTCAGCAAAGTTGCGGAACTTTCTCCTTCGTTGCCGGCAGAGTGAAGTACGAAAACACACTACTGAATGGCCAAGAAACGACAACGAACGTCGGAGTCGTGCCTCCTGCAGGTGGAGGTACTAGGCCGCTAGCTAATTTTGATGCCCTTGTTTTCCTCCATTTTTTTTGAATTTTTCATTATGAGCGGTATCAAGAATATACCCAGTTATTCTTATTGTGTCTCCACCTTTTTTCCTTATGAGTTTTTAATTTCGCTTCGTGAGGCTGAGCGATCCAATACCTAGTTGTACACTCACCAGGCACAAGTTACGGCGTTCCCATCAGCACTGGTAGCGTTCTCAGCAATGACAATGCCGCTGGCGTATTCGAAGCAAAGCAGCAGCTGGCGAGTCTTACGAGTGTCGGTTCCTACACGCGCTTATTCTGGATCACGGACGTCGATACATCTACGCAAACGTATCGTCTAGTGATTGGCATCGGTACACGAAAATTTCTCGAGGAAGTGGCTATCCCCAAACTCGCACAGATTCGGTGGACGTCAGTCGACTACTACAACCTTGATCCCGTAATGACGCTAGCACCAGTACCGGCAGGGAGTCTACTTCAGTTTAGCACGACTGCGTCTCCAATTGTAGTTGTCACGACGACAACGACGACGACGACTTTGTTGGATGTCGCATCGGGAACGGGGTCGGCCTCCAATTCATCCAGCACCAATAGCTCCGGCTCATCTACTACCATTTCCACTGGAAGTAATGCAACAGCTTCTGCAACCACAGCTACAGGAGGGGATTCCAGTAGTGGAACACTGACTCCAACCACCCCCGCCGTTCTACTGCAGACTCCTACGACTACGACTACGACAGCGCGACCGATTGCCGATTTCGGCGCTTTGCTTGCTGACATATTCGGTGCGTCGTCAGCAACGGGTTCAGATGTCGGAGCAGATCTGGCGACGGGTCGTGGAAGCGGTGGCACATCAGGAGGAACAGCAGGCGGCACTACTTTTCAGGCAGGTGGGATTCCCGTTCCGCTACCAGCTAAGCTGACATGCACGAGTCCTGACGGCAACCCTGCGACATTGGCCGACCCTGCTTTTTCCTCGCTGAGGTCATTGAAGACGGCGGGTTCGTGCCATGGAGATTGCGGGGGTCAGTCGCATTCTTCGTCTATTCAGAATCGTTTTGTTCAAAAGAATTCATTACCAGCTACTGCGATTGATATAGTAGAATTTTCTGACATTGGGATAGAAAATTTCAGGATTATTTCCTCAGCGTCAGCATCACCTCATGGGCAGGACCGGGAACTTAATGAACTTGACCTTGTTAGCCAAGCTGAGCGGGAAGCGCGACGCGCGCTTCAAGCTTTCGAATCTGCAAAGGATGGCGTAACGCAACACGACATTGCTGCCAGGTCAAAAGAAACCGCAAAAGCGATCACAGAGGTGCAGCGATTGCAAAATTTGTCGGCACCTGTCGATAAGATTCTCGTCAACACGTTTTGGCGTAGCAGTGTTCTGCAATTTCATTTTAAACTTTTTTTTCATCGTTTTGCGTTTTCAGTTTTTTGCTGTGCAACACACTTGCTTCGCTCAAGAGCTGCTGAAGATGTGAATGAGGCTTTGGGAAAATTGGAGCGGAGGCTCGTCGGATGAAGAATAACTAGTAGATGATCAGTTATTAAAGACAAAATAAACAAGCAATTGTTTCATCTACTTTTGAGGAACCATTGAGAAAAAACATGGATGAGGCGTCAAAGAAGTGGCTGAATGTGAGTCATTTTGACCACTTGACCGCAGCTGTTTCGGATCCCCGCAACGGCATATGGCAACGCATTGAAACCAGCATCATCGCCAATCCGAGTGGCGCGGACAAATCAAAGGAAACGGATCAAGACAGCCAACAAGATGAGCTGCAGGCTGGCACTGCAGCAGGGAGCAAAGAGAAAGACGCAACAAGTGAAAATCCTGCAGAACAACAAGCGAAGGGGGTTTGTGCGTCGAGAGTAAGCACAACTTCAAATAGTGGAGAAGCCGCATCACAGAGCTCCTCAAGTTCCAGCACGACCACTACGAAAACAGCGGAAGACCATGGAGGGGAGCAACCGGCATCATCATCATCCGCTTCTCCGCAGTTGCTGCCCGCGAAAACGAACCAGAATGAGATTGATATCACATTGCATGGGATTCAAGACTTAAGCCATTGTGAATGCTTGGTGTTTCAAAATTGGTACGCCTCGAAGCTGTCTTTGTACGAGGTTGGACTGAACCGCCGTGAAAAATTGATCCTGCACGATTATCGACTTGTAGAACACCCTTCCTACGAAACGGATCAGCAGAGCTATTTCGCCATATACCGGTCACAGCTGGATACCACGGAATTCTTTTCAAGACCGGCCGGGAATCGCAATATCGTACTGAATTACAGACGTTGCACATTGATTAATGAAGAAGACAACTAGGAAACTCGAATATATATGGATCGTGGATATTGACATGGGCATTGAGCATAACGTCAACATAGACGAAATAGAGAGCACCCGGATAGTACCATCTGATAGATTCTTCTAGCACTAGGATCGGTTGGAAACCAAGAGCGGTATCTCATTCTCAATAAACTGTCACTTCTAACAGAAACTGCGAGCACGGCTAATTCAAGAGAGTCCAGTGTGGGGCCAATGTGGACTGCGGCATGTCACCGCGTACAGATTTCTTGCAGAGAAAAAACCGACTGCCTCAACATCATCGAGCAAGGGCGGCTCTACTGGGAAAACTGATGCACCTGGAGCTGGAGGGTCTAGAAGTACCGGTAGCATAACTTCAGGAGCCACGAGCAGCGCAGCGAGTTCGTCGAGCAGCAGCGCCGCTTCCAATGCCTCCGTGGCCGGGGGGTCAGAGGGCGGTGGAGCTTTAGCAGCAAGGAAAGAGCCACACAATGTGGGAACAGCGGCAAAAGGCCAGGATTTGGTTGCACTAACACGGCGATTTCGAGCACTGCATTCTGAGTGCGCTCTGTCAGCAGGCGCTCTGCCAGCACTGCTCCTCTACCGTTCTGCTGCTGACGCCGGCGGCTCGGGCAATTCTAGTAATACAAATAACGCACCTTCAAAATCGACTGCAGGAGCACCTGGTGGTATTAGTATCAATTTCAGTGGTCCTTCAGCAGGGGGAGTGGGAAGTACTGCAACCAGCCTCATAGTAGATCGGCCTGGAAGTGGAAACCGAGACAAATCAGAGCAAGACGACATGATGGCAGAACGGAAGGCCGGTGAAATTTGGGACGTTTTTCTCTCCACAAGGCATGATTGGAGGAAGTAACCTTCTATCATTTATTTGTGCTGGACATGTCGTGCGCTGTTGAATATCGTTCCATTTCTTAGTTTTGTTCTTCGTTCCTTCTCGGTTCTTGATTTTCTCTTTGTTTTACTCCATATGCTCTCTTCAGAAAGAGATTCTGTTCCTGGTGAAGGAGCAATTATAGGCTACAGAAATCTGACCCTTTGAAAATGTCATCTTGCGCGTCGCATAAGGTTGACGCGGCCTTTTTCGCTACGCACAAATCAGACGTGATCTTGTTTGTGTTTTTTTTTGTTTCGAGGATGCAGCATGGTAGACATCAAAAGTATCTATGAATCGTTGGAAGAGAAATATATCACATCAGAACAATCTCAATCTGCTGAGCAATTCAGCGCCAGGGCTACTGTAAATGTCTTTTTGTGTCTTTTTCTCGTGATGTCGATGTCTCCTGCGTCGGATCGGTAATACGTGCACGAGGTGTCTCTGCAACTGCAACTCCTTGTATTGCATGATCATGGTGGTTCATCGTAATCTACTTGTGTGGCAGGCTCTGCGCCTACACCTTCAAATCTTCAACCAAGATCATTACAGGGACTCTGTGGACGGTGATCGTCAGACATCGAGAGGACCGACTAAGACGATCATCGAACGATCTACAAGCTCCATGACCATGATGCGCTTGTTGCGCATCACCAGTTCTCAACCACTAAGCGGTCTTCTCACTTTCTCATGTTCTATGTGGGAAAAGAGTCTCGCAGACGCGTTTTCTTGTGAGGTTTTGTTTTCTCCATCCTCTAGTTAGGTGAACTTGGTTCAGGCTCTCTGGAAGATATTACCGTAATGAATGCGTGTGCGTCTACCCGCTTTCGAGTAGAAAGGCTAAGTAATTTCTCGTTCGTTGTTGAGTTTCTTCTTCAAGCAGCCACTAGAGCCAGACCATGAGGCAGCATTGATCCTTGTTTAGCGACGTCAAACACAAACAACACGAAAACACTCGAGTATCTTTGAACTGCTTAGTGCTTTGCCGCCAGCAACGCGACAAGTATAGTTCAATATATGATTCAGGGTCAGACGGTACTCCCCCCCGCTAGGGGGGGGGTACCGTCGCCCCGCGCCCTGGAGCATATATGTTCCTGCGTGCAGGGTAGCAGGGTAGCTGCCCCTCCCCCGCGTAGGGGGGGGCGTGGATCCCCGGACCCCTTTTTGGAAGCGTCTGCCCGGGGTGGAAGGCTTCCAAAGGGGTCCGTGGGGCCTCCTCCGCTCCCTTCCAGCTGCCTGCGTGTACCCTACCGGCTTCCTATCTGCTGGCCCCTCGCCGTCGCAGCAGTTTGCCGGTTGTGGAAGGCCTCCGAAGGCGGCAACAGGCGCAAGGCTGGACCCCCTGGGCCGCGTGGCTTGTACCCTCCGGGCCCTTGGTCATCGGCCTGCCGGCGCTTGCCGCGCATTTGATGAGGGCAACCCAGCAAAAGGGGCCAGGTCTCGACAACGTGGCCGCCTTCGGCGGCCTTCTCCCCGGAGACGCCCAGCCTGCGAGGGGTCGGTAGGGGCCGGGACGTCTGTCGGGGACCTGCAGAGAGGCGCAAGGAACCGCCCGCTCCCAGTTTTGACGCCTTTCACCCTGAGAATCTGCGAAAAACAGCGCGGAAAAGAGCGCGCAAGCGCCGCCCCAGGGCCATCCGGCGGGGGCCGTGCGTCCTTGTGTCATAAATGTATCAGAGTCGTTTAAAAATATAGCACGCATGGAGTGGCATGGAGTGCATGGAGCACCTGCAGTTTGCCAGCGCATGGAGTGCATCGCAGGCGTGTAACGGACGGGCACGCGTGGAGCATGCTTTGCCGGGGAGTGGTCTGATAGGGTAGACGCCGGGGGGGGCGCTTGGTGATGTTTCGGGGGGTGACGTTACCGGCGGCGCCGCCGCTGGTTTGTGGGGGGCCTTGAGCTAAGGGAGCCGGCTTGCTAGTGAGTGGCTGGGGAGTTGTAGCCTGCTGTCGGGGGTTTGTAGCGTATGTAAGCGGGGAGTTGTAGCCCTAACCATGGGCGGAGCCGGCGGCGCTGAGGCTGTTGCCTTGGCCGCCTTAAGGGCCCCCGGCCGCGAGTGGGTGGCCTGGGAGTCGTCGCTGTCAGGGTTGGCTGATAGGCCAGACGCACGGGGGGGAGCACTGTCTTGGGTGTAATATAAATATGCCCAGGGGTCGCGCTCGCGACGTCGCCGGCGGCGCTGCAGCGGCTTTGCTGCTTGGGCGGCCTGAGGGCGTTGGCCCTGGGCCGCGAGTGAGCGCGCCGGCTTGGGGGCTCTGCGTAGCAGTCGGAGCTGGGGTTGGTAGGTTGGGCGTCTGAGGTGCCTCCCTGGAATACCGAGCTGAGGCGTGTCTACTCTGGCAGAGAGGCGCCCTGGGGCGCCTCGCAAAATTTTCATGCATGGGGTGCATGGAGTACCTGCTCCATGCTAGTGCTACTCCATGTGTTCCATGCACTCCATGCCGTGGGCGCGGACAAGCCTTACAAATTGCTCTGATATATTATATAACAGCTCTACCTTCCAATGTTACAAGCTTGAAAAGGTTTTTTCTGTTGTGTCATTTGTGGCGTCGTATCATGTCAAATTTTCAAATATCGTTGATTGCTTCGCCATGTTTTCCTTTTTTTTACAACTACCGCATCGTCTCCTAAATTTGAATCTTGTTCGTCGGTAAAGGTAACTAATTGAAGACTTTCAGAAAATCTTACTCTACTTGTTATTTTTCATGGTGAATCTTCATTACGATTAGGATCGATTACATTATCTTCTTTACCCAATGTAGAATTTGTGTCTTCCGCATTCCATTTTGTGTCTTGTTTGTTCTTCCGCGTATTCCATTTAACTCCGACCGACGTAGTATCTTCAATCTGATTATGATCATCAGCATACAACTTGAAGTTGATGTTATTCTATCTCGTTCTTCTACGTAGGTATGCAAAAAATTGAATAGATGATGAACATTCTAGATTGATTAGCTTCTCCATCCTAGAACATATGATTTATGGGTAGAACACCTTCTACTTCAGACGAAAGCGAAGCCTGCGGCCAGTGACTACAATGAATGTGGAATTGCTAGTCAACCACCAGAAGTCTTTGGAAAAAGAAGGATGAAGAAGAGACCTGCTCGTGGCCGCCTCTTGCTATCGTCTAGGCCTGGGCACAGTTTTGATCTCTTTTTCGTAGTAGATTTTTGAGAACAGCAACACTATTTACGGAGGAGAACCAGCAGTAAAAGTAGAAAGGGACGAGAAACCGGTGGTGAAAAATACAAACATGGGTAAGAAAGAGCAACTGAAATCACATCAGCGATTTGAAATGAACAAGAAGTACAACGAAAAGCAGCTGAACAACTTGGACAAGAAGTATCAAGAGACGAGAACAAGTACCATACAAGACAAAAATCAAAAATGGTGAACGAGAAACAAAACGCCACAGAGAAGGACTCAGATAGCAACATCATCTCGTCATCGGATGCAGCTGTTGGTGGAGATGGAGCTCCACCTAATGATGAAGGTAGAAAAGAAGCCACCGCAAGAAACACGACGTGTATGAAAGTTACTAGTTCGAAGTTAGATTCATTGATAACAACAGACGAAGGCGGCCCAGAGTCTGAACCAGACGCGAGCTTAGTAAACAGCAGCAACGGGGAACCAGGAGAAGAAGTGGACGGAGCATCAACTCAAGTGGAAATGACGATCGAAGAATTGGACGGGTCGGCGCCATCGACCAGCGTCGATGCTGCTCCGCAAGCACAACCGCCCATCTCGTCTTCTAGCGATGATGAAAATACTAGGATAGACCAGAAAGTTCAGGTGGAGGACAAAGATGTCGTGCGTGATGAACGTGACGAATCGTCCGAAAGCGGGAGAGATCCAGGTCTTTCCAGATCATTAGAAGTACTAGACGCTAGTACGACTTTCCTTAGCAGTCCAACGTCAACTGGCGAAAATCAGGAGGGCAGCGTCACTGGTGCCGCTAGGGATTCCTCTTGTACGATGAGTACATCAGCACCTGACGAAATGAGTGGCATGTTCATGTGTCCGAATGGTACAAGTCTCTTCACGCCACCACAGGACTTCGTGTGGACGGATTATCAGAAGCACCGAATGCGCGTGTCAGCGGGTGACACTGCACGAGAGCAGATCTCAAAGAAAATCTCCTACATACTCCGCCACTGTCACAAGCCTCGATCAAAATTATGACTATTAATTTCTCGTTTTGATCACGACTACTCCTGGGATCCGTATGTATAGTTAAGTAGATAGAAGAAGCGGTAGAACAAGGAAGCAGTTACAGTTAGTTCTAGTAGTATTGCCCCTCACATAAATTGATACGAAAGAGGCGAATGAATCAAGTTGAGAACAGCACTCGCAATGATGCTTTCGATTCGAGAGGAAAGGACTTGCAACTCAAGAGTGTTATGTAGCAAAGAAGAAATCGAAATATTATGGCTTTCTAGAAGTCGCGGTCGTTGAGATTGATGCATTACCGAGATTTATTCTAAAGACTGTGACAGCCCTTCTATCGTCGTGTCCGCACGAGCACAGTGGGGAGGACGAACATGATTGCGCCGCTTCGGCTGGCTCGCCTCAAGGAGCAGACGCATGTGGTGGAGGAGGCGCGACAAGCCCTTTAACGATTCCCAGCGACATTATGCTCATCTAGTCGTGAAAATAACTTGCGAAGTATCAATCATATTCTACTGGAAAAAGTTCAAATCGGTGGTTCATATTCATCTACTGAAAAGAAACAGGAGACGCGGTGGAAGTGCTTATATCATCCACTACTGTTGTTCCTTTACCATGATCTATCAGTACTATAATCATGTCTATCGCTAAATCGAAAGCGGATTTTGATAGCTCTCGTGCGATGAGTCCGCTATCCTCCATGGCGCACTTTCGCGACAAACAGAAGGACTGGATGCGCGCTGTGGACCTGTTACAATACATGACTGACCCCCATGATCCAAAAACCGTCCAAGACCTTGTGGAACTCTTAAAACGATGCAATGAAGAAAAAGTGAGGTAGTATTTGCGTTATTTATTTGACGTACTAAGTTCTAGTACAACTACGGCCAATGGCTGTACGTACTTCTACGTCGCTAAAGAAGTTGTTGTCTTCTCATCGTTCCTTATGTTTTCAGGTACGAAATACGTGGCGAGGATAGCGTTCTCGAGGTTAGAGCGAATAGGAAGGCTGGTTCTAACGATCATATTTCGGCGCAGCGCAGGACCAAAACCGCTGCCAAGCATCCACCTAAGCTCGTGATTATCCCAAAAGCGACACCGTCTACAAAAAGCAGCAAAGAAATAGCGGGTATTGTATCAGTTTTTGCCGAATAATGACTTTCATCAATGATGTTGTCATGTAGTTTTCATCACGTCCTCCCATCTTCCTTCTCTAAGTCTAACTAGACCTTGTGTACTATTCCTTGTAAGCTGCAATCGTGCGGTTGCTAGTACAAACTAGTTCCTCTACACTTGCGTTGGGTAGAGGTGGCAGAAGTTCATCATAGTCACAAGTTGTAGAGCGAGATTGTGAAGTACGCGGTCCTTCTTCAGCAGGTACAATAGGAACAGCTGCAGCATCTACCGATGCTGTCAATCCATCGAAAGAAGCTGGAGACCGCAAAGGCTGCGGCAAGAACAAGGGCCGCACGCAAAAGGGAGAAAGAAAAACGGGCGCCAAGACTGACGACGCCTCCAGCAAAAAAGCGAGCACGACCGCAACTTCACCAGAAAGTGGACCTGCGTCGATTTCAACTTCAGCAAGCACCACTGCGCAGGCGCCTAAAAACGCAACTGTAGTGCTAAAAGAAGTCGACTCACGAAGTGCAAAGAGTACCGCGAAAAAGCAGCCTAATGCAGCTGGATGCTTGAAAAAGATCGACGAGAACCTTTTCTGTACTTGAAAATACGTAACGCATTCAGTACGTAACTGCATAACGTGTGTACTTAGTCTTACTGTACTGTAGTCTTCGATTTATTTCATTCATCCTGTCTTGGAGATAAGCAAAGAAAAAAAGGTATTAGGTGTATGTGTCGCTGTCGGTCTTCATAAATGCGGCATATTTATAATACATAGAAAACTTTCTGAACACTATCAGTAGTACAGTGCCAAATCATTTTCTTCACATCCGTGCCACCAGTTGTATATATGATACAGGGACGCACGCCCCCCCCTCCTGTGGATGGCCCTGTGGTGGCGCTTGCGCGCTCTCATCCGCGCTGCTTTTCGCAGGTTGTCGGGGTGGAAGGCTTCAAAACTGGGCGCGGGCGTCTCCTTGTGCCTCTCTGCATATTCCCAAGCGACCGCCTGGCCTCTGCTGACGCTCGCAGGCTGGGAGTCTCCGGGGCAGAAGGCCGCTGAAGGCAGCCGCGGTTTCAAGAGCAAGCAGGCCGATGACCAAGGGCCCGGAGGGTACAGGCAACACGGCCCAGGGGGTCCAGCCTTGCGCCTTTCGGCGCCTTCGGAGGCCTTTCACGCCCCGCGCACTGCTGCGGCGGCGAAGCACATAGGAGGCCTGCAGGGTACAGAGAAGCAGCTGGAAGGTAGCGGAGGGGGTCCCTTGGACCCCTTTGGGAGCCGTACACCCCCGGCAGACGCTTTCAAAAGGGGCCCGGGGATCCACGGCCCCCCCTCCTTACGCTAGGGGGGGCGCTCCCCTGAACCCTGGAACATATATGTTGATTGTTCTTGAAACATTACACGACCACAGTTTCAAAGTACGGTTTGGATGAGCTCGCACGGAAAAAATTGCACGAGCTGGATGCCGACAAGCAGCAAGAGGCGATGCGCAAATTTTGTCCTGTTCGCTCCATAGCTGCCGAAGACTATGCGAAGGTCTTCATGACCTACATCAAGAGGTACAGACCGACTCAACAAGACCAGGAGACGTCACCAACATCGGTTATAGAAGGTCACATTGAGGGAGAAAGGAACAAACAGAACAGGCGTGCTAGTGCGAACAACAATTCAACATCCTCTACAGCTGGAGAAAGCAATAATGGTGGTACCACGAGTAGGACAGCGACGGCAAATAATACCAGTAAACAGAAAACGGACAGTAACAAAGAAGCAGGAAGCAGCAATGCGCAAACAAGCGGCTTGTGGAAACCTGGGTTAGATTTCGTTCCATCCTCTATGCTTGCTACCGGTGGCGCGGACATCACGATCGATAAGCAAACACTACAGAACCTTATCGGATAGTACTTATGCTTTTTATAGATACGACTAGTAATAGATGTGATGAAATAGAAGTAGAAGTAGATGAAAAATGTTGATCATCAAGGACATCATGTTCGTGAAGTTGTTCATCAAGATTATCAAGAAACATGAAGTTGCTCATCAAGATTATCGCAGCTAGGCAGTGTTCATTTGGATCCTACTTCTTCGCTTGCAACACGATAGGCGGATCATAGGAGCACTTTCACTTCTCATTTCTTATTTTGCTGCTTTACGCTAGCTTCAATCTAACTAAGTAGTTTAATTATCACCATTTTTCTTCCCATTAAAAAAAACAGCAATATTTCGCTGAACGAGACTAGCAGCACCACGGCCAAGGATGCGAGTTCCGCTCCTGCGCGAGTGCTGTACTACTACGGAAACAGGTTGTATGCCACAGGGGCTCCAGCGGCAACAGTTGCGGCGGCAAATTCCGCCATTGCTCCCGCATTTACGCCAACTGTTGCCCAGCAGGGTCCTCAAGTCGCAGTTTTGTACAACTCTGATGGGAGTTCTCCTCAATGTTATCTCGTTCCTACCACGACAACCACGGCTACACCAGCCTCAAACACGACTTGTAGCCTTTTACCTGGTGCGGCCTCGTCAGCACTGGTTGCAGCTGCCTCACCTGGTGCTCCATTAGCTGCGGGATGTGCAGGGCAAGGCGGAGTGGCCTATTACTACGCACCATCAGCCGTCTCCGCAGGGCAAGTCGCGACTCTGCAGCCTAGTGCGGCAATTGGTGGCGCTGCTGGCTCACCAATGTACTACTATTGCCCTGCCGCGCCAGGAGTGACTGCAGGGGGAACGATCGTGCAGGTGCCATCTTCAACCGCTACATCTTCATCTGTCTATCCTGTCACTACCCTCCCCATGGCAGGCCAGACCTACTTTCATCCACCAGCCTCGTCCGCATATGCGACAAGCAACACGAAAGGGACCACTACTACAAAGGGTAAGCCTGCTGCGGGAAAGGGAGGAGCATTTACTGCGGGCAAAGGCGGTTCAGGCTCCGCAGCATTTGGAGCAACCGCAGGGACAGGCGCACGACACGCTTGGACATCGCAAACTGCTGGAATCAAAGGAGGCGCTGCACCACCTTCGAGAAGTGGCACCGCGTACGCCGGAAAAGGTGCGCAATTTGGCAAAGATGGCGGTGGCCCCTCATATTACTACGGAGCTGCTACAGGAGCGCCCCCACCAGTAGTGTATTATAATACAACTAAGGGAGCAGCTGCTACCCAGAGCAAGGGAGCTGCATGTGCTAAAGGCGAAGGAACGTATTTTAGTGCAAAAGGCTCCGTAGGAGGTTACGGTGGGTACTATGTCTATGGGTCTGGTTCGTACTACTATTACGGTAGTGGGGCGGCATCTGCTTTTAACAGCAAAGGAACCGGCAAGGGCGCGAAAGCAACAAAAGGAAGCGCTAACACGGCGGCTTCATCAGGGGAGACAACGACCACAACAACAGCATCTACCCCGGCTCCGGTCACCAAGACCAACACCAAGGAAGACGCAAACACACCACAGTCGAAGCAGGATTCCAGCACGACGTCTGGTGCGCGCGCAAAAGCATCATCAAAATCAAGTAAGCCTAAGGCTGCTGCGGACCCGGCATCCGTGAAAGCAACCGCAAAGCCATCCTCGAATACGGCGAGCACCACCTCCGAGGAAACTACAACAACTACAAGCTCGTCAAGCGGGAAAAGGAGCTCGGAGGAAAGCGTTACAAAAGATGAAGTAATGCCTGGACTGAATCCCGAAGCTGAGGCATTTCAACCGGCAACTGCTACAGCTTGAAACATTCACCCAGCAGTGTACTAAAAAAGCAAATATGTCTGTGCTAGTGCGAGGAGGGGACCACCAGCATTTTGTACTATTACCGAGACATATTCAACATATTTACATGTATGAGTTGATGTTGTCATTATATTTTGAGCAGCACTCGTCCCACTCCAACATTTCGGAGCTAATCGCATACTATTGCAGTTGCAGTCGATTTGATTTGTTCAGAAAAGTAAAGGAACTAAAAGGAAAAGATGAATTTATACCTCCACTAGAAGCACGTACTCGTTGTACAACAAGTCCATAGAAGCAAACTCTTAAGAACAACAAGCACATTTCTCCTAAATTATGAATATAGAAGGTGGTTTGAGTTTGTTCAGGATGATCATGAAGAATGAATACAACAACGAACTACAACTACTACCAGCAACTAACAGAAGAAGATTACATTTACATGTAGAGGCAATGGCAAGACGACATTGGCCATTTTGTTTTGCTCCACATGTGACTGGGTGATCGTGACACTGCACGACCCTGGCGGTAAACAATGGGTTCCCCGCGAGCTTTTATCATGAATGATGTCCTCCTTCGAGTTCAATGTGTGAGAATTGTGTAGTAGAACTAGAAAGAAGAATCAGGACACGGACAACTATTAGAATTATTTATCATGTAGACAAACTCAAACGTGTACGTAGAGTAGCAGAAGAAAATGAAAAATATTTACATCTCAATCTTCTATGCGTATCATACCTTTACCGATATCGTATAGTGCAAGAGCATTCATCTAAATCTGTAGACGTGATGATGATGTACGCGGCATGTGTGCGTACTACCCGGTTGTTGTAATAAACATCATAACAGGAAAAGCTGATTTGACAAGGTCAGATTGGAGACATATGACATGACAAATGGTGATGGAGAAGGAATCGGCCGACATCAAGCCTTCTAGACCTTGTTGAGCTATGTAAGTATTCGCAGGTATGATTGAACATGAATCATTTCGCCACTGATACCGCGACATAATAGTCATGTTAGGCATTGCTCGAAGAATACCCGCCATAGGAATTTTTTCCGGCGTGATCGTCGATCTTTTGACTTCTCGCCTTGGGGTTGATGTTTCCACCGAAGTGGGTTACCACTTGAATTTAGAACTACTTGTTGTGGTAGAACAAGCGATTAGGCAGCAGTGTTTCCCACGCCCGACTGGCGCAACAACTAACATCAACATTTCGCTGAAGAAAAAGATGTATGATGAATCAGAATCGCAGCAACCGACGTTTACCGTCCTCCTCTGATCTATTTGAAGGCACCCAACTGAAGCAGAGAAAGACTCCAGTATCGTGTTTCGTTTGCTTTCCCCCCCTGAACGTTACGGTCATCTGACTTGCAAGTAGTTCCTTTATACCCACGCGCCTCCACCCAAGGAGCACGTCTATCTCCATACGGACCTCTGTAACTGTCCAACCCCCGTCTGACATTCACACTTGTCGCGCAGCTAGGTCAATGCTAAGAATGTTGTTTGTTGTAGAATCATGTTGAGGACGTGTAGTCTTTCGCTTGTTCACTCGTGACAATTATTACTCAGACGGCGACTTCATCCTTGTTGTTCTTGTTGTGTTCGATGGCGCAATGAGAGCCAATGCAGCACATTTAAACATGAAGATCTTTCCCGGTGGACGCGCCTCTGTTGAGTTCCTCACCACCGCGATCCAGCAACCCATAGCACGAACAGAAAAGATCAATCTTCAGTTTGTTCCGCGAAGACGAGATCCAGATCCAGAAAAGAGGATCGGCCCGTCCGAACTTCACTGAAAATATTATAGGATCTCTAGTTTCCTGATCATCTTACTGACCCTGATTCCAATTTTAAAAAAATGCTCATCCGCTAACGATTTGCTTTGAGTTTGACTTATCATCTTTCTTTCTCGCATTATAAGCCTTTTTCCCTGGACCGGGAGGTACACATCAGGTTCATGCGCTTTTCACGCGATTTTATTGTTTGCTGTACTGCGCCGGTTGGTGTGAGAATGTATCTATAGGATACTTTCTCTTGGTTCATCTTCATCAACAATTTTAGCATCGTTCCTTAATTATAACAGGTTGTGATATTGTTCTTGTTGCATTCACATAAGCCGGCGACAATATCAATATATAAATATGGGTAAACGCGGCCGGCAAGTGGCGGCGGCCGTCGACGATTTCGAATGTTATCGGCTGACACAAGACTTATGCAGGCTGCGACCGGTTACGCATTGCGTCAGCACCAGTCAGCCGACGGCCTCAGTTGTCTGGGATGATATCCGCAGTTTTTTCCTGACAGAAGAAACGCGTTTCGTTTTGGGCGTTAGTACTGACGAGAAGGAGACTACGCAAATTAGCCGGCAAACCGATGCTATTATTGCAGATAAAGCAACCGATGAAGCGAGTCAAGAAGGTCTTCAGAAGTCATCATCTTCATCGTGCTCGACTAAATGGTGGATCAAGAGCACATCGACTGCCGCTCTTCCTGAGGCTGGTGATGATAAGATTAAGAGCCGAGAACCTGGCTCTGTTCCAGAGACCATATCCCGTATGGCGGGACTTCCAGAAAACGTGACTTTGGATCGCATTGTCGATGTAGATCCAAACGGAGCACTGCTGCTTGTGACTGGCGAGATTGCGTTAGAGGAGCAGTCCTCTGTAGCGGTGGCAGTCTCCACGAATGAATCTACTGCTGAACATCGAGCTGAACCTGTAAGCGCAAAAAAGACACGTAAAAGTAGAGGAGGCGTTTTTGTTTTAGCGAAACAAGAGCAGAGGATAGAAAGTGAGAAGGAGCATTTTAGCTTCGCCTGTGAAATCAGTCTTCAGGAGGAAGATGATGCCGAAAAATGTACTGAAAGCAGTATAACACTAGGCGAGGCAACAATGAACAAGAAGCAAGGCGAGGACTTGTATGATCGTTTCAGACTGACGCGCGTCAAGCAGGGACTTTTGCGACATCAAGTGAGCGCGGATTTATGCTGTATCAGTTTGGTCGATCAAGATGACACTCTTCGAACGGTCGCTTTTTCATTGCGAGGTGACCGGGTCACGACGAACAAGGACACGGACCAGTCATCTCCTGGAAGAACCTCAACGTGGCCTAAGCTTTTCGCTAAAGAACTTCTCTTTGTGACACCTGACGCATGCTCGGAAAATGAGATGGTCCCGAAAGTCTTAGGATTTGGCCGAAAGAGTAGTCGAACTTGGGAGCTGATGGCCCGACACGAAAGAAGTCACGCTGTTATCTGGGAGTTAGAAATGGGTGTCGGAGAAAGTGGTTCTGGAGAATTTCGTCTACATCGTCGCAGCGAAGACGTCTGTCCTGGCATCGCCTCCATCTGCGATTCACGAGGCGGCCGCTTTCGACGGCTATTCTTTAACCGAAGCTTTCTCACTCTGGTGGATGAGGTTGGGAAGCAGCAAGATGTCGACGATTATGCTGATGAACAAGAAGATCAACAAGTTCAAGATACTGCAAATAAAGTTGCGTCCTCGCTTTCTTCATCGTCCTTTTCCAGAAGACTGACTAGGCCAGTTGCTTTGTCAATATTTCCGTTCGTGCCAACCCTCAAGCTAGGTGAGAAGTCTCTGCGCATCGCAGCAACAGAAGCTGTGAATGCTTTTGCTACAAGCAGCGCGCAAGATGATGGCGTTGACCTCGCAGTTTCTATTGTTTCTTCCTCGAGTGCGGTGATAAAAACTACGAGCAGTACAAATGTGACCACAACTACTACACCAACCCCCTCCTCCTTTGGTTCGCTCTCGATTGACTCCTCAAAAGCTGTGGTCGATGCCATAGAGCTGGGATCACCGAATGGAACCGATGACGGTCTTTTGTCAAATGGGATGAGCAAACAAGCGCTCCTGGCTTTCCTAAACAGAATGGAAGAATGATATTCCACACCAAAGCACTCCCTGCTCCGTCTATCAAGTTATACTATCGAGTCCGGCTACAACCAAGGAAGTGATCCTCCACTCGAGCTCTATCTTTGAAACAGCATAAAAAAGTCTTTCAAGACGTGAATATTTGCGTCCGTGGTCGAATGTCTTTCGGATTAAATAGTAATAGTTTTCACTTTTGACACCATTGGTAGTGATCACTGTCATGAACTAGACTCTCTTCTAGTAAGCCGTTCTGTGCAAAAATGTGAGTGTCTTGGTGCGTGCGAGAGACATGTTACCTGTTCGTGAGAAACACGAATCTGTCTGATCGAGAGAAAAGAGGCACGGCGAAAAAATGAAAAGGCGTCTATCAGCAAATCCATTGCCTGTGTGCATTAAATCACTCATCTGTTGTTCCGACTTGCATTCTATACGATGCATTCTGTAGAGACAGGAAGTAGCTGAGAGAGGATTCAACCTCGTTTATTTTTCACTTTCTTCAAAGACTAGAAATACAATACGTTGTAACGATGTGACGCTTCTTCTATAAACTTCAAACCAGGTGGTGTACTTTATGATATCTGTAGTTAGGTACACGTACACCTTGATTACGGCTGCCACCCCCCCCGTTCCCCGTCTACTTACTTTTCCTTCCCTGAGGACACTTACCCTTGATAAAATACTTACCTCCGAGATCTAATTAATCATCCATGTTAGTTAGCATTCCGCATTGTGAATTCCTTTGATCTCATGGTGAATAACCTTGAACAATCATTACTGGTATTCATGACTTGCTTTCTTGCATCAATTTTCTCGTCCTCGAGCAGTTGCGTCTCAACTTCTTGATCATTAATGACGAGGAGCTTAGACTTACTACAGAAGTAGATACTACAACAAAATGCAGCAGCGCAATGACAGCAAACTCCCTTCGTCGGTGCAAATGTTGGAGCACAGGGTCTCGAGGCAAAGCGGTGATTTGAACTTTGTTCTCGAGGACATGAATTCCTATCTCACACGTCTTAGCACCGCAGGATCCGCTCCTCCTCTGTTTAATGCCACAGGTGGAGGCCCTAGAGATGGTCATGTTGGTCTTTCTGCGACAGGAAGCACTTCACTGCTATTCGATCTTTCACACGACGAAGCAGTGGATCCAGCTTACGTAGACCTGCACAGGCATCTGAGCCGATATCAAAGTGTTGGGAGTGGGACAGCCCCAGACTCACCTCCGCGTGCGCCTGACCGAGCTAGGCTAACTGGCTATGAAGAGTTGCATCAGGACCTTAATCGAGCGCGCCTGACTCATGGAGTGCAGAGGAAAGTTCGACCGGAAGGCGAATCTGATGATCGTGGAGGTCTTTCTCCGTACGGTGGATATAGCCGCGACAGCAGCGTGAATGTTCAGCCTGTTGTAGCAGGAGAAGTAGCAGACAAAGAGCCAAACAGCATGAAAATGATGCAGCCTCGAACATCTACAGAGCCACTCTTGGCAGTGGCACCAGCTGCTGGATCGTCTTCGATGTCAACGTCACAAGTAGGCACAAATATAACAAATAATGAGTTTGCGCATCCACCTAGGCTGACGTCCTCAACGGCGTACAATATCATGAGACCGACTGTGTGGACGGACGAAGCGCACATGCATGGGGAGATTGACGAGCGCGCACTGCGAAACGAGTTTGAGGCTACGCTAGAAGCCAGTAAGAAGCTCCTTCGTGAGCTCTCGCATTTTCGTGACACGCAGAGGCGAAAGTCCAACGACATAAGTTTGCAGATGTATGGCAAAGGAACAACAAATGGGAGAAGCGTCGAAATCTTGGGTGACCACCATCTTCATGATGAGTTCGGAGACGGCGGACGTGCGGTGTCTCATGGTCCTGATTTAGCGTCCAGCATTGCGAATCTTCACACTGACATCAGCAATCCGCATCCCGCCCACCACGGCGCGCTTATCTTTGAAGGCAGTCAGCCAGAGTACAGCGAGCATTTTGGTTTTGCTCGGAGGGATATCACATTGAGCGACTTAGCCTCGAGCACTGTAGATTTGGGACCGTTGGTACGACCACAATCCTTGTCGTCCGCAAATACTGACGTTCAAGAACAACAAAATTTGCTAGGCGACGGTACGGGAGCCGGAACCACTACTAGTAAGAAGGAAAGAAGGAGCAAGAGGCTCGCGCCTTTACTCGACACGGACGGAGATGACGACCTTACACTTACCCTGAATAAAAGAGCACGAAGCGCAGTGCTTGATGAAAGTGATGTGGGTGCAGACGTACTATCCTGGTCGCACAGGGTGTCGCAAAAACTGCCAGAACCTCTAAACGAAGCCGATCATTTGATACGGAAACCCTTGAAAGTACAGTTGCAGGAACAGCTCAAACCAATTGATCTCCACGCCATACGGAAGTCCCATCCGGAGCTTCCACGCACTACCATGGAGCAGATACAGCGCGAACTAGACCGAAAATTACAGGATCAGATAGCGCTTCTGGAGTTGGACCAGATAAGGCCAGATGCAGATCTGATATTAGGAAATTCTGCCAATCTAGGCGGCAGCAAAAGTACTGTGGAAGGAGGTGGCGCAGCTGAGGGAATCAACACGCCAGATCTATTTGACAGCTATCAAGCATCCTCTTCGACAGCATCAGGGCGCGCGGAGGTCACAACTCACGCAGCAGCAGCCGATGCGAAAGAAGACACGTCAAAGAAAAGTCGGAAAGTAGAACCTTTTGAAAAACACAAACACGATAGCAGTAAATCCAAAGAATTGAAAGCAGAATTGCGGAGTGTTCGAGCACGCTTGACCAAAGCCGATGTCGAGTTGACCAAAGCACGTCAAAAGATCGAAAGGGAGCAGGTTTTCGCGCGTGTTGACCGTGAGTATCTTGCTTCCCGAGTGAAGCGGGAATCCTCGCAGCAGTTGAGGACTATGCAGAACGAGTTCGAGCTCAGCCTCGCGCAAGCCCGCGAGAACCACGCAGCGCAAACGCAGCGTTTGCTGTTAGCAACGACGGGAATACACGTAGGAGGACCCATCGTGCGTTCTGCAATACAGGATACTCGACGGACACAATCTCAAAGTAGAGTATCATCTCCTTCTTCAATGATGAACTCAGCAGCGTTCTTCTCACCTTCACGACTTTCCACTACCGAACTTGTAACTTCTACCTCACCGTCACCTCCCCCCCAGCTACATCAAGGCGACTTAGTGGGCATTTCACCGTGGGCAAGCCCAGCAGAGTATTTTGCAAATCCGGGAAACGGAATTTTGGATCATCTAGAAGTAGACCAACAAAGGGAAAGGGATGACGAAGCGATAGGACCTGTGCGGAGAAGCACTAAAGCAATCACGTCAGATACGATAAATCCTACGAGTTCTGTTGCTGCTAGAGCCTCCGCAAATACAGCAGACCCGCATCCGCAGCTAGGCGCGCTACCACAGCGCCGCACCTCGCAGATGCGCTCCCTCCCAAACAGCAGAGCAGGATCTCCCAATACTATGTATTACAACAACCGCGGTCGCACCAGTGCTGTACAACAAGCGCAAATACACGCGGACGAGCGACATATGACGGCAGTGCAGATCGCAACACATGCTACGAGGTCGTACCTCACTGAGCTAGAAAGTCAATACGCAGTGAAAAGTGGCCTGATGCAGCTGAGTCGGAGCCCGTCGCCGGTAGCGTACAATGAGTTGTACGGGCGACGTTCGTCCCTGAACCACTCTTCTACTTCACCATTGCAGCTTCAGACGAACATAACTCATGGCGGTGCAGTGTTGAACAACCTGGAAGCGGAAGTCGGGATAAGAGATTCTGTGTTTGTGGGATTCAACGGGACGGGTGACAGTGAGCAACATTACTTGAATCAGCACAAAGCACACGTTTTGCCTATGGCGTTACAGCTTGGGGATGCTCTGAAGAGCCACTTGCGCTATTTCGCAGAACGGAGTGCGCCGCATGACGACGCGAGCACAGTTTTTGATGATGGAGACGCAGGAGCAAACAGTGCGCGCGAGCAGCTGGCTCAAGATTTGATAGCGCTACACTCGACTGGCGAGGGGTTACTTCCACGACACATGCTGGCATTGGATCCACAAAATGGTAGGTCGTCATCGCCAGGATATCTTCACGGGGAGGCTCGCGGGGACGACAGTAGGAAGGCAAGCAATGGGGCAAAGACCGACGAGGCTCCTAGAAATCCGAAGAGTCAAAAAGTAGGTAGGCCTGGACAGGCAGAAGGAGAGGAAGCGGGCTCATCGCCACCACCTAGCATCCACAGAGGAAGCATCGCTTTGCAGGCTCTCGACGTCGATGACGATGTGGCGGCGGTGCCCCGACAAAGTCAAAGGCCGTCGTCCTTCTTCGACCGTAAGAGGAACAGCAAGAACCCTGGAATTAAGACAACATCACCTTTTCTATCCCAAAAAAACGCAGTAAATAAGCAGCACACTTTTGCGTCTTCATCCTCCACATCGAGTTCCGGTCGTGTTGGAGGTCCGGTTCGCAGCTACGAGAGCAAGCGGATGTTGAAGCAAATCGAAAGGAAGTATGAAATGCTAGTTCAATTACATGCCACTAAGAACGCGCAGAATTCGAAGGATGTCCAAGTGAAGCTCGCGAGAGGGATGGCGAAAGCCCTGGGCCAATTTCAGGAACGAATACAACGACTAAAAGCGGAAGACGTACTAATCAGGAGCCAGAGCGAGGTACCTTTTGCAAGAGAACGCCGTATTCCTGATAGTCGCGCACAAGAAGATATACGGGAGCTTTTTGCACGTGGCAGTGCGAGTCCTAAAAGTAAGAAGCGTGACATTAAAAATGGGGCCAGTGCCAGTGGTGCTTCGAGAGGTCGTGGAGGAAGCAGTAACATGCTGTTCTGCAGTCATAGCAAAACCGTTTGTGGCTCGTCTGGTGAATAACAGGTGTCAAGAACAAACAGTGACACCCAGGGCGACACGGGTGATGCAACCGATGGTTTTGTCACGTCGACAGGAAGCGACCTTGCGGTTGCCACTTGGTAAGTCGAAACGAAAAAGAAGTAAGCAGACGCCTTCTCCTGTGCTATACTTCCAACAAAGAACGTACTTGTTGATGATGCTTAGGACTAAATGAGTCGGGAGGACTCTTTGCCATTCTGATGGAAGCGCACTAGCTAGCTGTACTGCACTATTATAAATAAGTATGAAAAATGCAAAAATTATTTCCACGAAGCTAGAACCGGAACCCCTTTTATGTTTATCCACCTCTCCATCTAATCAGGATTTTCCCTCAAATCCAAGGCCATTCACCCGCAATGTTGTCTGATGTAATCAATTTCTGGTGTTGTAGCAATGACAGTGAGTCTGGTTCTTCCACACCCACTTTCCGATGCTTGTTCTCGCAACTGTGAAGACCTTCATGAATACACGCCTTAGTAATCGGGGCACAAATGCAAAGATCACGAGCATCAATTCTTAAGATATCGGTTGTAATCAAACGGCAACAACATCAGCGGTACTAGAAGAAGCAGCCTTGTTTGAAGAGATTGTAGTAATGAAGTTGTACATTTCATCTCGTCACAGGAGCTGCACTGCATAAGCAATGGCAACCATTGTAGAAAAAGTAGGTCCTATAAATATGTGGTATTAATATTTTTAATTAGTTCATTGCAAACCCTGTTAATCTTTTGAAGTGAGTCAACACTCGTTCGAATTCACAAATCGCCGTGCACTAGAAAAGAATGCCGCCGAAAGCAAAAGCAAAGACAAAAGCGGTCCAGGAGGCCGCAGCTGCGCCTGGGTTGCCGCTTTCAGGCAAGACATTCGTTTTCACTGGTGAAATGGAAGGCATGGACAGAGATACTGCAACCGAAAAGGTGAAGTGCTTCGGAGGAAAGGTACTAACTCCGACTCGCTGAGGTTTTTTGTATCTTTCTCTTGTTCGGTTTAGTGTTGTTCTTGATGTGCTCACATCTTTCTCCTCATTCACGAAAGCAAAGCACATTAGTGCTGGTGCTAAAGCTGGATTCTGGTGTTGGCGTTGGCGTATGCATGCATCCTACAGATCGTTCGGTATTTTTTCAAAATGAAAGCAGCTGCAGCTTATGGTTACGCGGCTATCACCCGTTTTGTGCGATGCGAATTCATTGATTCTGCATTTTTTACACCAGGTAACTGGCAGCGTTTCAGGTCGGACGACTTATCTTGTAGCCGGTTCAAGGCTCGAGCATGCCGGCGGACCAGCAAACGTCGAAGACACATCAAAATACAAAGCCGCGCAAAAGCTCATCGATGATGGGAAGCCGAATCCTATCAAGATTCTTCGGGAAGACGACTTTCTTGAGCTTCTCAATAGTGCCGGTGGTTCCGCTGGCCAGCAAGTAGCGCCACGAACTAGTACACCCGGCGCTCCTGCTCCTTCGAGCTACACAGCGGGCAACATGCCTCCGGCCGCGCGGGGTTCTGTGTCTGCGTCCTCATCGGCTGGCCAGCCGATGCAGGCTATGAGTGCCCCTGCCGGTCCTGCCCCAAAGCAGGGCGGTCACATACCTTGGGTCGTCAAGTATGCGCCCAAGAGTGTGGATGAACTCCAGGGACACCAGACTCAAGTGCGCAAGTTGAGCGAATGGTTGCGCGATTGGGACGAGGTGGTCCTCAACGGGAACAAAAAGCCTGTGTCGAATTTCAGAGGACAGCCTGAAAACTTGAACGCCCGGGGCGCGCTTATCACAGGACCTCCGGGCATTGGGAAAACAACCGCAGTGAGGCTCATTTGCGAGCAATTTAAGGGAACGCACATCGCGCAGTGGTACAATGCGTCTGACTCGAGGAGCAAAAAAGTTATCGATCAGCTTTCAATGGGCATCGCGCAGGTGGCCAGTGTCGATTGGGCTAACGGAGGGAAACTCGTGTTACGATTAAGGGCTTAGATATTACGATTAACGGCCGATTTCTAACTCTAAGCCAGTCGCTGCGACAACAGTACGTAGCATAGTTATATATAATTTGTATTATTATTGCTATTGCGGTAAAGTTATACATAATAGTGAAGATTCGAATTAGTAGATCTGGAAGGTCTTCATCTTATTTGCTCTACTTCTAACAAAAGCGGGCACCGGAAGTGCATCTGGCAGTAGCGGAAGAACCTCGGGCGGTGTGGTTACAAAGCGGACAATTATTGTCATGGACGAGGCAGACGGGATGGGTGCTGGTGATCGTATGGGCACGTCCGCACTAGCGAAACTGATCAAAACAAGTTCGAACCCTGTAATTTGTATCGCGAATGACAGTGGTCGAGAGCAGAAGATGCGCACGTTAGCGGGTCAATGCTACGACGTAAAATTCTCACGACCAGTGAAGACGCAAATCGCAAAGCGGCTTGCCTTCATCTGCGCTAAGGAGGGCGTGCATAGCGAGCCGAACGCACTGGAGTCTTTGGCAGAAGCCTGCGGGAACGACTTGCGACAGGCAATTACGCAATGCCAATCTCTTGCGAGTCGCGGCACCGGTAGAATAGTGGCTTCTGGTATACCAGGTGGTCTTGGCACAGCAACTCCTGGCGGTGCTGGAGCTGCTCCGAGTCTCACGTTTGCCAACACGAAAGATAAAATCAAGGAGATAGAAAAAGACATGACAGTCGACGGCTTCGCTGCTGCCAAAAAATTGTTGACAGCTAGCGAGAACAGAAAAATGTCCTTCTACGACAAAACAGAGTGCTTCTTCAAGGACTACGACATGGTCCCCTTGCTTATTCAAGAGAACTACTTGAAGTACTACGAGTCGAGCCAGGCCAAGAATATGATGGATGTTGCGTTTGCGGCCGATCTGATCGCTACAGGCGATATTTACAACAAAGTGATGCGCAAGGAGAATCAGTGGAGCCTTCTCCCGGACATTGGCGTTGTGAGCAGCATCTACCCGACGCAGAGAGTCAATGGCTTTCGCAATTTCCCGGATTTTCCGCAGTGGCTAGGGAAAAACAGCAGCGCGAACAAGAGCAAACGTCTCGTCAAAGAACTACACGAAGCTCTCTGGAGCAAGACGAGTCTCACGCCAGATCAAATGATCTGTTCGGGTTTCACAGAACTTCTGTTTATGAAAGAGAAGATGGTGCGTGTAGTATATGCAAGTATTGCTTTTGCTATTCATTTTCAAGAAAACTTTGACCTGCGTGCTTGCTACAGCTACCACGGATGTCAGATGAAATCCATGAACATGGCGCTATTATCTCCAACTTTAATCTCCTGGAAGATCCCTGTAGTTACCCGCTACCTCTCTCTTTTCCTATACCTTTTCATTTTCGACATAAAAGTGATGAAGCTCCTGAAGGCTGGCGATATTACCGCAGCGGCGCAGCAGTTGGACAAGCTGGGTTTGAGCAAGGACCACTTAATGACACAATTGAGCGAATGTCGCACTCCTTTCGAGCTACGGGATGACTACAAGCTTTTGGACTCGGACGTCAAGAAAAAACTCACGAACGAACTCAAGAAGCCAGAGTATTTTTTACACTAACAGTTTGTCTTTCTTGTTACAAGTAGTACAGAAACAGAGGACCACGTTCAATAATGATTCCGTCTGGTTTTAGTTACGGAAGGATTCCGCAAGGAGTCTTCGTCCACCTCCTGATACAACTTTACTCCTTCTTTAGGTACACAAACCAAGGCGGCAAAGGACTCGGGTTAAAGCGGTCAAAGAAGGAGAAGGGCGAGAAGCAGCAGCGCGCTGACGTCGATGGTCAGGAGCATGACCAAGAAAGCGACTCCGAGGAGTCGGAGGAACCGGATGAGGCAGAACAGATTGATGAAGCGGTAAAGGCGCTGGCTAAATCTCGAGCGAAAGCCAAAGCAAAAGGAAAAGCCAATGCGAAAAAGAAGCAAAAAGTTGGGTGAAGCACTTCAGGGTCAGGGAACCGAGTTGGTTGAACTCGCACAGGATGATGATCAACGTCAACCCAGTCACCTGACGGGTGTAATATCAAGCAATAAGTTGCACGACTTGTGAACCAGCATGAGCATATGATTGAAGCAGCCACATTCCCCACTGATATTCCAAGTCCCCAGTTTCGACCCTCCTTTTATTAATCACACCGACGAAATTTGTGAATTCTGATGATTCTCGCTCAGCACAAATTGCGATTAGAAGCCATATAAAAAACAGAAGGACGACCTTGTCTTTTACTTTCTCGGTTTCGACCTTGGCATGAAGGTGTAAGCAAGCAAGAAAGAAGCGAGCAGTCATTGTTTCGGAGGTTGTAAGATAGTTAATTTCGCGCGATTGACGATGATAATTCAGAAGAAAACACGAGTGAAGATGGCACCAAATCGTCTCGAATCATTTCTGTTTTCTCTCCGCGAAAGCAAGGAACACGATAACGGATTTGCAGGATCAGAAATTGATGTGTTTCTCGTGTTGAGTAGTTTAAAAGAAGTTCGATATCGCTTGCGTGGTACATCAACAACGCTTTAAAATCTGTACCTTCAAAGCCGCGAGCAAGATCTTTGCTAGGACGAGGTGCTTATGATCCCAACGACCCTACATCCACATCCACTCAACACGCTCGTGCTGTTTCTAATTCTGATCTGAGACGTTCAATCTCTGCTTTATGCGCTGCTGATGCTGTTTCGTGAATCTTTTGAAGTTCTTGCATATTACCTGCCATCTGCACAAGTGCTGCTTCAACCTTTTCTGTATGCGCCTGCTCCTCTGCGAGCAACTTCTGGGTCTCCTGTAGAGCCTCTTGCGCTTCCTTCAGGCTCTCTTTAGTCTGTGCTAATTGTCTTTGCAGTTCCTCAAGTTCAACACCACCAGTCGACGTACTAGCTGAAGGTTCCCCGACCTTGACCCCGATTGTTCTAGGAGAATTTGTTGACGATGCAGGTGCATCTGGCGCTACAGCACCCGCCCCTCCATCATTTCCTCCACGACCAGCTACTTGTTGAGCTTGATCGTTTACAACCGTTGTGTGTTCTGGCTTGAAACTAGTCGTTGATCCATCGGCAGATCTGATAGTCACCTGAACTTCCAGTTCCACAATGTCCTTGCTGCCGCCTTTTTTGTCTTGCGTGAATGACACAGTGCCGTCTGCGGAAGCCTTCGAATCGCCCCGTTTTTCCATCACATCAGATGTCATGGCTCTGTTTGTCTTGTTTGGTGTTACGTCCAATGAAACCTTATTCTATAATGTATGTAGAGGTAGATGTAGTTGTAGAAGGAGATCTACGTACAACTCCAGTCCTCGTGGTTCGCTGATTATAGGAGCAGGTTGGTTGTAGTACTCAGGAGTAGTCAATCTCAATCGATACTACGAGAATTAAACCAAAAAAAATGAAGCCTAATTCTAAAAACGAGTCCAATTGCATGCACCTGGGCGAACAGCCTGGCTTTTCTCTGCCTCAAGTTTTGGCACAGCTTTTTTCAAACTTCTAGAAGAAACGAAAACCCGCCTTCACAGAGGGCCAGAGCTCAACAAGCATGAAGCGATCATCTTTAGCCTTACTTTTACTCTTCTTTCCTTACTAGCAGGGCAACTTCATTGCTGAACACAAATATGTGCCTCCTTGAGCTGACTTCCTTGTCATCGTCTGAAGTCAGAGCTGGTAATGATGCCTTGCTTTCTTGTTGGATGCAGATGCTGTTATACTTGTGATGGCATTATTACTTGCTGTTGTATATTTAAAGATAGTTTTCCTTTTCCTCTTACACCTGCAACATCACTACAAAGTGTCCTCTGGCAACCTGCCGAGCATCGCCGGCCACTCACTGTGTCTCAGGTCGTCAACTATCCGTGAAAAAAGGACGGAGTTTCTTTCTCGTTCTAAGATGGCGTCGTCAGCCTGTTCCGGTGCGAAGATTCCCGTTTTCGCATGATAGTTTGTGCCCGCAAAAAGACCCCCTCCGAGGGCGCCCGCCCAAAGCCCATGAATCTTCATGAAAACATAATCGTCCCAACACTGTTCGTAGGAGTAGACCTTGGTGTCTGATGGTGGAGCACTTGAACTTTCGGGCGAATATTTTCCTTCGGCTGGTACAGCACTAGTCGTGGCTCTTGTTGCCGCCGCCGCATCCACTTTCGATGATGTTTTCGTCGCACCAGTACAGCACGATATCAAAGATGACCGCTCCTTTGCCGCTGCGTTTGTGGTAGTAGAACCAGACTGCACGTTCACGACTTGTTGCTGTTCCATATCAACTGGCTTTTCAGGACGAGAGCTCTCGTCATTCTGTACAGCTCCGCGTTCAACTAGGGCCTGATGATAGGCTTTGATGACAGTTTTTTCGTGCGCACGCCGATCTTCGGATGTCAAGGAACTCGTCAACAGCCAAGCTAGGTCTCGTACTCCCGGACCAAGGTTCACGGCTTGAAAATCGATGTAGCAATTGGTCCCATCCTTGAGACAAAACATATTCTCAACATGGCAGTCACCGTGAATCAGAGTAGCAGGAATACTCTCCCAGTGTGCAAGTACTGCCTTCCATCGCCTTTCCAGCAAAGGCCAAACTTCAGCACTCCAATACTGCCACAGCTCGAAATACCCTTTGAATTTCAATCGCTCTTCCTCGAACGATTCGTCCTTCAAAAGATGACCGTCAGAACCGAAAATCTCGAGACCCATTTTCGCTCCCATAGTTTATGAAACTATGGGTTCAAAATCAACATAATAGTAAAAGTAATCGATGTCGCAATTATTCGTTTTCTACGAAAATAATCAACACGACACTGTAGCAGGCATGCTAGCAAAGGGGTGCTTATGCTTATCCTCGCCAGATGTATCTCCATGCAAATCAGCTACTGGTTAAGGAAAATGATACAGAACTCTTGAGCGTCGAATCAGAGTGCCAGAGCCAGTGCTGGTTCATTGCTTCCATAACATGAACAGACCTTGGATAGCTTGTTTCTTTCCTGCATCTTCGATATGACCGTAGCCCTCGAACTTTAGCGCACCATGCTGACCCTTTTCAGCTCGGTAGCGACCGTGAGTCCATCCCCAGTAGGGTGCGTGAAGAGACGCGAGATCCTTCGCTGCTCGGATCGCATGCTCGACCGGCATCCCTGTCAAAATATCAAAGGGCTTCGCCGGATCTGTCATTGCTTCGATCATTAGATGCTTAATTTGCTAGTATTTGAGCTTTTGACTTCACTCAGCTTGAGGAGCTTGCGAAATACCGACAAAGTTGTACGTATGTCGACAGTCGACTGCCTCCCCATCCCCAATCCTTAACATGAGAATCACGCAGCGCGGTGCTTCGCAGGCTTGATGTTTCTTGTCCTGCGACTCGAGAGCAGCAGCATCAGTACTCCATTGTACGAAGTACCACTGTGGCACCCTGAAACCGCCTGCGCCAGGTAACTTCTTCAGCGTACGCGTAACAAAATTCACCTCCACCTGCCACATTGCTGCACAGCTTGCGGCTGGAATTACTAGGTCTGTTGGAAAGAGCTTTACGAAAATTGTATCTGGTGCTGGTGGTGGCTTCATTTTCTCATCTCCTGGTTCTGTTGCCGCTATGTCGTCGTACACAATGTTCTTCAACAAGCATTTGTCACCCAGGTAGCCCTTTTCTCTACCGAACTTGAGTTTGTCCCATGACGCAATGCGAGTGCCAGGTTGTAGATAACCTTTGCTGGCGAGTGCAGACGCGACAAACTCCTCGTCGACCGCGTCCAGCGTGGCTGGAAGAGCCCGCTTTTCATCGACATTTTCCTTCATGTCAGACACGATCGTAATATTTTCAACAATGTGCTTGGCTGACTTGTTAGTACTTAATAAATAGTACAAGAACAACAACAAGAATAGTTAGCGACAGAGAGGAGAAACTAGGGCAAACGTTCACTGCCGCAGCTCCTGGGGGGACTATCTCGCGGCCGACGCCTCATCATCAAGTTGATAATCGGGAGCACAAAGATGGGATCGGGGATAGGATCACTTCATCAACAGCACCGAAGATATTTTCTCAGCACAGAGACAGAGGCATCTCGGCTTCAGAAGGCACTTCTTTCAACAAGACTAACGCGAATCTCACTCACCAGAGGACTTCTTCTTTGAGACTCAACATCGGTACAAAAACCTCCTCTTCTACTCACTCGTAACTACAACATGCGGACTATCGCTACACGCTCCACTTGAAAGTACCAGACAAACTTCAAAAAAATAAGACCCGGACGAGCGCTTTTAACAAAATAGTTGGTGATGGTGATCGACTTACGCAGTTCTTTCCCGGGACCAGTGGGTAAATTCTTCGTGCGGGTATCAAATCTTCAATAAGAAATGCTGTTTTTTCGTTGCAAATAGAGTAGAGTGGGTTCTTTGGAGCCAACGACGTTCGTTTATTCCAGAAGAGGTGCTCAATGTTGTTCCATCATGATCATGTGAGTAAACGTTCCACTTCCATTTCCAGGCGTCTTGATGTAACTAGAAAGATAACTGCAGAAACTGTTATGGTACAACAGACACCTTTAATCGTCCATTATAGTCGTTCTTGCACTCGCTTCGTGACTGTTCGTAGGTGCTGATAGACCTTGCTCGGTGCTTGACCCAAGATCAGACTGCAGATTGCGTCGCGAGCGAATTTGATGTTTGAGAAAGAGCCTAGGATATGAATGTGGGAATCCGCTACCACGATCCGCGTTCGCGTACTGTTCTCGATGGCGTACTTCGTCTGTCCGCTCTTACCCGCAATACGACCGATACACCGAGACAAGTGGTCACCCTGCAATCTCTTGACGTCTTTCACCTCGAAACTCGAAATAAAGAGGTCACTCAATCGCAAAAGCGCAATAGCGTCTTGCACGTCAAAGCCCATCATGAAAGCCTGATTTTGAGCAGATTTGGATTTGATTGAAAAGCAGTTTTGTTTAGGGATTACTTCTCTGAAACAAACACGATCGAAAAATAGATCGTGAGTCAATGACCATTTTTTCTGCTTATGCATCGCTGCAAGAAAGTGTCAAAAATGAAATGGCTGATGCAAGAATTCAAAAATTACCTTGATAAAATCAGCTCCCTTCTGCAATGCTCCGATGTCTGCTGTCGCTTTGCTCATTCTGATTTCCACTGCTCGCTTTTTCGTGTTCATGCGTACTTGCAGTTTCATGTGCTCTACCAACGGCTTCAGGAGGTCTTCCCAGTTATTTCTGAGAGGTGAAAAGCGGTTCGCTGGCACGGTAATTCGGCGAATCTGTTTCAGCAGAGCTTTTTGCTTGCTGTTGGCACTCTGTTCTTGCTCTTGCGCGGTCAGAGGCTTGAACTTGAGGACACGCCGATCGTCCTCGACATCTTTCATCAACTCCTCGACATCGGACACGTCGTCTTGTTCTAGGCCACTAGCCATGTCCACATCTTCGAATTCAATGCCAGTTTCGAGCTTCACCACCTCCTTGTTCTTCTGTTTCGCGCCTTCTTTCCGTACGGACGACGCCGACGCCGCAGCGTTTGAACTTTTGCTGCTAATGCTGCTGCTCATTTTTTGCGCGCTACTAGGTAGAAATGAAAATAACGAACAAAGATGAAATGTACGTAGGCTTCTCTTGTTTCATGAAACGACCGATGCGCCAGAATCAGAAAAAACTTTTGCACATCACACGACTCAGGGATAGAATCAAATCAGGCTCTTTGTTCTTATGCATAAAACATTGCGAAGAATCATAATACGAGATGGGTTAGAGTTAGATCATGATCGAGCTGATCATCGTCGTGTTTTTCCTAGAATATGCCAGGCAGGATCATCTGAGGTGGCTCTGCTCTTTCAATAGAGGATCATGATTTCCCAGTTCATCATGCTCTTGTTCTTACTGACTACAACTTTTTCTTCTTGACCTGCTGATGTTGACCTTTCGTTCGCGCAATATTAAAAGGATCAAGCTAAAGCCATCACTGGTCTTGCCATTCTTTGAAAGACCAAGTTTTTTATCAATTGGATCTTGGAGGGTATCCAGTACCGCGGATCACGTTCAGCTATTCATTTGATTTCTTTACGCGTTGGTCTGGCTCTGGGTACAACTACAAATAGGCTCATCATCTGAATTCTGATCTTGCTCATTATAATATATTCTTGCGAACGTATTAATCTATTAATATTATAATATAAATTATCAATTTGAGGTTCAGCGGGAGCGGCGCCATTCACGAACTCTAGCAAGACCGAAGAGGAAGAGCACCGTGAAGCGTGCGCGAATGATGATGGTTGTAATCCGATACTACTATTGCAGTTTTTTCTTGAACGCATAGCGTTGGCGTTCTTGTGTGTTCTAGTTGTCGATATAGCGACAAAAAGAAAAGCTGTGTTGAATGAAAATGATTGATAGAAGAAATGAAAGGCAGACGAAGAATGTTAGTGTAAGACGAGGAGCTAAAAACGCACACACTTGAATACCAAGAAGACAGCGAATAGAGAAGTAATCTAGTCGTGAAACTACAACTCCTTTCATCTCGTCGCCGATACAGCAAGAATGGCAGCATTTTTTTTTTTACTTCTACTTCTTCCCACCTTTTTTTCCGCCACCGCCGCCCTTTTTGCCTCCTTTCTTCTTGACGCCACCACTTTTTCCCCCGCCGCTTTTTCGTGCACGGTTTCCCTTGTGCTTTCCCTTTTTCGCGTTCTTTTCTGCCTTTTTCAGGCCACGCTTATCGGCCTTCAGTCGTTTATCGACCACCTTTGCCTTCGCACCGGCAGTGGCTTTGCCCTTCGTCACGTTGCGGTTGCCACCAGCCTTACGGATCGCCATGTAGGCCTGCTTCTTGCTGCCTTCCTTTTGCGCTTTTCTTATCATCTTTTCCATGTTGCGTGCCTTTGCACCTGCACTCATTTCGCTGTCGGCTGCTAGCATTTTGGCTTGCTTTCGCACCTTGTCCATACGTTGCTGGAGTCGCTTCTTGTTGCGCGCGTTAGCCTCGGCAACTTTACGGATGGGCCGTTGGTTGATCTCCTTCAACTTTGCCCTGTACTGATCCATCAACTCCTTGGTCACCGGCAGCTCGGGTTTGTTGTACTTGCTCTCTTCCTCCGTGAACCACTCGGGTAGGTCCAAACCATCGTCGTCCCAGGCATATCTGTTGTAGGCACTGTCTAGCAAAGCCATTCTAGACTTTTTGCGGATCATCATGGAACCTAACGCTTGGACTGCAGCGAGCTCCTGCTTGTCACCCGGTGGCTGTATTATTTGTTGAATTTTGGAATTGCATAATGCTAACTGATTCACAAAAAATTATCATTTATCCAGCATCTTCGTTCTGTCTGGTTCATCTGGTTCAAGCATTTCCTTCTTCAAAACATGGTGAAACTATAAAAACGTTGCGAGTAGAAGGCGCATCCTCTATAACAGAGAAATTTATAAGGTTCGCCAGCTCGCATGGCATGGAGTGCATGGATCGCATGGAACTGCATGGAGCTAAAGGGGGCGCTTCTTGCGTCCCTTAGAGATCTGCGCCACATGCACTCCATGCTACTCCATGCACCATGCGTGCTATAAACTGCTCTGCGTCTAAGTACCTTCAAATGATCTGGCCTGTTGTCCTTTCCTCGCTGTGATTCTTGGCCTGGTAGCAGAATTTGGTCCATCTCTTCATCGAAACCGCGCTCAACGATATCGAAAGGCGTTCCGTCATCTAGAATACGCGCTTTTTGCGCGTCCTCCTCGTCGTCTCCGCCAACCAAGTCCTTTGCAACGGCCTTGCCCTTAGCGGCCGCCTCTTTTCTGGCTTCGCGTTCCTTTTCTTTGCGTCTTCGCATCTGACGCTTCTTCTTGTCACACAGGGGAATGTGCGGGAGATCCTTGTCATCGAGAACATCGATAGACTGTTCGTTCTCGCTATCTTCGTCACTTGAGTTAGTACCTTCTTGAAGTTCCAGTGAAGAGGTTGCTGGTGCTTTTTTCATGGCCTTAGAGGATGAGGAAGATAATGAGGTAGCTGCGCCACTCTTTGAGGATGTTGAGGCGCCTGATTGAAGTCTGCTCTGCAGAGAACTGAAGAGGTCTTGAGAGAACCATCGCTCTGCTCTAACGGCAGACTTTGCGTCAACTTTCTCACCCTCTTCTTCAGCTTCGTCATCAGATTCGTCTTCATCCGTCCCAGCGCGTGTGGTTGCCGCTTCCTCATCATCCTCGGAATCTTGATTCTCCTTCATGTTAGTATCCTTGTTAACGTTTTCGCTATCGCTGTCGTCGCCACTAAGGAGCGCCGCGTCACCCTCATCACCACCTAGATTGGCTTTTATTTTCCCTGTCATGCTGCTGTTGTTGATACTAGCTTTCTTTATCTGTCTCTTCTTCTTGTCCATCTCGTCTTCGCCTTCAGCCATATCAGCGTCATCGTCATCGCTATCATCATCCGATCCAGAGTCGCTTTCCAAATGCGCATCTGCTTGGTGCGTTTTGGCAGCCTCCTCGTCTAACTCATGATTAAAGCGGTCCATCTCTTGGCCCCATTCCTTGTACTTTACTTGCCTTCGGGTCTCCTTTTTCTTTTTCAGTTCGCGACCCTGCTGAGCCTGCGACAACTTGCTTCGCATCTCGCGTTGACTCATGATCTGCTCTGCTTCGAGGTCGGCAAGGCGATTCAGTTCCGCCAATTCGGGGTCCTCGACTTCGTCGCCATCCTGGTGATAATAATAATAATAAATATAGATACTTAATTTGAAATAAGAACGAATGACAACGGAAGATAATCATGTTGATCTTGATGAGAGTGAGATGATAAATTTCTGAATCTTCAAAGAGCAGAATGTTTTACATGAAAAGCATTTTTCAAAGATGTGGTGTAAAATTTTTGTACCTCCTCTTCCTCGCTGTCATCGTCGTCTTGTGCTGCCTCCTGCGCTTCCATTTCTTCATCGCTGTCGACTCTGCCTCCTGCACCCTCATCGAAATCCTCTAATTTTGAGAATGCAGTCTTATCTGCACTCGAAGAAAAGAGATCGGCGTCGTGCGTGATGCCCGTGTAGCGCAATCCCATGGACATTTTTTTGCGCCACTCGAATTTCTTTTTTTGCTCACGCAGTTTCTTAGCTTCGCGTCGCTCATCCCGCTTCATATCGCTAATCATAGATGACAACTCGGCGTCAGCAGCGTCATCCTTAGCGTCTGCCGCTTTGGCAGCCTTCTCGGCGGGGTCCTGTTCGTTGATGTAGCGAATTAGAGTAGAATTGTGTTGTGACTTGTAACGAATAATACGATTGAAAGAAGCAAGAAGTAGGACAAGTAAGATGAAAATCACTACGCTGAATTCACCGAATAAAGTGGTGCATCAAAAAACGTACGAGCGAAGAGTGAACAAAATCAGCATAATCAAAAACGAAGTTGAAGAAGTACCATTTTCTCATCTTCCTCTCCTTTCTCAGCCCCTTTCTCAGTGCCATCGCGATCGCCCACCAGTTCTTTGCGTTCTTTTTCGTATTTTCTACGCGCCAGAATTCGCCACTTCAGCAGTTTTGAGAGCTCACTTTTTCCGAGAACCTTCAAATCACCGCAGTACTCCCGAAGTTCTTCATTCATTTCGAACGTGTCTGAAGCTTTTTCGAATGTCAGACGGTGATGGGTGGTAAGGATTTGGGCTGGCAACGTCGACTTCAAGAATTCCATCACAGGTGTCGTCCGCATGTCGTCACCCTTCTCGTAACCACCTGGGAGAAATCGTGGAGGAAAGGTTCATTATGATTCTGCTTGACAATAAATTTATTTCCACTTCCAGTACGTAGTAAAAGTAAAAGTATAAGACGTAATGATGAAAATTGATTTGCTAGAAAGAGATAAGAATACCTAAGTTGTAACTGTAGGTACAAGAGCGGCGAATTATGTAGGGAGTTGTTGAAGATGTTGAAGATTAGTAGTAGAAAAATAAATACCTCTGTGTTTTTTCGTCTGATATTTGAGCAAGTCTACGAGACTTGCACCGGAAGTGTTCTGTTTCTTTTCCTCGTCAACCGCTTCCATAAAGACCCACTTCGGGTCAAAGAATTTCGGATCTGGTTTGATACTTTTGAACCCGTGGCACATGACGAAAATTTCGGCGGAAACATTTCGCGATGCTTGGGGTTTAGTGGCTTCCACCTTTTGAAACAGTTGCTCGAAGACCCACAAAAGCGAGGTGTAATCTTGAGAACGAAAGACCTTCGTGACAAAGGTTCCGCCAGGCCGAAGCATGTCGCCAGCAAGCTTCAGCGCGTGCAGCACCAACTCGTTCTGGACGTAGGCGTCCAGCACCCACGAGGAACCGACGTTCGGAGCGCCATCGTTCAAAACCACGTCGACGGGCCTGCTTTAGTTTTTGTGGTCGTGCAGGTGTTTCATTTCAATGACAATTCTTGCTTTGTTTTGTAGGTACGAAGGAACAGGTAAAGATCACGGGTGTTGTATAAAGCTGCAGCAAGAAAAAATACGCAAGAATGTATTCAGGAAACAATTATAGAGCAGTTTATAGGGGTGCCAGATCCGGGATGGGATGGATCGGATGGATCGGATGGATCGGATGGAACGGATGGACTTCCCACCATTTCAAGTAGGACCGGAAGAATCAGGGGGGTCCATCCGATCCATCCGATCCATCCAAGTCCATCCTACATCCGTTCTATAAACTACTCTACAATTATAACCTGTTAACAACAACTTCAACTGAAACTGTCGTATAAGTTAAGATCACCTTCCATCGAGTTCTTTTCGCAGCAGCTGTCGGCATTTTGGTGTGGTGATATCGCACGTGATGCCAACAACTCCGGGAATCGGCTTGATCGGGCACAAATCTACGCAGATGACTTTGGAACCACGAGGCATGTTTTTCGCCGCCACCTGCGACCAACCACCTGGCGCACCACACAAATCGATGCATACTCTCGCTTCAGAGAGGAAGTCGACTTTCTTCGCCAATTGGACAAGCTTAAAGGCGGAACGGGCACGATAGCCCTGATCCTTAGCGAGTTGGTAGTACTTATCCAACCGCTCCTTTCCGACTTTCTTCTTGCTGCCACCCATTTTCGCTTAAGTAAAATAGTTAGGTATCAAAGAATACAGAAAATCGAAATTCAAATTCTGTAGTATGCAGGAGGCCGTGAAAAAACAACTACAACTTAGACTGATAGTACTACCTACTAGTTGAGTACAAAGCGAAAAAATGCAAGTGCTTCAATATCGGACCAGAAGATCTCCTTCACGTTCACAAAGCACTAACACATTCAAGTAGGACTATGAAATAATCCCAAAAACAAAGTATTGCATAACATTAGCAAGACATTATATATACGTAGCCAGCTATACGAACACGTCTACAGGCCTGTTCACGTTGCCATTGTCAATAATCGAAATTAGACCATATTGGCACGAGTTGTAACCACTACTACTTTGATATTCATTGATCTGAGTGTGCGGATGGGCATCGGAAATCGGATCCAGGAGTTCTTGGTTGTCGGATCTAGTGGACTGAGATCTACTGAACCTGAAGGTTCGTTCTTGATGTTGTTGCTTGTACTTGTTTCTATCTATATACAGTTACAGATGCTGGAACCAAAGGCTAACAGATGCCGACAGCCGATCAGATCAAGTCATCAACGCGTCATCACCACAACTAAAATACTGGAACGCGCAGTCGCACGTGGCAATAGATCTTGACTTCTGTATCTGTAGGTCTTCAACAGGGATGAGGATCTTTTGCATCACCATGTCGATGACCTTGAGGAGCTGAGGATCTATTTGCGAGACCACAACCATAATATTCGGATCTTCTGATATTGTGATTTTGAATTGATCAATGAGCACCAGATATTGAGGAGAACTCTGATCATAATCAACCACAGATAGAGATTAGCCGAACATAAAAACTTAAAATCTCCTAGGCAAGTTGGTATTGCATCGAGAATCGCAAGGAAGTCTTTTTCCACTGCGACCAGCGTCACAAGGGTACGCGCGAAGAACTTTGATCATGTGGTAGTCGGTTCATTATGAATGACAGATTGAGGTTGTCTTTTCAATCCGAAAAAATATGTCAACAGAGAGATGAGTCTTTTCAATGTCACGTGCCTCCTCCCTTCGATGTTGCTGATGGCTGTTCCGTGGTTGTCGAAGCACTACTCTCATTTTTCGTTGATGCTGTCGTGTCCGTCCCTGTTGCTGGAATAACGTTTCGCGCACTATTTTTTCTCATATTTTCCATTAGTATCCTTTGTCGTTCCATTTCTTCTGCCAGTTCACCCTCTGACATTATTTCTTCTTCGTCGTCGTTTTCTTCTAATTGGGCCATCTCCTTCTTGGCCTGGGCCATCACTTCCTTAATTTTCAAACCTTCATTGTAGTGCTTCTTCCTCTTATCCTCAAAGTCAGCTTTCTTTTCTTCGGCGGCAGTCTGTTCCTCACTAAGCGCCGTCAATTTTGCCTGTGAAGACAAAATAAATGAAAATGCGTGATACGTCAAAAAGAATAGACTATGATGACCATAAACATAAAGACCTTGCAGCCTGATGGATGAAGAAAGTCAAAGTAACCTTAGACTCAGCACGAACAACTTCAACTTCAACATAAGTAAGCACTGATGGATTCTTCACTTTCTTGCAGTGAAATAAGTAGAAGATACACGACGCGACAAAGTTTCCTCCCTACTTTTACAACATTCAGAAATGGACATACCGCTAAGTCCATCGCAGCTACTGGGGCGGGAGCGGGGGTTGATGGACCTACATAAGGTGTTTTTGGTTCGTCAATTTTCTGCCTCGTGCCTCGTTCCTTATCGTGCTCGGCTATCGCCTCCTCATCCCACGTGACTGCGTCAGATTTATGTCCTTTGTCTGACGCACAAGATGCCGCATTTGCATTCATCTTTTATTTTGATACGGTAAAAAATTAGATACAAAAGAACGATAATTCAAAACGAGTCGTGGCGGTGGCGGATAGTGATAGAAGATATATTACAAGCATTACAAGACTTATCAATAACCTCGTCCGCGCACAAGCAAAAAAAAAATATATCGAAGAAACGTGACGCGAGATAAATTCGAATACTCAATCCAATATCATTCTAATCAGAAGATTACTTGCTCATCTTCAACGCAATCTGTCTCTATGAGACTAATGTACAAAGCCTAGCCGGCCGCGATCCTTGTCATGTGAAAAAATAAGTTTGACCTGCGAATGAAATACTGCGAACCATATAGAGTTCTTGGAGTCATTGTCATTTCCTTCTAAAATACCACTGTGTTGTTTTTTTCGATCGCCGTGTAAGTAACAACTACAATAAATAATGGGGGATGATCAACATTTGAACGTTGTTTCCATTCTTCGTTGTCAATTGTTTAGATCGGTAAATCTAAATCAGGAGCCAATGTGATCATGATTTGAGACATGCTAATGGTAACAGGGGAGGCTTTTCTTTGTTGAAAATAAATAAAGCCACACGGACACGCTTCATCTCTGCCCTCTCCTGATGTTGCTCGTCGTGGTTACATTTAGCAGAGCTGGATAGAATTTAGAAGAATTTCGAAGAAGAGCCTTAGTCAAGGAGTCGCTCGCGTGAAAGAAGGATACCCACGCTCGTAGTCGTACAGACACACGCTCGAGTAAGTAATTTGAAAATGAGTGACAAGCTTAGTTAATCTGAACGTCTCCGATATCAACGACCTGATTAGACCTGCCAGGACATATTAGACCGTAGCAGAATATGAAGATCAACATCGCACGTGACTATCTATATCTATTCTCCTCTCGCCGTTCCTTGTTGGGTGTTAGAACTTTTTCGCGGGCCCCGTCTCTCTGAAGGTGAAGTTACTTCAAGTTCCTCCAGCAACCGACTGGGTATTTGTCAACAAATCTTACAGTGGTGGAGACAGGAAGTGTTTTAAAATTCCGTGCTCTGCTCTCTGCCTTAAAATCGAAACGGTACTATATATAATACGCCCTCGTCTAACTCTAAAGAAGACTGTGATATGCTACTGAACCTTGGAGGTATCCATCTTGTAATCTGTTTAGACAGAAAAGTGTTGCAGTGTCGTTATCGGCACTGATGAGAATATCTCTCGTATTGATGCCTTAGGGTTAGGATGGGTTTTTTACACTCTGACGCTTAGCCTTTGCGGCTTTTAGGCGGTCAAGCTTTTCGCGCACTGTCTCCCCTTCTCTTGACCCACTGCGAACAGCCGAGCCTCCTCTTGCCGCAGGACTTGGACCGCGCGCAGCAGTATTCGACGAATTTCGCACACTGGCACGTGGCGGCTGACCTGTCCCACTTCCTGATGTGGATACGACGTCCCGACGCGAATTATTGGTCTGCTCTCCCCCCGAAGACCGCGGCGGCTCTGTGCGCGGCCGTGAAGAAGATCCCGTATCAAGGAATGCGTTCAAGGAAGACGACCCAGGTCCACCTCCGGCGCTTGAGCTTGAAGATGGTGGCATCGCTGTGGCAGAGCCGCTTGCTTGTGGTATCGCGGAAGACGTCGCAGTCGATGTTCCTGGAGCACTAGCTGTTCCACTACCGCCAGCGAGATTCATAAAGAATTCTGCTCGCTCTCTTGAAGTTGCACGGCCTCCAGCTCCACTTGCGTTTGGCCGAGTACTAGCGCTCTCTCGTTGTGGCGGAATGTTGAAATTCAATGGTGGTCTGCTGGAAGATGTGGAAGATGTTCCAACCTGCTCCACGGGTGCAGCACCCTGTGCTGAAAAAGACGAGGATCCTCGTCCATTATTAGAAGATGATCTTGCAGCAGCTGAGGAGGAAGCTCGCGTAGTACTACCGGTTTGCTGTCCATCTGTAGTTCGTCCTCCTACAATCGTGTTTGAGTTGTCGCCTCCTATGATCGTGGTTGAAGAAGACGGAGCCACGGCTTGTTGTTCCTTTTGTTGCATTAAGTCGCGCATGGCTCGCGCCAGAAACATATTCACACTATCTGCTTTGACCAGTATTTCGCCGCTCCCCTCGTCTCCTTTTTCTGCACCGTCTTTCAACGATTGCCGTGACTGACGATCGCCTCCTTTCTGCCCTGGCAAATATTGGTCCTGCTCCCCACTACCGAAAGCCCAGCCCGCTGCTAGGATCTTTTTCCGCGTGACAAGCTGCGAGAAAGCTGCAGAAAATCCAGCCACCACTGTATCCTCAGCGTCTTTTTGCAAGCGCGTGGGATCGTCATATCCAGCTGGTACAACAACCTCGTCTGCGCTGCTGCTGTCGGGCATTGTGTCAAACCTATCATGATCGGAGAGGTAGAGGCGGGCATTTTTAAACATTAACATTGATTTATGAACTAAGACAGAGAGAGAGAGAATCATGTTGAGACCGCTATTGCTTTGGACAATTTTCTCTCAGAAATTGGTATTTCGATCGGGATAGACGCTAGTTCTGATTGGGATAGGCGCTAGTTCTGAAAATATCACAAGTAGGTCATTGTTGCCCTTCCGCAATCATAATCAAAGAAAAGCCTCATAAAAAAAGTAAGTACTTACCGTGCTTGAAAGAGGCGATGACTAAGATAGTCGAGGAGAATTTGGTTGCTTTTCTTCTTGCCAGTTTGGTGGTAGATAAGCGCTCCCGCCATGGGCAACAGCTCTCGCCGCAGATGCAGCGGGACCGCATCCATAACGCCCACACAACCTTTGTTTTCTCCAAGCAGACCCGAAGTCAACGTTGACGACAGCTCGGCACGGCAGAGTACAATTACCACTGGAATGCCCATATTTCGAGACAGTGTGAGCAGGGCCGCGTGTGTCGTGTCCAATTTCTCGGGATCTTCTGTTCTTGCAGCTGTGAAAGTGAATGTGATCGGTTCGAAGATGTACTATAATACTTTTATAAGTAGAACAGAAGGAGGCTTTGGCTTTTGCTTTACGTTTACTATGTACTCTTACTACTCTAAGTCTAACTCTTCCATCTCTTTCTTCATCCACAAGAAACCAGATTCTGGTCTTGCCAAGGGTACCAAAGGACAAAAAGACACTCGTATCTGTCCTGATCAAATTTACCGGCTTTGTTCGTGCTTGCTCCTCCGTGGTATTTGTCATATGCAGATGTGAGGTATTTTGCGGTTTTGCGATGCGCCTCGTCCAGGTCCGCGAAGTCGGCACCCTGCATTATTTCCTCCAACAGAGCCGCCAAAGCACGAAGCTCGTCTACGATCGCCCAGGGAGTCTCCAGAAAGTATTAACGGAAAACGAAGACGTTGGTGAAGTGGTAGACAATGATTCGAAATGCTAAATTCGGCGTGTTGGTTCTTGAGATACATACTTATGCTTGATTCATTAAATCATGACGCGCCAAAGCGCAAGGGAAAGCTGGATATCAACTACAATTCTAAATCCCTATGTCCTATGACATGATAATCATCTCTTCTTTGTCATAATTCAGACAGAGCAGCGCGCAAGTGTCCTGCGCTCGGAGACCAGGTCGACGTTTAAGCTGTGAAAGAAGGAGATCTTTACGTGTCTCGTCTGCCAAGACCCAGCACTCGGCTTTCGCTGTCATTGGTTGCGGCGCTCCGATCTTCCGATTTCCGTCAGCTGCCATTGTTGTACCAGTAGCTGATTTACCGTTGTTCCCCTCTATTCCGGCGTCAGCTGGCCTCGTTGTATTCCACTGTAGGTACGCGTAGTCTAATCCGAAAGCGGAGACAGACCCTGTGGTTGCATCGGTTTCTTCTAGAGATAAGGTCCCACTAGAAGCTGCCCCGGCAGACGAAACGTTGATTAGTTGCGACGTTGCCCCGATGCCACTCTGATTTTGCATCGCGAGAGAGTGCGCTAGTCCACTGCTCACGGAGGCCTCACCTAGAACAAGCACGGTTTTTGTGACTCCAGGTCCAGACCGTTGACGGGTTCCTTCCGCCAGTATGGAACTCCATAAACTTGTGGCAACATGATCGGAGTCCTCGCGATCTGCTCCTGGCGCTTTCGTCAGAGATGCACCGTCGACCGGTGCGGGAGACACCAACACAGACATTATTGTGGACTATTTCGTCGTTTCGCTTGAATGTTAGAGAAATGGAGACCACTATATCGAAAAATGTTGATGATCCCATTTCATCAATTTCTATCAAAGCGATTAACATTCATACAAATTACAGCACTAGCCCCCTTTGGATATGGATGTGTAGCGCTATTTTCGACTTGCGTTTTTTACTTGCAATACAATTACAATAGAGTTGTAATGACGACATCAATCCTTCGGTATCTTCTTGTTCCCCTATTATGTCGAACACGCGTTAGGTAGACCCATGATACAGACGCACATTCTCGATCGGATGAGGAATCAATCCAAATTTTGATTTTCTGAGACAACACGTCGTATAATAAATTATAGTGCAACTAGTACAAAGCACTGATATGGTTCTTATTGCTCCTGCAGTCGTTGCTTCATTTGGGCTTTCCTTGGAAAAAAGACTTCGTTCTGAGTTAAACCGGTACGGGTGAAACGGGTCTCCAGAAAAACCGGGAACCCCAAAAACAAAAAGAAACGAAAGGTTTATTGAAGATGAAAAATCAGTGGACTAAACGCAACCGGTGAAATGTTAAACGAACACTGTGATTCGTCAAGTAAACAAGCTCGAACGTGCAATCAGGTTGTCAGGTAAACAAACTGCTAAACAAAAAGTAGTTTGTCATACTGGGTCTCTAAGAACGTTGTTACTCAGTTGCTAAATCATCGAGCATAGGCTCGAAGTACAGACGTCGAACGTCATCAGAAGATATCGTCAGGTTTATTGTTGAGATTTTGAAGTGTGTTGAGAACACGAAATCACAATGTAAATAATGTAGAAGAGATGAGATGAAGATTGATGAAGAGATCAAACTTAAAGTTATTAGAAGTTACTGCTCTGGAATTCATCTTCAAGGAACAAACATGATTTTCTGTGAAAGTAGGTAGATCACGCCGACTCGTGCTTTGCGAGCATGAGCAGCAGGCCTTCGTCTACATCTCGAAGAAGTTCCAGATGCAAACAGATGCATCAGCGCCGGTCGTGACGATCTGTTTCATGTCAGGTGACCAGACAACGGAGGTCACTGCGCCACTATGACCTTCAAGCTGCGAAATTTTCTCACTGGTTTCCAGGTCGAAAAGGTTGGGATTAGAACGGGCTGAGTATTATAATATAAGTCCCGTGACTTCTAAAGAATTATGACGTTTTTGGCTGCGTTTTCAAGGAAGGCCAAAAACATTAGCAGTCCTCAAAATTAGTCAGTTTGTGCATGTGCTTCGGAACTCCAGATCTTCACTAACAACAGGCTATGAAGAAAGGATTAGCCGTAAAGAGAAAGCCTTCCTCGCTTCCAGCCGCTATGTACTGCCCGGAAGGAGATATTTCGACACAGAGAAATTTGCACGCGCGCTCGTGGAAGCATCCGACGGGCTCTGCGACGTCGATATCCCAGAAAAGGAGTCGCCCGTCTAAGCCGCAACTAACTAGCTCGCGCTCGCAGTCTTTCCGCTGTGTGAGACCTCTGACATTGCTATTTGGCGTCGTTCGCTGCACTATTGACTTATTCAACTTTACGTCGTATGTCACCTGACGGAAGTTTAGTTTTTTTTATTATGTTAAGGATGGAGATTTTCAACGCTCCTGTCCTGTGGGCATAGTACGCTCTGCTAGTGGTCCTTAATGATGTGTCTATTGCTGCTGAACATGCACTCAGTTCAAAATCAAATTTCTTTTTACGAGTGGATAATGAAGATACCACAAACCTATCCTCGCTGCTGCTGTGAAAGAGGTTCGGCCTCTCGATGTCTAAGGCAATGTCAGTAACTGGTTTGCGATGAACGTGGTACTGCGCTAGCAATTCCCTCGTCCTTCTATGCCAAACGCGACAATAGCAATCTTCGCCCCCGGTCACAAAAAACTGCTCTTAGAAGTGTTTTCCGCATCGCATCTCATCTATGCTGTTTAGTCAACTTCTGATCGTGTGCCTTGCCTTTTATGCGGACTTGTTACTTGACATTTCTGATTCTGATTATGTTTCTGAGATACTAAGGATTATAGCTACGCCATCATCATCAATATTACTAGCTGCAAACCGTAATGCTCCCACTCTTTTATGGCTGTTATGCTCCCCCTATGTGCGTTTGCCACCTCCCATGATGGAGCAATATCCTGCGCACGCCGGGATAACCTGGAGAAAGTCTAAGTCGGAATCGGATATCTAGCTAAACATGTATGTGTAAAAAATGATTGCCGTGTCGGTTTCTGACATGATTGTGTTGAGATCGACATGACAAAGGGGCATCCAGTTGTCCCGCTGATCCCTAAAACTCATGCCCGTCATGTCCCTCAAGGTCAAGCTGGGAGAACATCCAAGCACTCATCTATGAGCAGCTACTCAGAAAACGGCAAGGGCAACGATGAACACGAATAATGACAAAGCAGACACTTCTTAAAGTTAAATACCTGTATGCTCGGATAAAGCTGTCTTCGCATCCGACTAAAATTTCGTCTTCCACCTCGCTGACACACAGGCACAGAACTCCACTCTGAGTGATGTGAAACCAAGAAGGATCTTCAATGACACCAGTAATACTTTTTTAGTTGTTTATTTCTATTTGTGAGGGGTAATTCTACTTCTAAGAGACGTTTTCCATATTTATATTCATGAAACGAGAAACGACGGAAGGCTCAAACTAAATCATGACACGTGGACGTGCAGCCGCAGCGCGAAGACAAGCACGTTCTTGAGTATTGAAATATAGAGGAGAGATGTTGTCCGTCGTTGTCCCTGATCTTTGAGCAAGCTTGAGTATTGAAAAAAATTTAAATGTCACGTTTCCTAGCTTCTGTTTTCGGCATTTCTGTCGAATTTCATCAAAGGCCTGCTTGTAAGGGTGAAAGCAGATCCGCTTCCCGAAAAGAAGCCGATCGGAAAAAACCTCCCACGCGAGGCTACTTCTTGTGCGGAACCCCACGAAAAGCGGACACTCCTGAGCCTCTTCGCTGTGTCACTTTTACATCCGGAACCGTATGTAAAAGTGCAATCGATCCGCTTCCAAAGAAGCCGATCGGAAAGAACTACATCCCACGCCAGGCCAGTTTTCGTGTGGCGCCAAGCTAAAAGTGAAGGACTGGAGACTTCTGAGCCTCTTGGCTGTGTCACTTTTACATCCGGAACCGTATGTAAAAGTGGAGGCCGTCTCTCTGTCTCCAAGGAAGCAGAGCCAGAGCGGCAGCCTTCCACGTCAGGCCACTTTTAGTGTGGTGTCACACTTCGAAAATGCGCAAATTAATCCTCTAGCTCCACGTCGACGCCTTGTCGCTGTCGCTTTTACATCTTGTTTGCAGGACACCAACAGCTACAAACATCGGACAATAAAGGTGTAACAGCTTAAATTTGTCGTGATTAAGGTTAGTCGCTAATATCATTGCTTCGACGACATTGCTACAGAACGAGTACTTTTCTATACTTTTATCCTGACGCTTTGCATGTGTGAATAGTCCGACAGGTCCCATAGAAACATCTCCCCCGACTTGCTAACGGTGGCCACGCATTCGCTGTCCTTTCCACCAAAGCAGGCCATTAAAACGTCGAACTGAAAGTGGATAATAAACAGCGAGATCGTCAATTGGGATATTGTTTATCCGATATGTATCGTATCGCGGCCTAGTTATAGTTCGTTGTCATAAGAAGTATTCGCTCAGGGCCGTCCTATTTCAGACAAGACGAAGTAGGCGTCTTGATTAGAAAATCAGAAAGAGCCCACAATAAGAAAATATATGGCCAGTTTTGTTCGTTTTCTACGGGAAAAATTAGAAAACTGAACATATTTGTTCTCATTTTTAGGTAACCTATGAGGCTATTTGTGGGTTATTTCGCATTATCTGGCTACTATTTTTCTCCGTATGATATTTATAAGGGCGTTCCTCAGCCAATAAGTACAAGTAGTAATGACTATTTTCATTGTTTGTTACTGTTTCTCTCTTTTCGCGGAGGACAAAAAAATGGTAGTACTGTATGCGATGAGGAGTGCAGCGTTGTAGTAAGGTCTTTTGTCAAACACCTCCAAAGCTTTCCGTTTTTCGTACTCACCAGGACTTCCTTCGAATCTGCGCTCAAGTTTACCGACATACACGGCGCATCAAGTATGTTCTCGGCTAGCATGTCCCAGTGAGTCTTGTGGAATAGTTTGAGCAGAAGTGATTTCGACAGAAGGAAGGAGCTGGATATGTATCAAGATCAAGGAAGGTGAAAATAGTAGATTCTTGTTGTAGCTGCAGGTGGCAGGTGCACCTCCAAGTAGCTACGAGCACTTCAATTTCTTGATTCAAATATCAAGTGCATGACTTACTACTACTTTATTAAGTTAGTTGTACGTCTGCACCACGAACGCGCTTCACCTTTCCATCCCCGCCAACTACTATCATTGTGGTCTCGTCAACTTTTGAGATACCGGCAACGCCACCGTTTACTATAGGCAGAGAGCAGCGGAAAACCCTGATGTGGAGGTTCAAGATCATCAAGGGAGGAGCCGCGTCACATTGGAAGTGAAGAGACAAGCTACGGCTAGCTTCTATATCAGGGAAATTCGTAAGGTTTGCCAGCTCGCATGGCATGGAGTGCATGGAGTTGCATGGAGCTAAAGGGGGCGCCTCTTGCGTCCCTTATGGATCTGCGCTCCATGCGCCATGCGTGCTATAAACTGATCGGCTATACACAACTAAATTTATTATCTGGCAGTTCGGCATGCTGAAGCCGATGTTTCTTGCAAGTTGTTCAAAGAAATTTTAAATAGAAATCCTACAACTTGTTCTGAACGAATGGTACCTATAATGTATCATAAATATGTAAATTGAAATCCAAATAAAAATGAACAACAACCAAAGTACCTGTTATGTAGATTGAAGACGCATAGATCTCCTGCGTGTGTCCCCGTTATGAGTTGACTGTCCATTATGCAGCCCGTGACATGCTTCCTATGAAGGCCGGCTGGTGGTAGCTGTATTTTAGCTGTTTCCAGCACGTAGCTCATCGATCTGATGTCGAACACGAGCTCGTGGGTCAGCACCTCAGACTCGTAGGCCGTGCAGAGAAGATAACTCGGATATCGATTAGTGGCAGTCGGTGGACTTACATCACCCCAACAAACCATGTAACTTGGTGACTCCGTATTCCGGTCGTATCTGCAATATGTGCAAGACATTAGGAAGAATTTTGTTTTTTTGCCTGCGAAAATTTCCTTTTGCGCTTCCTTGTCAAATACAACACCCAACTGGCACCATCTGCATCTAGGATACGATTACGACCTCAAACACGGATTGAGTTGTCAATAGATAACTTACATCACTTCTCCGGTAGTCACGTCCCAAATCATGATCTTTGCGTTGGCCCCTGTTCCACACAAGAATCGTCCATCCGGTGAAAAAGCTAATGTTATCACCTGATTATTTATTCATTATTGATTTTTTAGACGATCGTTGCGTCAAGTTGAGCATGCTATTAATAGTGATTTTTCAGACGATGACGAACTGGCCATTTTGATGATGATGCAAAAGCCATAAAGGAAAAAATCTACTCAGTATACGTACATAGTCCGTCATGCTCATGCTGTACGACGGAACGGTCGTTCTTAACCAAACGACATAGAGAGAGAGACGTTTTTCATCTATTGATTCGTCTAGAAGTACCGAACCCGTCAAGCCCCCAAAGTCTTTGTATATTGTCCGTTGTTCCTCATCCCAAACGATAACCGGTGCAATCTGTCCTTTTCTCCTCTCAGAGCCCCTCTGCCCACTTGCAATCATCTTGCCGTTTCTTGAGATACATATCGCAGAGACTTCTGCGTCGTGCGCCCGCAAAAAGTCCTGGTTGTGTGGGTTGCTGATGTCCTCCATAACGACGCAGCATCCTACTGGATACACGTAGATGTCTGGTTTTGTCGGATGAAAGATAACGTTATTCGTAAATCGGTTCGTTAAGCCGCACAGATGCTCTAGCTCGACGGCGGCACTTGGCCGCTTTGTTTCAGCCGCCATCTTGACTTGTCGAGCTGCGACCGAAGAACGGTCGTGGGTGGCCAACGGGATAAGTACTCTGGTGTCTTCCTGTTCGTGAGCACGAACGACCGTGCGTAGTTAGGGAATTATGCGATCAGACACTGTGTCCTGCGACACGAATGTTAACATCTCGTGTCCAACTTACCGCATCTGAAGCTGCAAGTGTTGTCCGCGAACAATGCGCGTCTCACCCTCCAGCACACAAGCAGACGGTGCCGGAGGTGTCATGTCAATGAGTCGTGGTGCCCTACAACGAGGAAAAGAATGTGCCTTGCGCTTGAAAACTTGCGATATATCTTGAATGCAGGAGCTGGAGGGTTTCGTGTTACAAGGCTGCTTGCGGGGCCTAAAACTTTTTTCCGTTTTGTCTTTTTGGACAAGATAATGATGAGATAGACCGAGGAAGACCAAAGTTAAGATATTCAGAACAGCTGCACTGCAGAGAATGAGACTTTTTCCTTCATCATATCAATTTTTTTTATCTTTCTTCTTCTTGACTCTTTTCTTCTTTCGCTCTCCGCATAGTAAATAAAAAATCAGACTGCGTGCAGCTGAACGACATAAACTATCTGTAAGTCGTTTACACTGCCACACTCGCACTCCACTCTCCGGCACGCATAATCTGGCCAACTGCTGGTTCTCCGGTTGCTTTCCAAAGAGAGGCTAAAGCCGCGCCTCCGCAGTGGTTGCAGAGTCAAATCTTCATTCCCGTATTATATGCATGAACTTCAAGCACCCAAAAGGAGAGTTAAGATTGATCATCACACGGTGGCTCGTATCAGTCAAAGTGAAATTGAAAGTAAAAGAAATGTAAACCTAACCCTAGCCGCTAGCAGCTGCAAGAAGATGAAGAAAGTGAAGTAGAGCAACGAAAAAGCGTGATGATGACGACGAGCCAGCGTCATGATGATCTCCTGTGTGTACTCGTAAGTTATAATTGGTTGCAGATGGAGATGCAGAGTAAAGCTTAATTATATTAAACACGAGTCCTGTGCGAGCGCGTATTAATAAATCAGAAGAGGTATCTTGAGTGTCTATCGAGTACCTCTATTGCGTCGTGCCCCGTGCTATAAACTCAGAGTACTCAGGGCCTTATCTAATTCTTCTAAGTCACGCAGAAGTTTGCGTTCAACAGAGCTTGGTCGCGTGCCACCACTTGGCTCTCCAAGCACGCTGTCTTTACTTTCTTCCACACGACCTATGCTTATTGTAGCTGGAGGTGGTGTGCTCCTGCGGCGCTGCTCAACACTAGGAGCTGTATAATCATCCCCGCCTGTGTCATCATCTATCTCGATTTTTGGATCATTTCTTGCTGTCTGCGAACCTGTCTTCATTGCATTATTTGTTCGCTCTGCGTGAACCAAGTCCATCCTGTGAGCGCGAAGTTGTTGGCGGTAGATCTGGTGCTTGATGCCTTGCCACCAATAGGAGTGTCGTTTCTCTTGCAGGTTCAGACCAAACCCGGTAGTCGTCAGACTTGCCGAGAGAGGAGATGATGATCTAGGTCTCATGTTTGGCGCGCTTGGCGGCACGAGGTTAGATCTGCGCGGGGGCGGCGAATACTTGCTCGACGTTTTCATAGAAGTATGACCTCGAGAAGGTCCGCCTCTAGTAGTTGTACTCGCCACGCTGAGACTTGAAGGACTGATGCGCGCTGCCGGACTGATACGTGTTGAGCCTGGGCGTGATGTCTGCCCCAGAGCACCAGTGACAGTGTTCTCTGCACCGGTGAATACCTCTAGCGGAGGCTCTTGGTTGCGCCAATTACCTGCATTGCCTCGCCACCTGCCAATCTTCTGAGCAAAGGCGGCAGCACCACAAGAAGACGCGCCACTGTTTTGTGCGTTCATCGAATTGGCGTTCGTTTTCGCATGCTCCTTGGCTCTACAACCTCCACTCCTTGGTTTGTGATAGTTTCCCGTTGTTCTCGTTCCTTCTGCCTCCAGTCCTGTGCTTGCCGTAACATCCACGACGATCGGATCTTCCAGCGCATCGTTCATGTCAATTGATACTCTAGGCGTCGGTGTACTGTCTTCGGCAAGTCCGAGTGATTCATTTTTTTTGGACGATGACGAGCTTGATGCTGAAGGACGTGCACGTGCATCGTCGCGGATTGGCGCAAAATTGTCAGAGTGGATTTCTTTTCCGTCATGGATATAAGAGCAGCGCCCGTATCGGGGTAATTTCTTGTCAGTCCCAGTTGTCCGGAAGCTGTACGTGTCGTGGTGGTTCCGCCTATTTAGCAGCTCTCGCAGCCTTGTCTGTGTATCTGGCAAGTGCACTAGCTTCGGCTGAGACGACATCGGCCCACGGCCACCTTGTTCTGTCTGCTGCTTCTGACCAGTGTGCCCGCCTCCAGACTGCTCTGGCTTACGGCCGTCTTTGGCCGCAGAAGGCTCCTGCTCCGGACTGCGGGATGGTGACGGCAAAGCTCCAGTCTGCAGACTCCGCGTCCATGGCGATTGTAGAGCTCGTAACGCTTTTTTCGATGAGAGGAACTTCACCTCTTCCGTTTCTGCTTCCAGCTGAGCCTTCAGGATGGCAAGGATCTCACTTTGACTTTCAGGCTTTGCGGTAGCTGTTGCATCTGTTACATCTGCTGGATCTGTTACTACTCCTCCACCCATCGACGATGAGCTCTGCGTTATCTCGTTTTTCTCTCCATCCACCACCCCAGTCGGACGCTCTTCGGTAGTTGGATTCCCTTGTCCTCCACTAGAACCAGATGGAGCGATTGTGGGATAATTGCTCTCTAGTACCGCTTGTAGTTCGCTGTCTAGACGGATTGGTCTGCGCTTGCTGGACGATTTGCCTGGAGATGCGGATACCGACTGCTTCCTAGACAACGCAAAAATGGGCGAGGCTCGTGCGTCTTTTGGCGAACGATCTGCTTTTTGAGATGTGTTTTGAGCAGTGCTCCCACTAGAAAGTTCATTTGCTCGCGAACCCACGAGGGCTACCCGTGTTTTTTCCATTTGCACCTCCTGTTGTCCTCCAGGATCAAGCGATTCTTGCTTGTCCTTATTCTGAGCGTCAGCTGGATGGTCGGACGCAGGCCCCGGCGAATCTACCTCGGGGACTTTATGCACTGCTTGTGGCTCGGTATTGGATAAGTCGACATTTTTATCACCTCTGCTGCGACTGCGAAAGACTGGTAGCGTAAACTCCAGGTCGCGGTCAAGCCGACATGCAACGACTTTCGGTCGTGTCCGCGACGCGACTGATTTTGGTCTCGGCCTTCGATATCTGTAGTAGTTTTTACGTGCTGCGTTTTGACGGGTCCGCCGTTGGCTTTGCCTAATCTGCTCTCTCAGCATGCGGTGCACACTGTCGGTCACGACGCCACCTGCTCTGCTCGAAGAAGACGCGGAGGACGACGCACCTGCATTCTCCGCACTTCGAGCTCGACGTCGATAATTCATCATAAACGCTGAACTAGTTGGGCCACGAAATGTAGTCGGCCCTGCTCCTGATGCAAGCGTGTTTGACGGACTACCGCTATTCCCCATGCTTCCACGTCTTGCGAATGAGACCCTTCCAGTTCCAATTGCCGCCGGGGGAATCAATCCGTTGGCGGATAACTGAGCTAACAGTGACGAATGCCGTGCGCTAGCTGCGGATACACGCTGCAGCTGCTCCTCTATGGTGCCAGTGGTAGAAAAGGATCGCCCGACTGGTCCGGGCACTCCTCCTGAGACAGCTTCAGATGCACTTATCAACAGGTTATGCATCGTTGCATGGTCTACGCGGCGTTCTTCTAGGTGTGCTTCTGCGCCATTGATGAAGTCTTCGAGACTTCGCCGGCGTCCTCCTTGATGTGCTGCGGCGAAGAGGCCTTCGACGCCATCGTTTGACGGAAGCAGACCAATCAAATCTTCTGATGGCGCCGCGCCTCGGTTGCTCGGGGACGGTTGAGAGGACGCTTCTATCGGACTCCTGAGTACGTCGTCGTCCTGCATCCACTCAGACACGCGAAAGGGATCTCCTAGTGCGAGTGACGGCACACCACCGGCTTCCGGTCCACCTCGTTGTGCTTCTGGTGCGGCACTAGCTCTTCCTCCGAGGTTCGGATCGCTGCCCTTGATTCCAACCGCGGAAGTAGTACCAGCTACCGACATACTATTTGACGTTGTGGTGCGGGACACTGGACCCTGTCCTCCAAGAGAATCTGTCGCGCGAAAACGGCCTTGCGCTTCCTGCTGCTCAGCGAGCCGCGCGTGATCAATATAATGCCGACACAGGTCGGTCATAGTGAAGACGCGCGAAAAGCCATCTCCGCCGATTGCTTCCACCCTGAACCCAAAGAAAAGGTGCAAAAGCCAATACATATCTGGAGACTGTAGTTTCAAAGTGTCCGATCGCGAATGTGCCATGTCTTCGTCTTCTAATCGAGCGTAGATTTTGTAGAGGCTTCTGTATTTGAGTACGCGGCGACCGGCACTGTACGGTTCTGTAGGTGACGTCAGCCCCTGCTTCCAGTTTCCTACGCTTTTGTCCAAAGTGAACATCGGTGCTATCGACTTTCCCCGGATTGTAATTGCGAGTGGCTCGTTTTTATGGTTCGAACTATTCGCAGATGAGGATTGGCGGGGTCCGGACGCGGACGTTGTACGCGCGACGCCTAGCTGAGCAGTTGTCGAGTCTCTACGAGCACCTTGTTCTCCAGCTGCGTCAGACGTTGAGTTCGCGGCTGCCGATGTCGTGTGGTCTGCCTCTCCCCCTCCTTGTATACCACTTACGCTTGCGGAAGTCACAACGGGACCGGCGCTGCCAGCAGAGAAAGTCGATATAACGCCAACGGTTGTGGGATCTGGAATGTTCTGTCTTGAGGCAGCCCGCATGACACGCCAAAAGGGAACCTCACCCGCGTCGCTAATTCCATTCAAGTAAGAGAAAATGCGGATCCTGCCTTCATCGTCCATCATAGGGTCCTGGACTTGAGAGCTGCGGGTGCGACGAATGCGTGGTGTGACATTCTGGGACGCTCTGCGCGGCGAAATGCTTGCGCTCCCCGTTGTGGTTCCGGTGCCGTTGCCCAAACCTCCCGCGCTTTCCTCGGCCAGCGCAAGCATGACACGCTGAAAGAGAGCGACCTTGTTACCAAGCAGCTTTTGTCGCAAGAAGTAGTACCGCATAGCGTCGCAGAAGATTTCAGCGGCATTGTTTGGCATCATGCCGGTCGCCGGCGCAGTCATCCGCGCGATTGCTGCAAAGTCACGGTCTGGGAGCGGCGGGGGAACTGACAGAGGTCCTCCCGTTGAGATCGCGCCGGCGCCGGGTCCTCCTCTACTTATGATGTCATGACTGTTTCCGGCACTAGCTGCTGTGCTTTGTGGCACCGACGCTGCGTCAAGCACGTCCATGGCAGCACTGATGATGGCAAGACTACTCTTTGTCTTCTGAGCCGCTGCAAGCACTTCTTCGCCGCGCGGCGTTCCCGGTGCTTTGCTCAGATTCAACACCGTGGACGGCACAGATGCGATAGACGGAGCAGCTGTTGGCGCGGTGCTCGACGCGGCACCCAAAGTTGAAGACGAGCGCACGAGGCCAGGTGCTCCTCCAGCACCGGAGGACGCTCCGATGAAACCGAGATGTAGATGCGGCCCGAAGTGCCGTAAGGCCGGAAGATTCAAGTTTAGAGGCTGCGAACCAACTGCAGGCTGCCGGGTTCCGTTGCCGGTCGAAGTCAAGCGCGGTGTGGTTTCTGCCGAGCTACTTGACAGCAGCGCGGCCAGCATTCCGTTTGAGCTAGCACGGTAGGCAGCCGCGTCCGGGAAGAGTTTCTCACTGATGGTGAACAGCGGGCGCGTGCTTACGATAGTATTTCGGGGTTCGTACATGCTATCAATCCACCGCCTCAAAGAGTCGCCGAGCCGCGCGCTGTCCTCCCGGCGCTGCGCCTCCAGTTCCACACGCCTTTCGGCGTACCAATCACACAAATCGTTCAGAATCGTGGCTTTAGGACTCGGCGGCCCACTCGCAACTGCGATGTTCAAAAAGTGATCCCACGCGTTGCTACCTAGAAAGGATCCGATCAGCGTCTGCATCATCTGGAGATCCTCAGCATGGGACTTGCTGCTTAGCGGAGACGTGGCCAGCCACGGGGAGATCTTCAAATTTGTCAGAAACTCTTCATCGTCAAAAGCTATCCGCTGCTGGCTGCCACGATAGCCGCTACTCGAGCTTCCTCCTCCTCTCGAGCTGTCCCGCTTCGTCGCTCGGATCACGTAGGCGCGATAATTCCAAAACAACCGTAGAATGAGTTCAAGAAAGGCGGCCGACAGGCGCGCACGCACCCGGTTTTCGGCCGCATCACTGAAGGTCGAGGTAGCTGCAGCGTCAGCCGTCGAGTCCAACTCCGAAGGCGCCGTCGGACTAGGGGCTGGTGCTCCAGCTAAATTGATTTGCGCAGCGCTCGCCGACGTGTGGTCAGCTGCAGTCGGCACTGTGCTTGCGGTTCCTGTCGTTGCGCTGACTCCGGTCGTCGTGCTCACCGTATCCGAGATCGCATTGGCCCCACCTGCTCCAGCGGAACTGGCTTGACTTCCCAATACTGTTGCTGCGGTCGAACCGAAGACGCCTCCTCCTGCATTTGCCGACAGCGCCAAGTGATAGTTGTTCCAGACGCTTCTCCCAGAAGTCTTTTCGTGCAGGGAAAGCGACCGCAACTGTGTTTGCATCCATTTCACGAGGCTCTCAGGAATCGCGATCGGCATCTGCTCGGTGTAAATAGACGGTGTATTCTTGCTGGATTGAAACGTCTGTTGCGTCCGCCGCGAAAGGTCGCCGTCGTCCTGACGAGAAATTGATTTCGGAAGATGAATGAAGAACAGATGTGGAGAGCAGGAGCGCAGATAAAGAGGTTGGTATCTTCTAGACCGGGACCAAAAGACGCTAATCAAATCCAGTTGTACTTCTGTCCAAGTGAGTAGGTACCTGTTTTGCTTCACCCTTTGTTGGGGTGCCACTTGTTCCCTCACCGTCGACATCGTGCAATGCTGCACCAACGCGTCTTTTCTTGTCCAATGCTACGTTAAAGAGAACTTCATCGGCATCGATGTCGAAGACCACGACGTCTGGCGGACAAGCCTTAACCAGGTCCAGAATCGAGGTGTGGTGCACGCCGACCAAGAACGGCGTGGGGCAATCCAGTACGACCCACATGTGTTTGGGCAGTACGGGGATGTAAACATGATGCCACTCAAACGGGAAAAGCAGAGCCTTAATGCCCTCGCACACCAGCGTAAGCAGGCGTTAGATGAACAACAAAAATAGCGATTAATATAGCACTATCGGAGGCTGCAAATCATGCAACATTCCTGTGTATATATAAATCTAGAGAGAACGACACGAACGGGAACGAGAAACAAGATCTACTTTATTTCGATGGTTGCAATGCCAATGTGAGCGTGAACGTGTCCATAAAATGACAAGGAGCGTCTTCGTGCCGCGAGCACCATTTTTTTCTCCGTGAGGAGCAGAAAGAAAAGGTAGACCAAGTTTCGTACGCTGAAGCAACCCAACAGCGGGCGGAAGGTAAAGTCGCGAGCGATGCTTTTGGGGTCCAGTAGTCGAAATGTGGACAGGCCGAATGGAAAAATCACGTGCGTGGACTTGACAAAAGTGTCAAAATCGCGTTGAACGGCAGGAAGCTGAACTTCGAACAACAAGTAGGCCAGACTGTAACTCAAAAACAGTTCTCGCCTCTTCTGCGCCGAATACTTGGAGATGAATTCCGTATCCGTTTCTGGCACATATTTTGACACTGCTGCTGATGTTGTGTCGCTAGCAGGCTCCTCCTGCTGGACTTTTTTAGGGCCGCCTGGAAGAGCGGCCTCGGCAAGCATGTTTGACGAACTCCCCTCTTCCTGATCGATTTTTGCGAGAGAGTACAAATGTATGGTAATGGTTTTAGAGAGTAAGTACAAAGAACAAGACGTCTCAGTCCATTTGGTGTGCCTTATTACATCTTGGATTTGTACTTGCATTTGTAAGTAATCGAGGCGAAGGATCGATAGTGGAGCGTATCGTGCGCTGCGAATCATGCGCGTATCGTTTGACCACCAAAAACAACAAGATTCATTGAGCTCCATGCAATCATTGTCATTCGAGGGCAAAACAAGAAAAAGAATACACTTACTTGAGATGAAACAAATTGTGCTAAGTCTAAGATAATCTACTACATGGTCATGGTGCCTGTATTTGAGCAATAGCGGCGGAGGAGGCGAGGTAGAGACTCTCCAGCAACAATCCTCGGCAGGTCTGTAAGTACGGGTGCTTTGTGACGAGGCAGACAGCCTTTGGCGCGTAGTAAAGCGTCTTTCCTTGCTCAGCGTTCTGCGTGTCGACTTTAGTGCTACCAGCAGCGTTGGGAGGCGGATTTTCATCGCGCTCGAACGTGACCATGACCGAAACGAAATAGTTGTCATACTGCGGTGTTGTTAAAACGAACGTGAATATGTATGGCTCCAGCACCATCAAAGGATGCTCTCGATCCTCGCCTAGCCCGCTTTGCTGACTCTCTGACAGGTGCTGTGATCCACTGGTATTGTCACAGCCACCATTCGCCGTAGAAGTACTCGTCAATATGGTCCGCTTTCCTGCCGTTGTGATTTCGTCTACAAGAGTCCTTGATACTGGAACTAGCTGTGTGCCATGCTGGAAGACGAAATCGGGGATGTCCGCGAGCATCGGGGCAATTGGACGCTCCGGGTAGTCCTTTGGGGGGTACCGCGAGAGGACGGCGGCCTGCCACTCGGGTGGCTTTTCAGGTTGGCTGCCCTTCCGTCGTGAGACATTTCGACCGCCTTTCGCCACCAGATGGCCCTGGGCATCACGTTGCAACCCGACGACAAGCACATAATCCACCACCCGCTGGCCAAAGTGTGCAGCTGGTGTCAGATGCTCGTCGTCGTCTTCACCGCTCTTGCTTGCCTGCTCCATGTTGCTTTTGATTCTCGTGTTTACCTGTACTAACTTCAGCAAGAGCGGGCGATGCTAACTACATTTTGTTCGTCTCATAGTGCGCATTTGTCCTCCTCCTCGCTTGATTTGTTAGTGCTCGTTTGATGGTGCTCTCAACAAGTCGCGTTTTAGGAATAGAAGATGAAGAAGTAGCATCAATAGCATCTGGAAAAGTCTAGAAACCGTGTCCTCTAATATATTCACTCTATCACTCACGGGCCTCGGCAGTCTCGAGAATGCACTCGCGCGTCTCCTTGCTGAGTTTCCAAATCCATCTCCGTCTGTTGTGGCTTCACAAGCTTCATCACCCAAGGATTTGACTAGGGCTTGGTGCTGTGATTCCTACCACTGCACGAGGAAAAATATCAACATTCATCCGTGGTATACACAGCATGTAAGTACATGTTCTGCTGGATCAGGCGATTTCATTTTTATACATTTTTTATGTATTGATATTGATGAATTGCCATGTTGGGTCTTTCTCTATTCGCACGCTAAGAAGCTAAAAAATCGAAAAAGCAGCAGAACCATTCCAACTGTGGTCGACGGGCAGCGGTTCAATCTCATTCACCCAATCCCAAACTCGGAGAAGCTTCTATACATACTTACACAACTGAAATTCCTTGCCAGCTGACGAGTGTGGTTGGCGTCGCCGCAGCACCAGGGGTTCTGTGCGAACTGCCTCCGATTCTCAAAGTCTCTGCGGACGCCACAACAGACACCACGCTCGTGGCGCACATGCCGGTCGCATTGTTAGATCCCCACACGCGTTCAAACTCTGTGGGAAGTGCTTGTGGAGTGTGCTGCCGAAGGCGCCAACACTCCCATCCGGAGCCTGGCAAGTCATTCGCACGCACGAAACAGCTGGCGACGCAATCACGTCCGGCTTGCTTTTTTGCGCCTGGCCACCAGTCCCGGTTGCTCAACTCCGCCTCTATAGCGCTGCTGAAGATGTTTTCCGCTGCTAGATGACATTCCGCGGTCGCTTCGCGGCCGCCAGCTGAGACCGATGCACCAGGAGTTTTTGGATTTGCAAAGGTTTCCACAGTCTTGCAGCGTCGGCAAACGACCCTCCGCCGCAGCGATACTTACGAACGGCGTGGACTCAGACGCAGCACACTTTCCCTCTCCTGGAATATGTTAAAAGTCGGCGTCCGCCAACAGAGTCACCTGGGAGTTGGTAGAAGTTGAGGTCATTAACGACTCCCTTCGTGTTCGTTACCTTTCATATTCACGACGATTTTGCGGGATCCGGTTGCCCATCGATACAGGTATCGAATTCTTCACGCCAACCGGGATCCTCACCGGTTTGGTGTTCTTGACGTTCTGATGACGTACGAGAAGCTGAAGCAGAGGACGAAAGATGGCTACTCAACAAGTCAGCTTCTGAGGGCACGGTCGAGATGCGATGCGCATTCCTGCCACCGTCCCCAACGCGCCGCAACTGATTTGGATCGAAAGTCTGCGCATGCTCCAGATCGCTCAAGAACTTGTTCTTGTAGAAGCGGATGTAGTCAATCTCGAAGAAATGACCCTGATAGACAGGTTTATTGTTTGTGTCGCTCTCGCGCGGTGGGTTCGCGTTCTTCTCGGCGCTCAACAAAGTGGAAGCGCTCGCCGCGCTACTTATCGGAGGGTGCCTGCTCTTCTGGCGAGCCGCAGATGATGTGGACGCAGAAGCACCAGTCGAAAGTGCTGAAAGTGCCTCGGTCAGCCACAGTGCGCCCCTTGAAGTCGATGCAGATCGATCAACAGCACTTCTAGTTTCCTCAAATGGACGCCTTATATCCGAAGTAGCGTTCTTGTTGAGCTCAAGTCTTGCGCTGATTTGACCATAGATCACGTGACTGCCTATCGTAAATTGCTCCCTGAGATGCCATCCATCGTTGACAGCCGGTAGAAAGAAGTGCGGATTACTGTTTTTTGCAGACGACGTCGCCGCAGCAAATAGTTGGAAAGGATTTGAGATCACCATTTTTTCAGACCCAAATTCTTTTTACAGGCGCTCAGCGATGGCAGGATTGTAAATCTAATTTTGTAATTCCGTTTCCAGCTAGACAAATGCGCCCCTCGAACAAAAATCTTTCATTCGATTGTTCAGTCACTGGACGGAGGTGGAGGGGATACCGGAAACGAAAGTTTTTCGTGTATAAGCAGCGCGTCTTTCTTGCTCTACTGTACCCAACAAGCAACCGAACTCTTAGTCACTATATCATCTCCGTGGAAACGGAGAGCGGGATGCCACTACATTGAAATATAATAAGTACTTGTAATAATAACTATGGCTAGCGCTAGGAGGACGAGGAAAACGGGGATTACGGGTTGGCATTGATGAGATTATATCTTAGTCTTCTTTCGGAACAAGGATTTTCTCGTCCAGCTCGAGGTAAAATAGCAGGTACATGTTAGTCATACCCGGTCCAGTTTTGACCGGAGAAGCACAAATTCCTGTACGCAACCCGAAAGTAATCACTCTGACAGTCACCGTGGCGTGTCGTTGATGGCTCCACACCATTCATACCTTGTTGCGTAAATAAAATTTGCATGTTGCTTTCACAGATTTCACTTTCTTCAGTTTCATACGACCCAAGGTGCGATGGGCTCGCACGCGCCGAACATGAACATACTAAGAAAGAAAAATGACGTTGAAGACCTTCGAGATCGAGGACCTCCGTGATACATAATCGGCGTCCCACTTCGATATCGTTTGATTTTTCCTCCGAAAAAATGCTTGGGCCGCTAAACAAGACCTTTTTATCCAATTTTGCGGAAAAACGAGCAGGAAAGAAAAGACAGAGTTTCTCATCCTGCGGAAAAAACAACGAAAATCAATGTTAGAAATATGGTACTGACACCACGATGACTACTTACTACAAGTACAACAGAAAGAAGTGTGGCACGGCGCCACAATCCATCGAATTATTTTAGCAGGCGACTTGTTTTTGATATTGTTTCGAAAAAGGTCACTATGCGGTGCCGGTATATCCACAATACCGAATCAGGTTGAAGCTATTTTCTCAACAAGAAAGATGCAGATGGTAACGAAGATCACTTTTATAGTAGAGATGCTGTCGCTGTCTGCGCTAGCGATATGCCAATGCCATAGAGCCTGAGGCCTACTTGGTAGCAATAAAGAGAGAAGAAAGATCATAGTTTTTGTTTACTATTTGCTAGTCCGAGCAGTCGGACGCACACGGAAAGGAAGAAATTACGAGGATAACATGTTCTATGATTGATCCCCCCGCCCCCGAATAACTGAAATATTATACGCAGAAAACTCCCGATGCCGAATCAGTGGAGAGCACAATCAATCTGCATGAGAGTGTGACTTTCTGTTTCTACTTTTTCATGAAAGTCTGTCGCAATACTTCAGCATAAGCCCATATCGGCGTACAATCAGCGAGTTATCAACTCACTTGACTGCACAGATCATCAATAATCATAGTAACTCTAACTTGAGGAGCAAATTTATAGATACATTATTCTCAAAAAAGTTGTAGTTGATGTCATGGACATGGTGGTAAACAAATGTGTTATCTTTATTGTTTTGCACAAGGGATGATCTTGATCGCGCTCATGATGAGCAATCGCAAAATATCAGTACAGTGAACCAACACCAGATACAGAGTTGTTCTATTTTTCTACTAAAAAAGCTTTGGATCATCTTAGATACTGGTGATCGACTTCTTTGGTCTTGATATTCTTGTATTGCACCTCCATAATGATGATACTTTTGATTGAGACCACCACAACATCAAACGGAAAGCGAAAATAAACGCATTATAAAAAAAAACTGGAACAATAGCAACTCTAACTCAGCGAGATCCTTAATTGAAAATATCAACTGGAACAGGCGAGACGGCACGGACTCCCTCTTCCTCTCCTTAATCGAAAATATCAACTGGAACTGGAACAGTCGTCGTTCTCCATCTCCGACGAAAACTCATTCTTAGTCTTTCAACTTGTAATACTTCCAAGTGGCAGGATCATAGTAAACGCCGAGCGATGGGTCGTACATAACTTCGACATAATTCGCAGATTGCGCAGTATCGCTTTTATTCGCTCCTTGCGGCGGCAAAGTGCCAGTTACGGGAGGTCTGTTCAAAACATGAGGCACGATGTAGTTGGGTCAGCAATACAAGGCAGCAGGCTGGAGTCGTGAGTCAACAAACAATGGCTAAGTAAGTAGTCAATTCAACATCACGCGGAAGATCAACATGTTCAGGCTAATTCATCTGGACCAGCTTGAATCAGAAATATCCGGAGCTTGCTGGGCCAGATTCTACAGTTGATCTTGATCAGGAATAAAAAATCAATAGAACAAGTTCAAGTTGGAATGGACCGATATTAAAGAGGAGTAGGCAAGTAGTTGTTACCCTGCAGCGATGTGCGCGGTCGGAGACGGTCGAGTCGACATCGTTTTTCTCAGCAGTTTACTTAGTTGACCGTAGCTGTCCGTGGGATCAAAAACTTCTTCGTTACCAAGAACAAAGTCGTCCTCTGGCGCTCGTGGTAGAGTGGCTAGATCTGGGCTTGGGCTTTGTGCTAGAAAGGGACTCTGTTGTTCCCGTTTTTTAGCTGTGGTGGCACCCGGAGAAGGCGTGGCAATAAATGTTTTCCCAGTATCTTGACCATCGTGCAGCAGCGCACGCAAATGCGGTGGAATCTTAACGGTCTCAGCTTCAAAATTATGGTGATGGTCGAATACTTTATGCTCCTGATCCTCGTTGTCGTAATCAACATCTTCGTTAAAGCTTCCGTCTCGTCCTGCGTCGCCTTCTAGTTCGGAATCTTGTGCAGAGCCTTGTTCGCAGTGTGACTGTTTCTTAATGTCATCAAGAGCCCCAGCTCCTTCATGGTGGTCAACAGTGTGATAGTGTTCGTCAAAGTTGTAGCTGTTACTCATCTCTTGAGAGTAGCGTGTATTGACGAGGCGCTCGCCTGAAGCACTTTCTAGTGAGTTGCGATAGATCTGAAATCCCTCGCACGCTTTGAGATCGCTATCGGGACTCGCCTTATCAAAAGGTTGCGTCGGGGATCTACTCGAGCCGCTGTCGGAAGAAGCAGATGACGACGAAGATGACGAACTTCTAGGGGAGCTGCTACACGTTTGTTTTCGTATGCCACTCGCCGTAGTGTGGCGCTGCTCATCCTTTCTTGTGTCACACGCAGCGACCACCTCATTCATGACTATCGTGCCCCGACTTGGAGATCGGATGATCTCGGTCGGAGGACTACTTGAAACGGTTGCACTATCCAAAATCTCAGAAGCTGCTGCATTTGCTAAGACTAGATTTTCAGTTGGGTCATCGTAGTGCAGCTTACTGCGGTCTATCGGGATTCCTGTTACCTGCTCATCGTTGCTAATGCGTGTGGGGACGATGACGGTTCCTACTTTCACTGAGGGATCCGAAGTTGCGACAATTTCAACTGATGTTTGAGAAGCGCCAAGCTGCCTCTTGCGCCGTTGTCGCTTGTACAACGTCGTTGACGATTGGGATTGCGCTGATCGTCGTACTGGTATTATAGCATCGGAAATAGACGAGGACTGAGAATCTACTATTTCGCGAACATCCACCGGCTGTGCCTGTGACGTAGACGTTGGCTCCTTGCTAGAAGAGGTAAGCCCTGTTCTGTCATTGACACCCACTCTCCTGCACGCGCAGTCTTGATTTTGCCTAGTAGATTCCACTGAATTTTCTCTAAGCGCGGCAGGTGTGGTACTACCACTTGTTGTACCCTTAGTATTTCGTCGATCAATACCATGATGAGTACTAGAACTCGATAATTTCTTTTTCGTTTTACTGCGTTTTGCCGAAGTATTCGAGCTACTCCGAAGTCTTCTGTCTTCCACTTCTGAGACGGGATCCAAACCTTGTGCATTTGAAAATCCAGAGCGACCTGGTTCCGCATTGGAGGCCGCGTGCGCTACGACGACTGTGGAGTTACTCTCCGCATGGCGAGCGGGCCTGTCACGTTTGAACACGACGGTGCTTGATGATTGGGATTGGGTCGTTGCTGTACTAGAAGACATCGGTGTAACACTATTCGTCATATTTATCTCAGCGGTTAATTCGATAAGCTTTTGTTGTTCCGCATCCAAAACAGGAGAAGCACTGCGTCCAGTATCGAAGAGATACGCACAAGAACTTCTACTCTTCTCAGTCTCAAACTGCTGACCAGTTGCTGAAGCTTTGGCAGCGTTAAATAAGTTTCCCCCTGCTGTTGCTACATCATTGGCTTTGCTAATAATGGGCTGTGACATTGCTGCTGATGGAAGCTTGGGCCAGTTCGACGCCGTAGCCTTGAGCCCTGAGTGAAAGTGCTCACTGGATGGCGGCGTCGAATTGCAGCGCGGCTCCCCTGCGACTGCGACTGGCTTGCTTCTAATACCCAGGTTAACGTTGCCACCGTTACTCGCACCAACATGCGTCGCAGATTTTGTTGTAGTAAATACAGACGATGACGAGCTCGAGCTGGCTTGATCGCCTGAAGTAGATTGTGTTGAGCGGTGGTCGACGCAAGCACCTTTGGTGGATCCAGCTAAATTTCCAACTGCACTGAACGACGTATTCCCTGTAGTTCCTGCTGGCACAGCACTGGAAGAAGACGACAATGATCGAGTATTTGGTTGGCCCGTTTGTGGTTGCAATGCTGAGGTCGAAACGTTCAGTGAGTTATTCGACGAGGCGAGTGATGTCACGGCAGTGACGCGGACACCTGGGGGAACCACAGGCTTCATGCTCTCCAGGCTCCGTTGGTTACCACTGCTGCTTGTGCGTGACGACAAACTTGGGAGCATGGCAGATGCTCCTAGATCCGAAGGATCTTCGGTTGCTTCATCGAGAATGTCGACGCCGAATAAGTGCGACGCACCAGCAGCAGCACCGGGAACAGCTCTCCCAGAAGATAGGGGATCAAATGCCTGCGATGGTAAAGGCTGATGCGATGCTGAGCTGCCTCCCGAAGAGACATATTGATTGCTTAGGTAGTTGTAGCCTTGCAGCAGCGAGTTGTTGTTACCAAGACCTGTATTGCCAGCATTTCCATCTCCGCAATGCGCAGATGATCCCGGCAAAAATTGGGGATAATTCTGACCAGTACTGACTGAAAAAGAGGATCCGCCGCCAGGCAGTGGGTAATTATTATTCTGCCACGGATCAGTCGAAATGGGGTTCGTGAACAGCTGACCAGGCCGAGCCCGCAAGTGCTCAGGAGGCCCGCCACCACTGCTGTTTGACTGCGACGAGGAACGGAAAATTGAGGTCGAAGAAGAGGCGGCGGAATTCCCGGTCACAACGTTGTTGCTGCTCCCATCGGATCCAAACCCTGCAGAACAAGCGCTGCTCGAGCTCTCGCCGTGCCTCATAATAGAGGGCCCGCCTCTACCAGATAAAAGCGTAGTAGAAGTCGAAGAATCACTAGTACCCATATTAAATTCTCCATGTCCATTGTTGAATGTCGAACCAGATGATGAGCCAAACATGGTCAACATTGGTCCGGCACCTACGCCACCAAGATGGGTGGATGGCGTGGCAGTTCCAGCGCTGGCGGCACCGATAGTTGCCGTTGTCGTCGTGCCTCCGCCGGCCGATGTTGAGTACATGTAGTTGTAGTGATGACTGCTCAACACGTTATTCAGATTCACAGGCCCTCCGGTGTCTTCCTTCGCATTGTAAGAGTAACGCATCAGTTCAATACTGTTCCGCGGGTTATTGGCACGCGTGTGCGTGTTCAGTGGATCCAAATGAATCATGTCATTTCGATCGAGCGCAGCATGATACCTACTTTTTTTTGGCGTTGGACTCGTAATGGCTGCTTCATCTTCCTCCGTCGGTGCAGAGAAAGTGCCACCACGTGGACCTCCTCCAGATAATTGTCCAGAACAACTGCTGCCTGTCGTTGTAGCTTCTACATTTAGGGTCGCCGGTGCTGATGTTCCTGGGTCGCTCGGAAACGATGGTCCGACTGATGCTATTGCAATGCCGGGCTGGGAACCGAGTTGACTTGGATTGCCTGACTTAACGCTCGTTGTGCCTGACTTATTGCTGCGTGATGTTGTACTTGTGCTGGTAATGCTGGGTGAGGATCCATCGCCTCCACCAGAACCAACCGTGACTTTTGAACCCGCCTGATTCTGCGATAGATGAATTCCACCTCCAGGGATCGAGTATCTCATGTTGTCTTCATGCCTCCCGCCTCCACCCTCCATAATTGGGTCGTTATCAAAGTTTTGCAACTGCGACGCTGAGCAGGGCGTCGATCCGAACATCTGACTTGCATTGAGGTTCTGTATGTCAAACGGCGGCGCCCCGGGAGCTGAAGCAGTAGACCAATGTTGCACGTGGCTTGTCGTTGTGGAGCTGGAATGAGCGGGGTCTCCCAAGGAAGATAATCCTCCTGCCACTCCTGTGAACATACTACCCGATGTACCGGCTGAGTGACTTGGTCCAGTTGCGCTTGCGTAGTTATTGCTTTCACCTGCTGAAGTAGATGAAGATGCTGCGGCAGCAGTACCTCCAGCAATCTGTTGCTGTTGGCCGAGCTGCGATGTTAGATCAGGAAAACTGTACTTCATGCTGGTTGCAGTCGCATGGGGTGGTCCGAGTGCCTCCAACGTGATGTTCGAAGAGGCCCTACGCTTCGGTGGGCTCATCAACTGAAGTGGCTGCTCATCCGTGATTGCAGAAGATGATGACATGGTGGGCATAGGTCCTCCTCCCGCTCCACTTGCTCCTGTGGTTGTTGAGAGACTGTTGCCAGCTGCACCCTTCAGGGGTAAGAAACCACGAGACACACTGGACAAGCTTTTCGTCGTATTTTGCTTCGAAAAAGCGGAATCGTTCAGCGGAAAACGAGGCGTGCCGCCGGCAGCGCCCGCTCCCGAAGATGCTCGACCCATTGAGCTTCCAGGAGCGGCTGAACCCAAAACCTGATCTGAATTCGCCGCATTCGTTGCGGCGCCTATAACGCCCAAGCCGTTGCTTAAGAAAGTAGAAGCGCCAGCACTGGAAAAGGGTCCACTAGTACTACTTGCAACCGTACCTCCTGCTGGTAGCCCACTGGTACCTGGCGCTACTCCACCACCACCCGCGCCGCTTCCGGCTGCAACGCTCGTCGCATGCTCGCGACGACGGTTCAATCGAGCTGCCAGCAAGAAGTTATCTGTGTCACTAAGTCGTGCCTCCGCGATAGCACTTGCAATGCCCGGGCGCTCCAAGGAGATTCCCATCCCTGTACCTGCGCCACTACTTGGCCCCCCGTGTGCTCCAGTCGAGGGACCGCCTCCAGCGCCGCGTGTCGGGACGTCATCTTCTTGAATTATGCTGCCTTCGAGGCTGTTCGGGCCGCTGTGCTGTCCTCCCAAGGCAGCAGTACCAGGCACTCCACCAAGAGTTACAAACCCGGAACCGCACCCGCCGCCTTGGTGGCCTGCCAAAGGCGGAATGTTGAGGACGTGGCTATGTTGTGGCGTGCCCGTAGGCGTCGACACGTACGCCGACGCAGAATAACGCAAATGCTGTGCTGCTGAGCCTGCGACTGTTGCTCCTGGGGTCCGCTGCTCGTTGAGGTTCAGCCGCTCAACGCTGAAATCTGGATCCACGACCGCTGCGCCAATGCGCTCAATGGAAGAGGAGCGCCGTGACTGATGGTCTCCTGCGGGCGGATAGCGCTGGTGCGCCCAGGATGTCGCAGACCCAGCAAGCGAGATCGGTGAGACTGCCGGGAGTTCGTGTGGGTGTCCTAGACCTGCTGTTGACGAAGCAGTAACGCCGCCAACGAGCGCGTGCGTGACCGCAGCTGCAGATGCAGCATTACTGGTTCCGCTATTCAACAACACAGCGGCAGCAGCTTCCACTGCGGGACCCCCGCTCGTGGGCGCCAGTGTGGACCCGCCGATGCCTCCCAGGTAAGGGTTATTCGAAGTCGCGCTCGTTGCCGCGGACGGAAATTAGTGCTGGAAGAGAAGATCTTCCTCAGCCAGGAAGACAAAAAAAAATGAATTTTCTGTTTGATCCTTTAGCTTTACGCACGATGCTTGGCTTCCTTATCAAGCAAGTCGAATTTCTCTTCCTGGATTCTCCGTTCTTGAGTGCGAAGTACCCTCACTACACGCTCTTTCTCGTTCTCCTTCACCTTGCACCACGTCTAATATTTCAACCGATTTCAAAGTACATATTAAGACAGTGAGTTACCCAACAGCTACGTAGAAAATGAAATGCGCTATGCAGAACCAGAGCCAGAAGTAGAAGTTGCATTGGAGTCATAAGAAGAAAGCCTGCTGCTCAGGTCTGCACTGCTGTCACGCGTTGTGGCCGCAAGCGGTTCTAGCCTACGTCCATGCAAGTTTACGAATTCTGAACGAGCAGTAGGTATTCGGAGGCCGGAGCTCTTTGTGGCACGCCCAGTTACCTGTCCCGTGATCGTTCGATTAGGGTTGTTTTGATGATGCAACAAGCCCTGATGTCGTGATCCGGTCGATCCGGACCTTGAACGCACCGTTTCTTCCACCCAGGCGTTTAGAACATGACCCTCCTCGTCGGTCGCGCGTCGGCTACGGCTCTTACTCGAATCGTCCTACATAGATAATTTCGGGAGTAGTAAAGATGAGATCTGAATAAACTTATTGGGGGTGGAATCGCTGTGGAACATTGACTTAAATTTTGATGGAAACCAAGGCCAAAAGAAGCCGCGAAGTACAATCAAGTGATGGACAAATCAAAAGTACCCTCGCAGCTTTGCTGCTCGGTTTTTTCTTCGCCCGTCTCGAGTCTCCTGGCATTTTGTTCGTCTCCGGACCCGCAGATTCGTGTCTGACAACCATTTCATCGTAATTGATCTCCGCCTCCGTTTCTTTCCCCTCACGCTTGGCTCTAGGCAAAGTTGCGGGGGTGTTTGTCGCTCGGCCACCGCCACCCGAGCGATCTGCGGGTACGCTAGCTCCATTTAGGTGAAGAAGGTTTGGAGGCGGATCTAATTCGATGACCTCGTGGTCGTTGAGGTTATGACTCCCACCTGAAGCACCTTGGTGAACGCTTCCACTGCCGCCAGAAAGTGGAGATATCAAATTTATCGGAACTGCTGCTGGTCCTCCTGAAGTTGTATTCGTGTTGCTAGCTATGAAAGCGCCAGCGCCAGCTATTTGGTTGACTCCTCCCGCAACAAGGGTTGAGTTTGCTGACCCACCTCCACTGCCACTGTTCATCTGGAATCCCACAACATCTGCCCGGCTAGTCGTGCCGTTGTTGTTCGACAGCAACAACGCCCCCACTGAAGAGGCAGCCGAGGTAGTGCTTGTGTTGAGCAGCGTACTACTGTTCAAAAAGTTAAGCGTGTCATGCACATCCGAATTCGGTGCGGACGAAGCTATGAGGGAAGCAGGACCCACGCCGCCAGTCACCAGGACATTGGAGTAGCTCACAGTGCCAGCTGGAAAGTCGAGGGCCTTAGGTATCGGGTCGCCAACCTTTCGAATAGTAAAAATTTTCCGCAGTTTCACCTCCTGCGAGATGGATATTAGGTCGAGGCTTTTGTATTGCAAGCCTTAGAGCAAGCTATTCACCGCCATGATCATAATACCAAAATGACTAACAAAAAACTTAGAATTCTCTCACAATCGATAATTCTACCTCAAAGAAATTTGAATTTGTTGACGACCCTCGGGCAACGGGCTACTTGCACAATCGTCTTCTTACTGTTAATTTGAATCGCTTATCAACATAAACTGAAGGCCCCCAGGCATTGCGTAAGATGCTAGGCAGATCCAGGCAAAGATTGACCCACTGACCACGTGGGACTTTCCCTTGACACCCATGTACCGGGAAGCGCGCATGCAAGGGATTGATCGATCTCTCCTTGACGGCATGAGAGAATGCGACTCTCCGTCGAGTTTTTCCGGTATCCGTGACTCCTAGTTCTAACGTAAACGTGCGGTCTTTCTGAATATCCTGAGAGGTTGAGATGATAGAGGGGATGCACATAATCCTCCTCCATGCTACTAAGTAGTTGGTGTCTCATCCTTATGGGTATGATAAGATGAACATATTTATATTTATATGTAAGAAAATAAAGGTTCTTCCTGTTCCTCGAGAAGACCATGCGCATGCACGGAAGTATCAAATCACAGTAGTACTAGTAGAGAGGTCCACCCTCAAAACTATTACCATTATGGGCGCGGCCAACGGCGGGGCCGCCACATCATACCCATACCTACGTCAAGTACAAGTAGTCGAGGAAAGAGTACCTCACACAAAAGAAGCTGGAAGCAGACACAGGGTTGAACGAGTTGTAGGCTGCGGTTGGCATCCTTCGGTAGTTGTAGGCTCGCCCCTGATCCCGCACTTGAACTTGACCCAGAACTGTGGAAAATGTAACCGCGGATGCTTTTTTCGTAGACACGTTGGACCGTTGCAGCCACCTTCCACGAAGCGGTCGGGTTGCTGCCTTGTGTCGTCAACACTTCGAAAGACGGACCGCCTTGATACGCTTTGTCGAACATTTTGTGGTCTTTCTTTTGTAGTAAAGTTATGATGATCGACGATGCCGCACTTGGTATAATTACGTCAAATATTACAATTGCATGCCGAGGTAAAGGCGGACGCGGTGTTTGCAAAGACAGATAGTTAGCACCGAACGGCCTTTTCGCTCCTATACGAACAAACCTCTTCTCTATATTTCAAAAACTCGAACGTCGTGCATGAGTACCAAGAAGCACCTAGATGGTCACTGGTTGACGACTTCTAATTAATATGTCAGTCACTTCCACTTGTCAATGTCATGTGTGCGTTCCTGGTGCCATCATTCAGTCACTGCGCCACCATTTCATATTCACACTACTCCAGACCAGATATGAATGTGCCGGACATTCCTTTCTTTTCATGGGGTCCGTTTCCGGTCAGTCGCGACAGATAGATACTAGTTTTGTCCGGTCAGCGATCGCTCATACGCAGCCGCTCCTTGCGCGTGGTCGTTTTTTCACACCTCTACTAAGAGATTTCTGGCATGCGACAGGCAGGTGTCATGGCTCCAGAAATCTGGGCTCGGAAGACATCATTGCGTTTCACAGAAGAGCAGAAAAAATAAGACAAATTGGGATACCACAGACATACCACTACGGAGACATACCACTCCTTGTACTTCTCTTGTAGCGCGATACCCAGATGCGATGAGCACACCTTTTCTTTTCAGTCATCTGAGTTTCCCGCCTTCTCGTAGCATGATCTCGGACGGCAGTGTAGCGGAAGAATGATAAGACATCCGTTGTAGTGAGGACGGGGAGGCAACACTAAACAGGTTGACCTCGGGAATGAGGAAAACCTCAGCCAAAAATATTTGGAAAAGTGACACTGAGACTGCCACGTCACTCACGAGAAAAGTAACTTCTTGTTCTTCGCTTTGTGCTTGCATAAAACACATTGACATTAGATAGCATGATGAAAAAAAGATACAAAATGACTAGTAACGAACTGCTTCCACCAACCTGGATGATGCCGGATGTCTTATTGTTTATCGTGAATCACAATCCACTGATAGCAACATTTTATGAAATGTAGCTGACTTCCACTTCTGTACTAGAAGTTACTTCCGTACTTCTTGCTTGTTGAGCTTGAGCGCGACTTTTCACAGGTAGAAAAAAAACTGTAGATAGCCGTTCTGTCTCTAGGTTTTCATCGTCCGTGCATCTTGTTCTATTGCACAAGTGTAGCAGATTCGAAGCGAATCTATGCGGTTCTTGAAGTTGATACTTGGATTCTCGAAAGGATTCTTTCTTTAATTTGAGCAGGCAAAACATCCATGTTGTTTGACTACGTTTTTTCGTGTACTTTATTATAGAGGGACTCTTATTGTAGTCTATTTTGAATCAGAATCTGCATGACGACCACTAAAGAATGCTCACATTCTTCTTGGAAGCTCCTCGCGCTATATCAAAATGTTGATGCGCGATGAGTGGGGAGTGGCGGGCTACGGACAAGGGGAGACATCGCTATTTTAGTTTTGGTTACATGCATGACCTAGAAGCGAACTAGTACATTTCATGGTTGTAAAACGAAGCCTCTCTTCATCAGGTCATGCTGGTACTATAAATACAACCTATACACTCACACGAACTCGATGGCTATAATTGGATTTGAAAGTCCACATTAATGTTACACTCCATTTACTTTTACGGAAGCATTATTGTCGTAGATTCATTAACGCATGATAAATTTTGTTACAACAAACATTTATCATGCAAAAAAATACACTCATGCACGAGCACTACGGTGGAGCAATGGCATGGCATCCTCATACAAGCAGTTGCTGACGCAGACAGTGATTTCCTGCACTGAATTGGTCACAACATGCAAGAAGCAGTAGGTGCGTCAGTGGAAAACAGACTAAATCTACTAGGGTTCGTATTCTTATTGTCTGGTAACAAGTATGAATCTCAATCTCATCTTCAACAACACTATCACAGTTACAACGAGGACAACGAGGAGAGTTAGCTTTCAGTCGGGCGGAATTCTTTTATTTGCAGCCGCAGGCGCACCAAAGAAGCATGACCATGACCATGAGAGGGCTTCTGGTGATTCAGATTCCCGCACTGGAAATACATCATCACAACAATGGTCGCCCTTAGCAGCTTTCGGAAAAACAAAGTAGTCCATTCTTTTCTTGACAGCCTATATTACGTGTAAAAATCAAAACTTAAACTTCCAATTTTTAATTTAGACGAATAGTTCACTGTGTGAGCGTGCATCTATATATATAATATATTTCTATGCAAATTTTTATACGATCTTGTTACAGCAAGAAGCATACTTCAACTGTGCAGATGTTTTTAAATCAAAAATGGCGACTCAACTGAATGTGTATTTTCCACCCTGCTCAAGTTAGAACCTATCATTTTCACTTGTACCTGTACTTCTTCTTTGAGTTTGAGGCAGCCAAAAACAAAACATTTCTCCACATGGAATCGAGATTCCACTGAAGTACAACATCAAAATCAACGAGGACGCGTAACCTTCTTAGCACAGAGCGCCCGGGTCAATTCCGCACCATCTGCCGAGAGCGTCTTTAAGCGCGGAGAGCGGATCTGTTGGAGCACGCCATACTGACACAGCTGTGACGCGCACTCTGCCCATCGTTGTTACAGGCAGCGACTGTCCTTCCAGCAAGATGGCGCCCGAAGAAGCAATGGAGAGTGCTGCGGCACGCCTTTGAACGCGACGCTCAATCTCGTTCCTATCTAGCTCACCTGCACTATTGCTGCACTCGTCTTTCCAGCTGAAGACCTGAAGACCATCGCGTCTGTAGAACGCCTTACGGTGACCCGTGGTCTGTGCCACGACACGCATTGTCAATTTCGTGCTCTTCGCAGCTGGGCCCTCTTGTTCTTCTGATGTTGCTGTTCTTTCCGATAGAACGCGAAGCTGCCCACGTTTACTGAAGCATCGAGCCGTTTGGTCGCCACTGTCACCTACGATGTCTTCACTGACTGTTTCTTGTTGATCTTTGGTGTTGTCGTGGTATAATCTACAGCTACTTGTCTCCGTCTCGTCGCTGTTGGTGTCGGAAGGCGTTGCCGCTGAATCTAGGTCAAAGGCGATGCAAGTTGACTCCGCATCGCAAGCACTTGCGCAGGCTGAAATACGATCTTTAGATGATTTAGCTTGTACAGGGGTTGGTGCTGTCTGGAAAAGCCGACTCCGTCTCCCGTTGGTCAGTGTGCAGCGGCCTGTAGAATGCCGATAGAGCACGTTAACTTCTGCGTCTGCGCTTTGAGAAATACTCTGAAATGCTGACCCCATCCTGCTCTGGTGTTGATGATTGTTATGCTGTACCTTTATTCTCGTGCAACCCGTGAGCTCGAGTCCGAGATGTTGAGGCGCTGGCACAGCTTTGCATGTGCGCCAGCTGGAGCCATCACAATGCATGTCGTGAACGAGGCCGCACTCCGCGCCCCGTGCATCGCATGAGCGCACTGCTTCGGCTAATGAGGCAGACGGCGTTCCGAAACACTCCAGAGAATCGGCATTGTTTCCTATTCGCGGTCCACTGATGTACTGGTTCGCATCAAGAGCGGACATGATCTCCGCAGAGGGAGACGGCGCTCCTGCAAGAGGAGGACTGGTTACGAAGTTTTCGGGAGCCAAGCAGCTTCTCGTAGCCGCCAGTAATGCTGTTGCAAGTTGCTTGGCATTTTCTTCACTCCATTCTTCTGCGTCATCTTCTGAGCTCAGAGCGAGATGAAAAACACGACTCTCTAAAGTTGTGATTGGCGATGTTGGCGGAGGTTGAATACTAGAAGATGTTGGCGGAGGTTGAATACTAGAAGCACTAGAAGAATCTCCTCGCATAGCGGTTGCGCCGGCTAAAGAAGCAGACTTTGTCATCCATTCCATGAGTTTCTTAAGGTCGTCTTGCTGAAGCAACGTCGTGGTCCTCGAACCGCCTTGGTGGTGTCTGCTGTGTTTATCGCCTAATGCTGGTGTAGCGTCGTCAATAACACACTCACGACCAAGGCGATTTTCGGGAAGTGGCTGACAGTGTACCTGCTCCTCAGTTGACGAGAGCTGCGGACATGCATCTCTCTCTACGTCCACCTGGTGTCCGCTTTGCGGATCTACATCGCTGAGGTGTTCTTGACTACACGGATCCAGTTTGCACGTTTGACTCGTACTATCGAAAGTGAAGAAGGCGAAGCAGCGCTCACACCGGTGTTCACCCGTGTATGCGCACCAATGTGCTGCGGCTGGGACGCCGGCTGCCATGCCTTTGTCGCTACATTCGCATGGCCCGGTCCCGCATGACTCTGGCACACGAGAGTCCTCATACACCGAGCCCGCTCCTGGCAGACACAAACGACCACTTGATGTGTCCGTTTGCCACGTTTCACCGCGGCAGATGCAGTGATTGGCAACGCACCTCCCAGCACCACGAGAGATCTTCGAATCCGGCCCGCCTTCAGCAGTGTCAAGTACTAGAGATGCACCAGCTTCGTAGTTCGCTGCAGGTTCAGAATTCTTGGAGTTGGAAGATGAAGTCGCTGATGCTTTGCGGTACGACTCTGAATCGTCAAGAACGCTGTAATGGTATCCCTCAACGCAGAACTGATCTCGAGTGAGATAGTCATGGCCACGTCTGCACAGGTGAGTTGCGTGTTCTGGGCAAACGAAGTCGTCATCAGTTTGCCACTCTGTGGCTGGCGCACCATGAGGACATAAACACACATTTGGACGGCAGTAGGTTTGCTCTTCCGACAACGAGCTAGAGGGGCCGCTGGATAAAGATGAACGATCGTCCCAGTAATATCCGGGTGGACATCCAGCCCTTTGCGCAACAGTTGCAAGAACATCTCCGGCACCCTGCGCTTCTGTCGAAGCCAGAGTCTGCAGAAAGCTGAGGGCCGCAGACGCGGTCTCCTCGTCCAGTCCCGCAAGAAGATAGTTGTCTGACTCCTCATACACTGCGTCGTCCCCTGCACCGTCATCGTCAGCTGCTAGGCCATTGAGGTCCTTTACGGTATTCCTGTAGTCTTCTGCACTATCTGAACTGTAACCGCCGACTTGCAAAAAGCTGTCGTGGTCCAGAACCGGGGATGATGGTGGCGCACCTCTTCTTTCTGCCTTTGACAATGGCGATTGGACCTCGTAGTTCGAAGTGGACAATCTGGTTGCGGCTGCTTTTGTTCCTTGGAGTAGCATGAGGGCATTGGTGGACGCGCCAATCGGTGTCTTGGCTTTGCCGCCACCGCCGACAAGCGTATTGTCGTTCTCCATACGCTCAAAGGGACAGCGACGCGTGTACCAGTCGTACCTGAAACCGTCTTTGCAGTCGTTTTTTTTGCAGATGTTGAGCTTGTCCTCAGGACAGGTTTCTCCGTTCTTCTCAGTGCTCCAGGACGGCGTAAAACCGTTCTTGCACTCACACGTGTTGGGGACACACTGCTCCGCGTCTGAGGATGCGCCGTCTCCTGAAACAGCTGCCAGCTTGTAGCCGCGGTTGCAGTAGACGCAGCTGACGCCGCCGCTGTCCGAACACTCCGTGCCGACTCGCCCGTTCGGACAGCGACACTGCTTGGGCTCACAGGTCTTCGTGTTGCCCATGAAAAGGTGTGTGTCCACGCAGCGGGTGCAAATATGCGCTCCGTGCGTCTCGCAGTCGGTGCCGGTGGCGGCGAATCCACCAGAGCAAATGCATTCGTTGCGCACACAGACTCCATCCGCAACGTGCTTGCCAGCAGAGCAGCTAACGCACCTTTCGGTGTTGGCCTCGCCGCAGGCGGTTCCGCTTGCTGGTCGGCCCCCGTGGTCACTGCAGGTGCATAAACGCAGTTCGCAGACATTCTTCCCGAGATTGAAATCGTACCCGGCCATACAAAAGCCTTCCGCCTCCTGCGCGTTCGCCGGCCTGGGGCAGCTCTGTTCGAGAACACCCGGACAAACGCCGTTCTCTGCGCTGGTGCCCCACTGCTGCAACTGCGGACTTCCGTTTGCGCAGGCACAACGTTGCGGGACACACTCGCCGAACGTAGTGCTACCAGATTTTCGCCTAAAGTAATAGCCCTCACGGCAGATTTCCTTTTCAGGCACACTGGGATCCTTGAAGCACAGGTTTTGCGCCGCCTCGTCGCAGATTTTGACACTATCTTCGCGAAAAACAACGTCCTCCACAATGTCATTCAAGACGTCAGGTGGCAACAGACCCGCAGCGGCAGTGTCGTTCGGAAATCGTGTCATATTCAGCTGAGTGGACCACTTCACTGGTGTCGGGTCGTCTGTCAGGCCCTTACCGTTCTGACATGAACAAGTTCGTGGTTCGCAGCGTTTGGTCCTCTCGGAATATGTGAATCCACGTCGGCACTGGCTGCAACGGACGTAGGGCGTCGCGGGTGTGCAGCCACTCTCTCCGATCAGCGCCGTTGAAACCCTGCACCTCTCGTGGTCGTGGCGACACAGTGCGCAACTGCGGCTCGTTTCAGACTCCGTAGCGTTCGAATTCGTTTCGGATCCAAAAGTCACGAGGTAAGAACCCACGCGGCAGCTGGCAGTGATCGGCTTCGCCCGGATTACGACAGGCAGCGGAATACAAGCTCGGCGTATGCGTGGTGCGATTTCTGCGCCATATGTTTCGTTCATCGCAGCGTTAAAGATCATGGCAAAGCTACTGAGCGCACTGGGAATCTGCGGAGTCTCGCCTAGATCGCGCGAAGGCGACACAGCTGGCTGTGTAGTCGTCCCCGTGCCATCGTCAGTTGCAGGCGATGCGGAACCCCCAAGAGCATCTGAAACTTCCCCGACAGCAAAAGACTCAAAGGTTTCCGAGATGAAATCTTCTGTTGCGTAACCCGGATAGGGAGCGGCTTCTACATCAAACGTTACATCCGCAGTCCAGTCGCGGTATCCGATCGGCAAAGGGTCAGCAGAGCACGTCGGCGCCTCGTCTGTGTCAGATACAGCGAACGAAGAGACAACCAGCTTCTTCAAAGTTACCATTTCTGAGGTTGCAAGAGAAAACATCCGCTGTATGGCCACGGAAAACCCAGTTTTAAACTGCCCATCCATAGTTCCCTCCTCTAAAGGGACGGTGCGCTCTGTTTAAAGAGTGAGTGGATGTTTTTAGAAAAATGACGTGGTACAATCACAAAAACAATGCTCATGCTGATGTAACCTCCGTTCGTTTGTTTGACCACTATCGATTCTTTATTTCAAAGCGAGTAGTACTAGTACGAGAGACTCCACTTGCAGCCGCGCCAATGTCGAAGACGCTGAAGGAGTTCAAGTTCGGTGCACGAAATGCACGATCACTCGTGTTTCGCGCGGTCGCTTGCACTCTCGCACCAACCATGATGTCAGCACTCTCAAAGTCACAATCTGGAACCGAGCTTTCGATCACCTGCTTAATGCTAGGCGCCAGTGCGTCCCCAAAGGCAACGGAGTATGTGTTTCCGCTACCCGCTTCCAGTGACAGCGCGACGTATCGCTTGCCCTTCAGACTGTCCCCGAAGCAGCCGTTGCGTACCAATTCGGCTAGTTTCTGCAACTCAAACGGCTCGGGCCCTGGGTCCTCACACTTGCCAGCGCGGTAGCCGCCGGGCTCGGGGTTTTGAAAGCCTTCGGGGAGTGGTCGGCTAGACGGCACACCAAGGCAAACGATTGGGCGGTATTTTCCGTCAGCCTCTGCAACGCTCACAACGCCCGACTGTCGCAGCGTTTGCACTAAGCCGAGCGCGGGCATAGCCATAGGCACACGCATCTGCACGGACACCGTAACCTTAGGAGGCACAGCAATGCCGAGCGAAACTAGTTGACCTGGAGTGGTGTATTGGGAGTTCTTTTGCTTGTCCGCCAGAGACCCCGCGGCTGGAGGTGTGGTACTCGAGGTCGAAGTAGTGTCCGGAGGACAAGCATTTCCGGCTGTTTCGTTAGAACAGTCCGTTCGTAGCGCTGCCACTGCGAGATCTGTGATGTTAATCACTGCCTTGCATTTTTCCGCGAGGCCTAAATCAGACATGAACATGGCGCCGTAATTGATGTTCAGCATCTTCTTGCGCGCCACCTCTGCGTTAACAGCCGACGCAAAACGTACTGTGAATCTTGTATTGAACTTGCCTATCGACTCGCCCAGAGTCGCGAATTGCCTAGTCTGGGAAAGTTCCACGGTTGCCTGGTGGAGATGGTTTGATTGAACAATGGAGGAAAAGATTCCTTTTCCTCGTGTCAGAAGATCAATTTGACAGCACACGGATAAGGGATCCCTTACCCGATGGGCGTAACGACACTCACACCGAAAGAGGAGAATGAGGGTTCCTAATAAAGGCTTATTTGTCTTTCGTATCATCATAAATTTAACATCAACACAAAATTTAAATTCACATCCAAAAGAAATTACGTTGATATTCACAATTCCTGCTCGATCGGTTCCACCGAGCTGCTGTGTGAGGAAGTCAGTGGCCATGGTGCTTGTCGGTGCAGGCAGATTATCGCTCTGCGGCCTGCTGCTCCGCACTGTCGCCAGAAGGTCAAATGCGGCACTGAAATCAACCGCAGTATCCGAAGCTCCCTTTAGTCTTTCTTTTGGCGCTGCACATTCAGTCATTCCGACTCCAAAAGCATACGTTGCCTCTGGGCATTTTTCACACCGAAAAAGGCCTTCACTAGCTGCGAAAAATCCAGGCGCACATAAATCACAACTGCCGTCAGAACCAGCAGAGCCTGCTGGGCATGGCGTGCACTGTGTTCTATTCGCGTCGGACTCGTATCCTGGTTCGCACTTTTCGCAGACGTTAGCGTTGGGGCTGATGTATCCTTCTTCGCACTTGACGCAGTAGATGCGCTCACTATCAGGCACCGTGCCGGGAGCGCAGCTCCGGCAGCTTGCTGATCCTTCTTCAGACGCAACCATGTCTCCCGTGCATGGCTGGCACATACCACCAACACCAGCAAATCCCAACGGACACTTGGCACACCTGCCACGGTCCTGTGGATGGACACCTTCCCCGGGGCCGCACTGCGTACAGTTTCCGCCCGCACCAGCGAAACCGAACGGACAACGCACACACATGTCTTGTGCCGCATTCGGCTTAGTGCCATCGGGACATTGAACGCAATTCATGAGTCCTGCCTTACCGGCAACCGTCGTTGCTGGACAGGCTTCGCAGCTTCCTCCATAGCCTGCGGATCCAGCGGCACAAGCGACGCACGCTGAACTATCGGCGTTCGGGGCGTAGCCGTGCTCGCAGCGGCGGCAGTGACCATCTGCGCCCGCGTGGCCCGTAATGCAAGGCACACATGATTTCCGGTCTGGACTAGGTTTCGTCCCGCTTGGGCATGCCGCGCAAGCGCCTTTCGTCCCCGCCGCGTTCATAGGACACGGCTTGCAAAATGTTTTAGTAGCAGACGGTTCAAACCCATCGTCGCACTGCAGACACTCGCCGCCTCTGCCTGCGGTACCGATGCCACATGCCATGCACACGTTTTTCTCGTCAGTTGCCGTTCGGCCGTCTGGACAAAGAAAGCAAGCACCGTTCTTGCCGGCAAAGTTCTTCGGACAGGGTTCGCACGCGGTTCGATCCTTGTTCGGACGCTTGCCATCACCGCATGCCACGCAAAATCCACTACCCGCTGGACTGACCTTGCTCTCCGGACACGGCACACACGACGCCGTTTCTCCGTCAACCTCTCTGCCAGCAGGGCATTTATCGCACTTGCCTAAAGCACAAGTCATATTGACCCCGGGCAAGGCCAGTGCCGTTCGATTGTCGTTGATGCTGGCGCCTGAAGGGATCAAGGCACAAGTTCCATTCTTGCCGTAGGTGAAGTCTTTGCAAGCAAGGCATGCGCTGCGTTCGAGATTAGGCGATGTTCCTGCAGGGCAGGTGCGGCACATCTGCGACCCCTTCGGCGCGATCTGACCAACGCCGAAGCATGGGCTGCACGCACCTGGTCGTAGTTTCGACATCTTGATCGTTGACGTATTTGAGGATGAGGCTTCATTTTTTTTCTTGTGAATAGTAGATCAAAAATTCGTTCAAAGTTACAGTGCGTCAACAATTTGAATGCAAGAATCTTCAGAGACAGAGATAGGGTCCTAATGTTTAGTTCATAGAATACAACAGCAGCTTGAGCTTCGTCGAATGGAAAATCAGAGATAGTTGCTTTTTATCTTTACCTCCCACACCAGCAGCTCCCACTTCGCAGGCAACGCATTCAGATCTATCGTGATTCGGCTGCATTCCGTCTCCGCAAACACTGCATTTGCCGCCTCTACCAGCATAGCCTTCGGGACACAGTTCGCACACTCCGTCCACTCCCTGAGAGCCATCACTGCACACAGTGCAGCTACTTCTGTCCAGTGTTGAAACCAGACTAGTCGCACAAGCAGTGCAGTTAACCATTCCTTGCGACGCATCGAAACCAGAATCGCAATAAACGCAAGACCTAGAAGATGCAGGTCGTGTTTCTTCATTCGATTACGAGACCATGAAGACAATCCCATTCGTATTCTGAGAAGAATTAAATGCCTAAAAATTAGCCTACGCCTAGACCCGCAAGAACAAAAGCAAGATGAACTTTATTGATTCAAATACGTTTTGTCGGCACTTGGGACGAATCCGTTTGGGCAATAGGAGCACTGGTCGGGTGTTCCTTCATATGCGGCTTGCTTTCCAGCTTCACATTCGAAGCACGAACCCACTATACCGTAGGTACCACGCGGACACGGGGTGCAGACTTTTGCGTCCATCGGGTCTACCATCTGCCCAGCTGGGCAATCGTAGCACACACCAAATGAACCCGCCATTCCCGTCGGGCATTTGACGCACGTTGTCGCATTTTTGCTGGGCGTCATTCCGGGGTCCAAGCACCTCGTGCACACTGTCTGTCCCTCCCCGCTTGCGATCATGCCCTTGGGACATTTTTTACAGACGCCACTCTTCCCTGCTGTCCCGGGTTGACATTTCGCGCATTTGGTCGGGTCGCTGGGATCTCCGGTTTGCCCATCCGGACAGTTCACGCACTTGGTTCCGTCTGTAGAAACGACAAGTCCAGCCAGGCAGTCCACACACTCTGTGGCCATTTCGTTAGGGATCTTGCCGCGCGGGCACTCCTCACAAAATCCGTTGAGGCCAGCAAACTTTGGCGGGCAAATGCCGCACATATCCTTATCGCCATCCGGTTGCATGCCATCCCCGCACTTCGTGGTCAAACCGTTCGTCGCAATCTCGTTGTTCAAAGGAACCACGTTGCAAGCGGTCTTGTTCTCATTCGGTAGCGAACTGCCTGTGCACATCGAGCACACGCCACCCTTTCCAGCAAAACCATCGGGACAGGGGTCACACGAAGAATGCATTGCGTTAGGCATTGTGCCGTCCGCGCAGGGTTTACCTGGGGGTTGTGGCAGCGCAGGAGAACATCAATCAGTTGCAACGTGTTTCGATATACATACGGACTTCATCTTCAGATTTCAATTCATAATGAAAATGAACATAGTAGTACTGCAAAAAGTTCTAGATACATTGTGGGAGGCCCCTCGAATCCGTGTAGGTTCCTCCTCGACACGGAGTGCACACGCCAGGGCTCCAACACGTCTCGAAGGTGCTAGTTGGTGTGTTCTTTGCAACTAGATACGACAGGGTATCGCAGCGCTCTAACAATGGCTGCCACGCGCATGGTGTTCCTGCACGGACAACGTCGTAAGGCAGTTCCGGATCCACTGACTTGGGCACCGTGTCTCGGTCGTCGTAACTTGTTATACACAGTGTCCTGTTCATAATACTGTTGCACGCTTGCAAGTTCGCTACTCCCGGCTGTGTTAAGATGATAGGAGATGAAGTTTTGATTCATTTTCTGACTGTGGTGAAAGCAGGTGAATTAAGAGTGGACGCGGAAGAAGCTACCGATATGTTCAAAACACATTGCAAAAGAAGCAGCTCAGAATCAGAAACAGACGAGAGTGCGATTTCGAGTAGTTGTATCATACTCTAGGTCTAGCATAAAGAAGATCAAGAAAACAAGCTTTCTAAAACCAAGTGGAATTGGGTTTGGGATTAAGAAAATACCCCTTGATTGATAAGCGATAATCCCGAAACTGTCATGCTTAGCGATGATCCCGGCGCCGGCGGAGGTTTGAGGCACATATCGCTTGATGGAAAGTCTATTCCTTGTGTGACACCTGCGAAACCCTCATTGCACATCTCGCACTGTGTTCCGGCAAAGTTCGGCTGTTGGCCCGCGGGGCAATAGTTGCATTCGTTTAGTGTCGCTCCGAACATTCCGGGTGCACAGACCCCGCACTTGCTTCGGTCCAAGTATACATCGCCAGCACAAGGCTCGCATCGATTTCCGGTGGGCACAGGTACCTCGGCGTCACCCTCACAAACAGAGCAGGTTGCACTCTGACTACCATCTGTTGTGACCGATCCAGAAGGACAGAGCTTGCAAAACCTGTTGTTAAAGTGGAAAGTGTGCTCCCAAGTAACGTAGATCATGCCCTCATTCCATTTTTGGAAGATCATGCTGTGACAGAGTCAGTTACAGTAACTGTATGTAACACACCCAAAATATTTGAGTAGGCAGGAGTACGAGTACGTTTTATCATCGCTCGGGACTGTGCCCGACGGGCACTCGATGCACTGTTCCAACCCTGCAGTCCCAGCTACTGTTTTTGAGCCTTCGGCACAGGGTGCGCAGGTTCCTGATTTGCCTGCAGTGCCGACTTTACAAGGGCGGCACATTCTACTCGTTTCGTCAGGCTCTGTTCCACCGGGACACGCACGACAAACGCCCTTTTCCCCGATTTCATTCGCCTGGCAGTCGACGCATTCATCTCGCGCATCGTTCGGCTTCTGACCGTCGGCACAGGCAGTACACGACATAGCTCCGTCAACAGAGGAGAAAGTCCTATTGTTTATCAGAAATTTCTAACTATGTATAACTTTTGGACATTTTGTTTTTGAATTTGATGACATCATGCATGACGGAACCAACGGTACATATCGCATTGACACGGCCTGCTTTCCTTCTACAACTACTTCATTCACATCAAGCTGTACTAGGTACATCAAGTTCATATTCAGTAACAGAGAAAAATACAAATAGACACTATGCTATCGAAAATGATCATCAAAAAACCAAGCTTCAAATCGTGTTACTACCCCGATTTGACGCATTTCTTGCAGAAGCCACCTGATCCGAAGAAGCCTTTTCTGCATAAACGGCATGCAGTTTGTTCTTCGTTTGCCTCTTGCCCATCGGCACAGCGAACGCACGACTTGCCGTCGGCAGAGACCTCGCCAATTGGGCAGGCCTCGCAGGCGCTTCTCTCTGAGTTAGGCCGCTGACCTGCTGGGCACGTGAGACTGCAGACTCCATCGGTTCCAGCCTTACCTTCGCCACACGGCACACAGCGTGCCTTCGCCTCGTCTGGCTGAAAGCCAGTCACGCACCTGATGATCGACAGGGACAAACATTACAAGGAGCTTGAAAACTAATTGATCATGATGTGCTGGAAAACATATGCAAAGATAGAACGCAAGCAAAGACATCCTTCGCCTTCCCCTTCGATCGTGGTCATAGTCACTGGTGACGCCAAAAAACAGAAATAAGCCTTGAAGCGAAGAGAACAGTGCTGGAAGATGTCGAGAACTTCTGAATATAAAGTGCCTGATCTTCAAGCATCCATCATGTAATATCAGAAAAAACACAGGGGGGAAGGGGTAGAGAAGAGAGAAACAAAAACAAAAAAACACAGAGGCACAAGGAGGCCAGGGATAGCTGAATAAGCGCCTCTTGGTCTTGCACAGCTATCTCCCACTACTAAGAGTAGCTTGTGCCAACCGACTACAGAAGCATTAAACCACGGATGAAGGGAGAAAGAACACGGGGAGTCTCACAGTGTCAAAGAGACACAGTCAGTCAAGCATTAGATTGATAACTCAGATAGATCAAATAGATCAGATAACTCAAATAAACAGTAACAGAAATAATTCAATAACAACTAAAAAAAAAATCTCGGAAGCAGGCGTTGTACATCTATGTATACTATAGTGAAGTTGGATAATGATAATCAGTCGTATTGAAGAATACGGTCGACAGATTCCACGACTGCAGGCGAGCTTCGGGTCTACCGGAGCAAGGCAATCCGACCTGTCTCCATTAGGCGCCTTTCCGTCGGGACATGTTGCGCAGGCTCCCTTGAGGCCCGCTGCGCCAGGGTTGCAATCCACGCAGGCTTTGTTACCGACACTGGGTTGCTTACCATCGGGGCAGGTGTCACACGTTTTTGCGCCATATTGTAGACTGATAGTTAGACCCTGGCAAGGTCGACATTCTTTGTCGCCATCGCCCTTGAAAAATCCCATTTGACATGGCATGCACTTCTCGCCCTTGGGATCGGGTTGCTCTCCCGCGGGACATTCCGTGCAATCCGCACCGCCCGTAGAAACGTAACCGGCTGGACAGCGCATGCACTGCTCGTCAATGGCCATGCTTCCAGGGCCGCACTTCCGACACTCGGTCCGATCGGGAATTGAGACCGTATCCACAGGGCACGCGGTGCACCTTCCGTCCACAGAGGTTTTTCCACCGTCCGCCGAAAAGTAACCGATCGGACACAACGCGCAAACATTGAGCGTAGAATTTGCGGCGGTGCCTGGCGGGCAAGGCGTGCATGTTTTTGCACCCGGACCGAGCGTGATCATGTAGGGCTCACACGCGCGGCACTGCGCGGCGCCACTCGTTGCTGCCGTTCCCAGTGGACAGAGCTCACATGCAGTCTGGTTTGCGTTCGGGAATGTGCCGTCTGGACACGGGGTGCACTTCGTGGAGCCGGGATCGCGCGCAATGGAACCAGGGTCGCACTTCTTGCACTCAAGGGCTTGGCCTTGGTCGCCTGCCTCTAAGTACATTCCTGGGCCACACGGCTTGCAGCTGCTCTTATTCGCGTCCGCCACAAAGCCCTGTGGACAGCTGCGGCACGTGCTGTCCCCGGGTGACGCAACGCTATTTCCGGGACACGACTTGCACGTGCCCCGTGCTGAATCTGGAACCATGCCAAAGTAGCACTTTTTGCACTCTTCCTTGCCGGCTTGGGTTACGAAGCCTGCGGGACAGGCGGCGCAGGCGCGACCCTTCGCCGGCGAGTACGTTCCCTCGAGGCAAGTGACGCAGGCACCTTGGCTCGCCAGTTTTCCCGGTTCGCAGGGACCACATGTAGTCGGAGTTACGGGAAACAACCCTGCTGGACAGGGAACACACTTTTCTTCCGAGGAAAGGATGTGATTTGCTTTGGTGCATGATTTGCACATTAGCATCTTATCCTTCAAGCACTTCTCCGGGTCGTCTTCGGGCACCCCTTCAGGGCACTTGCACACGGGAATCCTTTTTCCTTTGCTGCGTAAGTGTTCTACGCGCTGAAAACTCATAAGTGCCAAGGACCCGCGAGAATCGGAAAGGGACCCTGCGTCGTCGTCTCCTTCTGCGTTTTCCTGTGGTGGAAAAAACCTGAACTTCTTGGACTTTTGACTACGGGCTCCTATCTGGGTATCTCCCGCCTTCGGCTCCTTACGCCGAAATGCTTCTATGAGTTTTCCAGACCACGGTGATTTTTCGCCGTTTCTAGACAGCCCCTGCTGCGGTGCCCGACGCTTCGACCGCAACACATGATGAGTCTTGTCCAAGTATTTCTCGTTCTGGTCGTACGCGATTTCGTCATGATCAGTCACAGTTCCTGAAGTAAGATCATGCTGTGACAGTACGGAGAGCGACGTGCCTTTAGACGTCAGGAGGGCCACGCTCGCTGGTGTAGCGCTGGAGTTGCTGCCGGTGAGCCCGGCTGCTTGAAACAGTGGAGGCACCTGTGAAGATGAGCTCGGGTCTTGCGTGGTCGTGCCTTGAACAGCGATCGCGCGAGCTGCCTTGAGCGCTGCCGCTGCAGCCGCAGCCGCAGCAATTTCAGCCTCCTCCCGCTGCTTGCGCTGTCTCTCCAATTCAAGTCGCGCGTGTTCGTTCCGCGTCCATAGGCCCAGGATCTTATCAGCTGCGTCTGCATAAGCAAGTTGGCGCTGCGCCACCAGCGCGCCGCCAGAACCGATAAACTCTACCGAAAGTTTACTGTTAGCCAAGCTTACCGAGAATACCCCATTGTCGCGGTAGCCGAACATGGGCCCCTTTGCCGCGAACACGTACTGCGCCAGGGCTTCTTTCCACGAGTCTGGCGTTCCCGGCATAGGCACGTCAAAACAGAGGCTCCACGTTATTCGCTGACTCTGCATTGCGCGCTCCTCCAAGGAAGACACGGCTTCGACTTCTTCTACGATGCCCTCCGTCGCGCTACCCGACAACGCTGCACGCAGTGTGTCCAAAGATTGCAAAATCGTCTGAATCTTCCGTAGCTGGCTCTGCCCGCCGCGCACGTGAATGTTGTACGTCGTACGAATTTGTACGGTTTCGGCGGTGTCCAGATCCTCCACAGGCTGACTCTGGGTCGCACGAATATCAACGAACTTCGACGCAGACACGGCATCGAGAATCTGTACGTCTCGGGGATTCAGCGACAAGGCAGCGGTCAGCATCTTTTTACGATTCTGCATATACATTGGTAGCACCAGTGGACTGATTCTTCCATTAGCGTCGTTCAGCTCACCCTGTGTGACTCTCGTAATTAGAGCAAACCGAATCGCAGTGCCTGTGTCTGGCTTCGTGTATAGCCAAACTGAAAATTCGTCATCTGATGCAGCAGGTGGTGCGTTAGTAGATGATCCCGTAAAAGCTGCTCCTCCTGCTCCGGGCCCTCCTATCGATAGATAATCTAGGCCCACGACAACGCCAGCACCGCGCAACTCGGTCTTCAGAAGTTCTCGCAGTTTCGGAAGCTCGCTTTGCTGACGGAAACGCTGAGAAACCATGAGGGCAGCAGCACGACCAGCGAGCACGCGGATGCGGAAGTGAGTTGTCACGTAGCGCGCACCACTATCCCGAAGATCAACGACAGTGCGGTCTATTGAGACTTCCGGCCTAATTCTTCGGTCCGGGTCTTCAATAAAGAGGCTGACAGCACGGATTTTCGCAAAATCCGCCAAACGCGTGTCAGGTGGTGAACCGGAAGGTTTGCATGGTGCAGCATCGGCAGTGGTCGAATTTTCTCCAGCATCGTCGGTATTAGCATTGAGAGATGAAGCCGATGTGGAGGCATTAGGACACCCGTTGTCGGCGCTTTCTGCTTGTGTTACGGACACTGTAATAGCAAATGCCGGCTCGCTGGCTCGAACGACTTTTCTTTCGCCGGTTGCATCGACAGCGACACTGTTCGGACCTATCTCGAGCCGTCGCATATAGGCCCCGACCTTAGTAAGCTCCTCCTTTACAGCTGCCGCTGCACGTTGTTGAAACTCCGGTGCCGTGAAGCGTAGCTCGGTGAGGATGCGGCCTCCGGGTGGAAAAACAGAAAACAGATACGGCGTCGAGACTCGATAATGCTCACTGCGAATAATATTTCCATCTGAATCAGCTTGCGACGTTTCATCCGTGCTATTTGCTGACATTTGAGTTTGGTCTGGGGCTGTTGTTTGTGCTGTGCCTGCTGCTGTTGGAGCTGATGAGCTCGCATCGTCGGCGTCATCGTCTACGCTTACATCCGGTGTACCACTTGGGAATGCACCGGAAAGAGCTGGCCGCACCTCGATCCCCGGATAGCTATTTCCGTTTCCGACCGTAAGAAAGTTCACACGGCCTGACTGATCTTTTGCAAGAGCAAGCGCTGCGCGTATTCCACGCTCTTTTGCTACAATGTACGCTCGCTCCGATGCAAGATCGCGCGCTGTGAGAGTCTGCGACTCAGCCATGCACACGGGAAAATCGGATTTGCAAGCGTGACAAGTTCCGTTCGACGGGCCCCCGCCATTGAGTGCGCTCCGTTCTTGCGCTGCTTGGTCCTTCTCTATTAGCAAATTTTCGATCGTCGGGAGTGTGAATACGATGCGACCAGCTGGCGACGTAACGACTTGGATTGCATTGGATACATACAAGTCCGCGGGGTAGAAGTTCTCAAGTGATTGCTCGTCCGGCGAATTGCCGTCGTTGGCGCTGTCGCTGTCCGGATCGGCATCCGCCTGCATTCTTTGTTCCAGGCCAGTATGAGACGCTTCCTGCAAGAACGACATGGCGGGCCACGGGTGTGTCGAGAGTTGCAAGGGTCGTTTACTATGACGTAATTCTCTGGCCGCTTCTGAGAAGTCGGCCTGATTCAAATTCAGGTCGTGGTCTTGTTTCTCCTGCAGTCTCGCACTCTGCGCAAGGTTTAGCTTTCCACCCTTCCGAGGTGGCAAGTCTCCAGCAGGATTTATCCAGCCTGGCTTTTTTTCTTCGATCACTTCGTGTGGTTCCAGACGTCTTACACCGCTCTCCTGCTTCATTATACTACTTTCTAGCCCTCCGCGCTGCAAGAAGGAGTATTTTTCGCGCACGCGTCGCAAAGTTGGGTCGACCAGTCGCAGGCCTGCAATCGTGATGTTCATTCCCTCTTCGAGTAGGCGCACGAGTGTCTGTGGAAAGCCCGGTTGCTTCAAAGTGTATGCCAAAATACTAGCCGCCACCTCTGCCCCTGGTGCGGTGCCGAGCTGCACACGCAGCAGACATCGTTGCATGGTCCCGCAAGATCCCACAAAACACGATCGCTGCCGCACGGTCAGTTCATCGACACTTGTCTTCTCAAGCATCCCGTAGAGAACCTGTTCCATTGTACTCTCTACCTTTCGCTGGAACGTCATGGCCTGGGCTGTTTGACGCAGATCCACTGTCTGCGAAACTTGCTCACTGGAGGCGCCGGATGCGGTAGTAGAGGCTGGTTGAGTAGTGGATGTGCCATTCTGTCCCGCTGTTGCTGACGTATTCGTATTGTTTAGGTCGTCTGCGCTTACGCTCCCCACGACGTTTCGCAAGGCACCGAACTGTTTGGCATCCGCGAGTGCAACGACTCCTGGCTTGTTGGTAGTTGTAGCGTCATCTGTGCTGCCGTCTGTTGTAACATTCGAAACAGCGACCACAGGAGTGCTGATCATCTCTAGATAGAATGAAACGTCCTGGGGGCTCGCGTCAGAGAGGGACATGTGGTAGTTCTTGACTTTCGTTCTGTCCAGCCACTCAGTGCGGATGCCAGCATCAAACAGCGTTGCCTTCAGTGCTTGCGTGAAATTCACTGGCAGGCGAACCCGGGCCATCTCTTCAACGGCTGCAGCGGTCGCCTCCAGGGTGTTCGGAGAGATGGTTAGATTGTAGTCCAGAAGTAGTTGGTCCTCACTCGGCCTCTCGAAGTATCCGAACGCAATGCGCGAGAACGCGATGCGGTCGTCCAAAAGGTTGGACATGGCTTCCCGAAAAGCAAGCATGGCACTTGGACTCTGGACTACGCGGCGGACACGAGAGGAGCTCGTCAACAGCTGCATGCTGGACTCAGTTTCTAATCTAGCTTCCGCGGAGGTCTGCAGTAGGGCGGCAGCGGGGGCCGCGGTCGTCTGCTCACCCGGGTAGAGACCGGAGTTACGCTGCAAAGCGATGACTACCCGCACAACCTGCGTAAGCCCCGGCTCAGTGAAAGACATTGGCGGCAGCTGAACCTCCTCCACCGAGAAGTCCGTGAAGCCGCCGGCCGTCAGCGCGTCGTTGGTGTTATCGCGCAACAGTTCAGCTGAATCGACGTCCTCCG